CTCGGCCCTCGCACCACCTCGCGCGCCCACCTCGCACCACCACCCACCAGGCCATGACCACCACGCGCGACCTCCACCTCGACCCGCTCGCCCTCACGACCCAGCCCTCGTCGTCGACCCGCTTCACCTCGTCGTCCCCCGCCACCGCCGCCGCCAACAACCAGTCGCGCTTCCCGTCCATGTCTACACCCGCCGACCACCCGCACTCGGCCTCGGCCGCCCAGTCCAAGTTCCGCGCCAGCCTCGGCGGGCCCGGCCTCGGTCCCGCATCCTCGTCCTCGTCCTCGTCCGGCGCCGCCGCGAGCAACAACTGGCGCGCCGTCAGTCCCGGCAACAGGGCCAGCACGGGCGCAGACGGCCTCGCTGGCGGCGGCGCCAGGCCCCACGGCCTCAGGCCCACGAGCGAGCTGCTCAGCGTGAGCCACGGCGCGCACCACCAGCCTCAGTCGAGCACTTCGGGACCAGGCGGCAACGGCGACAGTGCGTCCCAGTCCTCCTTCTTCCCTCTGCCTTGAGCACGAACACGAGACTGACTCTCGCCTTTCGTTTCCTCGAGCAGCCGAGGGTGAGTTTCCTGCACTTCCCCGCCGCCACCCTCGTCCCGACGACCGTGTACTGACTCTCGTTCCTGCGCGCCCGCCCACAGCCATCGACCGCTGGTTCGAGGACCTGCAGCAGTACGAGGCGACGCTCGAGGACATGGCGGCCGCCTCGCTCGACGCCAACTTCAAGGAGGAGCTGAGCGCCATCGAGCAGTGGTTCCGCGTCCTGAGCGAGGCCGAGCGCACCGCCGCCCTGTACTCGCTCCTCCAGAGCGCCACGCCCCTCCAGATGCGCTTCTTCATCACGATCCTCCAACAAATGGCGCGCCAGGACCCGGTCTCGGCCGCCCTCCTCAGCCCGGCCAACCCGAGCCAGCTCTCGTTCGAGTCGCAGATCGAGCACAAGCTCGCGTCGTTCGGCCTCAAGTCGCCCGCGTCCCCGGTCGTGCGCCAGTTTGCCCGCCAGTCGCTCGCCGCCTCGAGCGGCGCGGCCGGTCCCCCTTCCCCGGCCGCCCTCGACCTCCTCGCTCCGCCCGACGCCGCCAACTCGACCACCACCGCCTCATCGTCGTCGGCGGCGGCGACGGCCAACTCGCCCGCGGCGAGCACGCTCGCGTCGCAGCGCGCCAAGCTCAAGGCCTCGGCGCGCACGTCGGCGCCGGCCAACCTGCTCCTGAGCGCGAGCGGCGGCTCGGCCTCGCTCGGCGAGAGCCTCAAGAGCCCGCTGTGGGGCAAGGACGAGACGGTGCGCGAGCGCTCGCCGTCGCCGCGCCCAAAGAGCACGGGCTCGGCGCACGACGGCGGCAACTCGCCCGCGCCGGCCCACGCGCCCGCAGCCTCGAACGGTGGTGGCGCCGGCGCCGGCGCGTACCTGCGCTCGCCCGTCCTCGACGGCTCGTTTGACAACCAGCTGTCGCCGCTCGTCGGCGGTAACTGGGCGTCGATGGTCAACACGCCGCTCGTGCCCATGTTCGGCAAGGGCGACCAGATGGAGCAGGGCAACTACGGCGTCGCGAGCCCCAACCTCGACGCGGCGGCGCACGCGGGCTGGAACGGCGGCGCCGCGCCGCCGCACCCGACGAGCCCCAACCTGGGCGGCGGCCCGGGCGGCATCGTCCTCGACGACGCGCGCAAGTTCCGCCGCTCGGCGCGCATCAGCGGCGGCGCGCTCGGCGGCATGTACGACGAGGCCGGCAACGGCGTCGCGGCGGCGAGCTCGGCCCTGTCGGCGTCGACGGCGAGCGACCGCGCCCAGTCGGCCGCGACGGCGCAGAAGCGCGTCCAGGACCAGCTCCACGCCGTGCAGCAGCTCAAGAACATGCAGCAGAGCGCCATCAACCTCGGCCTCGGCGCGCTCGGCTCGTCGACCAACGGCGGCGGCGGCCCGCCGGCGTCGCCCGGGCTCGGCGGCGTCAACGGGAGCCGGCTCTCGAGCACGGGCGCGTTGAGCAGCCCCGGGCTGCAGCAGACGGCCATGCAGGCGCAGCAGAACTGGCGCAACGCCAACGCCGCCCACCTCCCGCCGCCGTCGCCGCAGCAGCAGCACCAGCTCCAGCAGGGCCAGCACGCGCACCTCGGCCACCACGGCCAGCAGCACCAGCAGCACAACCTGCAGCAGCTTCAGCAGCAGCAGCAGGACCTGTACGGCATGCACGCCGGCGGCCTCGGCGGTCTCGGCGCCGGGCTCGCCGGCCTCGGCGTCATCGGCAACGGCTCGCCCTCGCCGCAGCAGATCCAGGCCCAGACGCAGGCGCAGCTCGCGAGCCTCGTCGCGCTCCAGCAGCAGATGATCCAGCAGCAGCAGCAGCTGCAGAGCCTCGCGAGCCTCAACGGCCTCGGCATCCCCAACGCCGGCCTCGGCGTCGGCATGGGCGGCCTCCTCGGCCCGCAGCTCAGCCCGCGCCTTGGCACTGGCGGCGGCGGCGGCGGCGGTGCGGGCGGCAACTCGCCCGGCGTCGGCAGCGGCTTCGGCCTCGGATTCGGCGGCGGCGGCATGCCCTCGCCCCGCCGCTCGCCTCGCCCGCACGGCAACGACCGCTCGCCGCACTTTGGCTCGTACGGCCACTCGTCCCGCCCTGGTGGCGCGTCGAGCTCGACCGGCGCGGGCGCGGCCGGCGGCGGCGGCGGTGGGGCCAACCCGCAGCAGACGCCCGGCAGCGGCGCCAACCCGGACGAGCCGCTCGACATGGCGCTCCTCGGCGACACGCCGGCGTGGCTGCGCAGTTTGCGCCTGCACAAGTACACGGGCATCTTCGAGGGCTCGACGTGGCAGGAGATGGCCGTCATGGGCGACAAGGACCTCGAGGACAAGGGCGTCGGCGCTCTCGGCGCGCGCAGGAAGCTCCTCAAGTGCGTCCCTCCCTCTCTCTACCTCCCTCCTCGGGGACCGTCACTGACTCGCTCTACCGCTGCAGGGTGTTCGAGACGGTGCGCGCCAAGACGGGCCTCGCTGCGCCCGCCGGCACGTCGTCGAACGGATCGGCCTCTTCGCCGGTCGAGGGCGGCAACCAGTCGCCCTCGTCGCCCAACTCGCCCACGTCCGACTCGCTCCCCGTCACGCCCAACATGGGCGCGCGCTCGCCGGCGCTCGAGGGCGCCGAAGCCTGAGCGCACGGTCCTCCTCCTTCCCCGCCATCCCTTTCTCTCTCTCTCTCTGCCCCTCTCTCCCTCTTCCCCTCGTCGTCTTATCGCACCCCTCCATCACGCCCGCTTGCAAACCCCATCCTCGCGCTCTCTTTTGTCCGGGTCGCGTAAGCGGCCTCTGTAGCACCACCCGATCCACCTCGTCGTCCTCGGACACGCTTTTCTCCCTCTCTCGCCTCGCGCCTATCTCCTTCCCCTCTCGAACTGGGTTCGTGCAAGGACGTTTGTCGCTCTCGCCCTTTCGGTGTGCGCCCGTGTCAGAGACGTCAGAGAGAGCCGTCACCCGAGCAAGTCTGAGACGAACAAGCGAGCCTCTCACGCCGCGACAAGTAAACGAGAGCAAAGAGAGGTGCAAGGGTGCGTGCTACGAATGACAACAACAGAGGCGTCTGACGCCCACGTCTAGAGGTACAGCCGCTCGAACTCGTCGCTCACCGACCTGGCGGGCTCTCGTCCTTCTCCTCCCTCGCCTTCTGAGCCCTCGTCCTCCTGTCCTGCCACCGCTCCGTCCCACTCCTGCCCGAGTACATCGCCGTCGTCGACGAGCGCAGCATCGAGCGCCTCCTGCGCGCGCGCCCACTCGTCAAGCCCAAGCCCGAGCCCGCTCGAGCCGCTCTCGGCGCCCTCGAGCTCGTCGAGCTCGCGCCCTCGCGCAACATCGTCGACGTCCTCGCCGAGGTCGACGTCGACGTCGGCGTCGTCGAGTGCCGCTGATAGTGCTGGCGAGGCCGTGGCTGTGCCGCGCGACGAGAGGTGGCGCGAGCGGTGGATGCCGTACGAGCGCAGGAGGGCAGGGAGGATCGGCGAGGGGGGCGAGGGCGTGAGGGAGCCGAGGAACGTCGACGGTGAGGGCGTCGAGGAGGAGGAAGAGGGTTCGGAGAGGGAAGACGAGTCGGTCGACGACGAGGAGGGCGCCAAGGGCAGCGGCAGCTGCGGCACGCCGTTGAAGATGGCCCTCGCGGCGCGGATGCGCTCGAGGTACGCCTCGCGGTCCATGGCCTCGGGGAGCACGAGCGCCGGCTTGAGCCCGGCGTCGTTCGCGGCGAGGGCGCGCTCGATCGTCGAGTGGGTGACGATGAGCTTGTGCGCGAGGACGGGGCCGACCCTGCGTCGGGGAGAGAACGAGTCAGTGGCTGCTCGATCAAGAGACGAACCTCGAGAGAGAAAGAGAGGGAAGGCAGAGAGAGGCTCACTTGTAGACGCGGTCGGTAAAGTCGGTCCCGCACAGGAGCGCAAAGTCGACAAACTCGGCCCTCGTCAGGCCGAGGTCGTCGCGCAGCCTCGCCGGGTCGAGCACCGTCATGGGCTTCTTGGGCTCTCGGCCGGTCCCGGCGGGCGTGACCGTGACGAAGCGCAGGAGCGGCGCGCCGTACACGGCCGCGTCGAGGTCCTCGCTCACGACGTAGTCCGCGTGGCCGAGCGTGCACAGGGCGGCGCACACGCCCTCGGCCTCGTGCGGGTCGTGCGGCGACGGCTCGAGGTAGGGGACGCCGAGGGCGGCAACGAGGCGCTGCGAGACGGGAGGACAAGGGGTCAGTGCGCGCTCTGACCGAGAGAGCGTTTCGAGGGCAAGGAGGACGCACTCGGACCTCCTTGAACGCGGCGCGCGGCACGCCATCGCTGCGCTTCAGGTGGCTGTCGAAGTACTTGTCGCTCTGGGCGATGATGTCGCCGAGCTCGGCGTCCTTGGTCGGCGGTACCGGCGACTCCTCCTCCTCCTCCTTCTCGCCAAGTTCTCGCCCATCCTCGCTCGCCGCGTCGCTCGCCGCCGCCACCGCCGTCTCAGCCGCCTCAGCCGGCGTCCCATAGCGCAACAGGCCCTCGAAGAACCTCCCCTCGTCCTCGGTCACGCGCGCCTGGTTGCGCGAGTAGACCGGGTTGAGCACGTCGGCGCGGTACTCGGCGAACAGGGTCGCGAGCGCGACGACGTGCGCGACGATGGCGCCGTGCGACGCGGCGGGTCCGGGCCCGGCGAGCGAGGTGAGCTTGGCGGTGTTGGCGAGGCGCGACGCGGCGAGCGCGGCGGCGAGGGAGGGCGAGAGGGCGGCCTCGGGCGAGATGGGCGGCGAGACTGCGACGGTGGGAGGTACATCGGGCGAGTGGGCGAGAGGGGGACGCTCAGACGGCGAGACGTCGGCGTCGGCGAGGTTGGCGAGCGGGGAGGGATGAGGCTCGTCGGCGGTGGTAGGGAGCGGGTCGGTCGAGGGCGAAGCAGGGGCCGAGGCTGGCGCCTGTTCGACGTCGAGGAGACGATCGATGTCGCGGATCGCCGCCTTCGACGCTGCTGCTGTCGCCGAGTCTGCCGCCTCGAGCGGAAGAGGCTCGGCCGGCGCGACGAGAGGCCGTGCGCCGGCAGGAGCGCTCGACGGCGGCACCTCCTGGCGGTCTTGCGCGAGGAGCGCCTCGATCTGGGTGAGCGACACGCGCTGCTCGACGGCCGCCGCTGCTGCTGCGGCGCTTGAGCCCTCGCCGCCCGTTGCCGCGACCGCCGGCACGAGCTCGCCGCCGCCGCTGCCGTCGCGGCGGCTCCACATGCGCTCGACGACGTGCCGAAAGCCCTCGACGACGGCCGGTCGCTCGTCGTCGGCGATGCGGGCCATGACGGCTTCGACCTCCCTCAGGCGCGCGCCGCGTCCACCCTCGGCGGCGGCCCTCGCGCCTTGGAGCGCTCGCGCGTCGCGACGGCGCTCGTTCTCGGGCGCCTTGGCCGCGAGGCGCGTGTCGCCGTCAAAGACGACGACGGGGTGGATGCCGTGCTTGCGCAGCGCCTCGAGGAACCAGTACCACGCGCGGGCGTGGCTGTGGCCGCCGCCCTTGCCGTCGCCGAGCGGGGCGCCGCCGCCGAGACGAGCGTCGGGAGGACGGGTGCCGGCCTCGGCGTAGTGGAACTTGGTCGTGAGGAGGTTGGCGTCGATGGCGAACCGTTTGCCGCGAAAGGGGGCGAGCGAGGTGTAGGTGGTGACGGACGAGGGGGAGCGCGCCTTGATGATCTTGCCGAGGTCGCGCACGCCCATGGTCGAGGCGTTTGTGCGTCGAATCGGGTCGGGCGAGAGGGAGAGGAGGCGCGGAGAGGCGTGCGTGGGCCAAGGTGGGGAGGAGGTCGAGGAGGACGAGGTGCTGTGGAGGACGAAGGTCAGCGCGCGCTTGCAGTGAGATCGGGGACAGTCGGGCGTACCTTGGTGAGCTACCTGGAGGCCATGCAAGTCCTGGCGGAGGTTGGCGCTGGCGACGAGGAGCGCGGGCTCGAGTCGACGAGGCAGACAGCGACGAAAGGGTCGGGGGTGGCCGCAACAAAGGCGCAGGGCACGCTTGATGCACGAACGAGCTGCAGCGAGCTGTCGCTTGCAGGCTAGAGCAGTGTGAGAGCGAGAGCGAGCGTCAGTCGCTTCAACAGCTCGTCGCTCCTCTCTCACTCCCTTGGATCCACCCACATCGAGCCAGGGACTGCGCCACCTCGCCCACCTGCTCAGCAGCTTCGACCGCATCGCCCCAGCCCCTACGCGTCGCCCGCACCGCCCTCGATCCCCTCGTCGCCCTCGTCGCCCGACCCCACACTCCGCTCGACTTCGCTCGCTGCGCCGCTACGCGCCATGAGCGCCGCCCGCCAGCTCAGTACCCGCACCGTACATACCGCAACAAAGCGGCGACGCACCCTGCACAACTCAGTCCACCTGCGCCAATTCCACCTCTCGCCCTCCCTCGCCTCATCGCCTCCACCACCGACAGCCCCCAAGCAGCACACGCTCGCCATCCTCGGCGCCGGCCTGTCGGGCCTCTCGACCGCCCACTACTTCCTGCGCGCACTCGACCCGCCAGCCCGCAAACTCGCCCGCATCGTCGTCCTCGAAAAGGAGCATCGCGTCGGCGGCTGGTGCCGCGCGCACCGCTACGAGGGCGGCAAGCTCCTCAAACCCGACGAGCAGCCCGAGGGCAAAGGCGACGTCCTCGCTTTCGAGACGGGCCCGAGGAGCATTCGCCCGCAGGGCCTCCTCGGCTGGCTCACGATCGAGATGGTCCGCTCCCTTTCTCTCTCTGTCTTCGCCCATCTCCCCAGAAACTGACTCTGCCCTACCCGCAGGCGCACGATCTCGGCCTCACCCTCGACTCGTCGCTCGTCGTCGTCCCCAAGTCGGCCCCCTCGGCCCGCAACCGCTACCTGTACACCCCACCAACCCTCACCCTCCTCCCCTCGTCGCTCCTCTCGACCCTCAAGGCCATCTTCACGACCCCGCTCATCCGCCGCATCCTCCCCTCGCTCCTCCTCGAGCCCTTCCGCCCGCGCTCGCCCCTTCACGACGCCAAGGACCCTGGCGCGGCCGACGAGTCGGTCGACGGCTTCTTTGCGCGCCGGTTCGGCCGCACCCTCGCCGACGACATGCTCAGCGCCATGATCCACGGCATCTACGCCGGCGACTCGCGGCGCCTGAGCGTGCGCGCCGTGTTCCCGCAGCTGTGGGACGCCGAGCGCGAGTGGGGCAGCGTCGTCCTCGCCGGCCTCTTTGGCTCGCTCGCGCGCCGCAAGGGCTGGAAGGAGGCGAGCGCGTGGAGGGTCCGCGCCGACGAGGACGTGCGCGAGATGGGCCGTATCAAGGCGCGCATCGGCGCGAGCGGCGATGAGGGTCGGCGTCTCGTCGAGGCCATGGAGGGCGCGAGCGTGTGGGGCGTCAAGGGCGGCGTCGAGGGCTTGACCGAGGCGCTCAGGGACCGCCTCAGGAGCGAGGGCGTCGAGTTCTGGATGGGCGACAAGGGCAGGGTCGAGGAGGTCGAAAAGGTCGGTGACCGGTGGAAGGTGAGCCCTCTCCTTCTCTCCCTCGAGCCCTCTCTCTCGGCTTTCGTGCGCTCTCTCGAGCAGCCTCCCTGATACGCTGCACGCTCACAGATCCGCACAACCGCCGGCGAGGTCGATGCGACGCAGGTCGTGACGACAAACCCGCAGCTCCTCCCGCCGTGGCTCGCTCCGCCGCCGCTCCCTTCGGCCACCGTCAGCGTCGTCAACCTCGCCTTCCCCGACCCTTCCTCCTCGTCGTCGTCGTCCACCTCGACCTCGAGCGACGCCGCGCCAGCTCGCCTGTTCCCTCCCGGGTTCGGCTACCTCATTCCGCGCACGGTCCCCTCCTCGCACAACCCGCACCGCGCCCTCGGGTGCATCTTCGACTCGGACGTGCTCCCCAACGTCGACGCGTCGGCCGCCCAGGGTCTGACCAAGGTCTCGCTCCTCATGGGCGGCTCGTACTGGCTCGACGACGTCCCGCAGCCGGGCGACGCGCGCCTCGAGCCCGACGCCCTCGTCGCCGCCGCGCTCGACACGCTCCGGCTCCACTTGCCCGACGTAGACCTCCCCGAGCCCTCGTACGCCCTCACGAGCACGCACCGCGACTGCATCCCGCAGGTGCCGCCCGGCTCGCGTCCGCAGTTTCGCGCGTTCGGCGAGCGCCTCGCTCGGGCGGGCGGCGTCGCCGTCGTCGGCGGCGGGTACGCGTCGGTCGGCATGAACGGCGCGGTCAAGAGTGCGTGGGAGGTCGGGACGTCGTTTGCGAGGGCGGTCAACGAGGGGGACGACGACGGCAAGGCCGAGAAGAAGGCGAGGGAGGTGGTCAAGACCGGGACCGAGATGTGGCAGCTGTAGATCGCTTCATTAGACGCTGCTGCAACGAGCTCCTCATAGACTCTCGCCATGTTCGCCTCGATTCTAGAACGAGAGCAAGCTTCTCTCTCTCGCGCGCTCGCCGAAGATGCAGACAGGGTATCACGCTCGCTCAAAGATACAAACGCTCCACATCTACCAATCCTCGAAGCCAAGGTCGACGTTCCAGCTGCACGCAAGGCGAGAGAGGGTCAGTCCTCGGTCGTCGAGCGACCCAGAGAGAGGAAAGGCTCGGGCGCACTCGGGCTTGATGAAGCGCTTGCCCTTGGTCTTGTGCAGCGAGTTGAGCGTGTCCATGTCGCCGTCGTCGAGCTTGACGAGCCGCAGGTTGTCGACGATGCGCTTCTCGGTCACGCTCTTGGGCAGGACGACGACGCCGCGGTTGACTGAGGGGACGAGGCGCGAGCGCGCAATCAGTTCCAAGAGCCGAACGATCGATTGAAAGGAAAGCGAAGGACGGACCCTGGTAGCTGATGAGGACGGTGCCGACCGAGACGCCGTGCTTGTCGGCAATCTGCTGGATCTCCTCGTCCTTGAGCAGCGGCGAGTCGGTCGATCCGAGCGGCGAGTAGGCCTGAGGAACGATGTTCTTCGACTTGAGGTAGGCGATGAGATCGTGCTGGGGCAGGTACGGGTGAAGCTCGACCTGCGGCAGAGGAGAAACGGTCACTTGAGAAGGTCGCGAGGGATTGACGTTCGAGGGGACGGACCTGGTTGACTGCCGGCACGACCTTGGCCGTCGACAGAAGCTTCCCCATCATCTTCTCTGAGAAGCTGAGCGCGAGAGGTAGAAGAGTGAGCGACGCATGTCAAGCGCGAAGAGAGGTCGTTCCGCAAAAAAAAAGGGAAAGAGACGCACTTGGAGACGCCGATAGCCTTGACGAGGCCCTTCTCGAGGACCGCCTCCATCTGCTTCCACGTGTCGTTGATCGACCACTCGGTGTCCTGCGGTTGAAGGAGCGTCAGGTCCGGGCACGGCCAACGAAGTGTGCGGCGAAAGACGAGGACGCACCTTGTCGCGGCTGCCGTCCTCGAGCTTGGGGAACAGCGGGTCGTTGCCGTTCGGGTTGAGCGGTACGGGCCAATGAATGAGGTCTGCGAGCGCAGGAGGAAGAAGAGTCAGGCTTGAGAAGGTCGCGCGCGCCGAAGGAAAGCTTGAGGGGACGCACACAGGTCCAGGTAGTCGGTGCCAAAGTTGGCGAGCGACGTCTTGACGGCGCCCTCGACGTCGCGGTGGCGCGTGCACCACAGCTTGGACGTGAGGAAGATGTCGCCGCGAGGAACGCCCGACGCCTTCAGCCCTTGGCCGACCTCGGCCTCGTTGCGGTAGACGAACGCGCCGTCGATGTGGCGGTACCCGTTCTTGAGCGCGACCTCGACAGCGTGCTCGACCTCGCCAGGCTTGCTCTGCCAGGTTCCTGCGCAAGTGCGAGCGGGTCGACCAAACTTGGGTCAGTTCGCGCTCGTTCAGGTCGAGTCCTGCACCGGCCGACCCTCTTCTGCGTCGCAGCGAGCGCGATAGCTGCTCGACGCTCCGACACGCCCCTCTGCATTTGGCGAGAGACCGCCGGAACGAGAGGAGGTCGACGAACCGAGGCCGACGGCAGGGATGCTGCCACCGTGCGAGAGCTTGTAGGTCGGGACGTCGATGAACTGAGCAGGCATAGTCAAGCAGAAGGCGACGTGCGTGTGGAGAGAGAGAGAGAGAGAGAGAGAGAGAAAGAGCGCGGCGGCTGGCTCGCCGTGTCGGGCCGAACGCGGGGGCCCGTCGGCGAGCGGGTCGCTCCCGGTAGCTGAGGCTCGAGAGCGAGAGCAGGTGGCTTTCGTCCCGTCTGCCGCTTTCTGCAGCTCGGGCTTGGCTCTTGACGAGAAGCTAGCGAGCGACAGTCCGCAGGCTCGGCCAACCAGCACTACCGGACGACGGCCAAGTCGCTCTCGAGCCTCGTTTGCTCTCTCTCTGCTTGCGCCGGCCTCGCTCGCGAGAGGACGCAGGGACCAGGAGGGCACAGAACTCTATGAAATGCAGTCAGAAGAGACATCACGAGGCTCAAAGCTCGTCCTTGACGCGCTCGCTCGCCGCCGGAACCGCCTGCGCCTGCTCCTCGACAAAGCTCTCGCGCTCCTGCTCCTGCTGCACCGCCTGCTCGAGCTCGTGCGCGTGCGCCTGGAACGCCGCGGCCGACGATGACGACGACGACGAGTCGTTGGCGAGGACGCGCTTGGCGAGCGCGGCCACCTCGTCGTCGTACTCGGACCACTCGGGCAAGAGGCGGCGCGCACGCTGCAGCTTGGGCTCGTGCGTCGCCGGATTGTTGCACAGGTCGATCGCTGCGAGAGGACAGAGAGTCAATTACGTCGCCGCCCAGAGAGAGAGGGAAAGGAGGAGGACGCACTCTTGGCTTTGGCGAGGCTCTCGTCGCTGCACCACGTCTCGCACCACAGCCACTCTTGCGGCAGCGTGTACTGCGTACAGGGGCGCAGGTCGTTATTGCGCGACTGAGAGAGAGTGAGAGGAGGACGAGGGACGCACGATCGGGATGTCGCGCCAGCTCTGGTTGGGAAGGTCCTGGTCGAGGTTGGCGAGCGAGTTGGGGTCGGCCGACAGCGCCTGGTACTGCTGACGCAGACGGTCGCCTGCAGCGATCTGACGGAAGCGGTCGAGGTCGACGACGTAGAGGGCGCTGATGTGGTACGGGCGGCCCTGCAGGTGCTTTTCCCAGTAGCTGTCGCCAGGCGGAAGGTCAGTGCTCAGGCTCCAGGGACGCTCGGGACGAGGCACCGTCAAGAGGCGAGGGCGATCAAGTAGGTAGTACGTGAGGAGGGAGGGGAGGAGAGGGAGAGCGGGACGCACCCAGTCTTCCAGAACCGGAACCCCTCCATCTCCTCGCGGTCGTCGCCCATCGGCGCGTAGGCGTACGGCGCACCGTCGAGGTCGAGGTCGACGAGCTCCTTGAGGTCGGCGCGCACGATCCTGCAGCGAGAGGTCGGGTCAGTCGGGACGAGGGAAGGCGGGCGAGGAGAGAGTGGGGGACGCACTGGTCCGAGTCGACAAAGATGACGCGCTCGAGCTCGAGAGGGAACAAGACGTCGAGGAAGAGGATCTTGTAGCTGTGGCGGGGCGCTCGAGTCAGTGTCGGGGTCTGAAAGGAAAGGAAAGAGAAGGAAAAGGTGTGCACGCACCCCCAGATCGTGCGCTGCTTCTCCTTCTGGCCGCGCAGCCAGTGCGGCCACTTGTACGTGACGAGCTCGTACGAGAAGCCGTACTCGGCGGCGACGTGCGGCAGGAACGCCTTGAACGACGGCGACAGGAAGTTCTCGATGAACCAGAACTTGACGCTGCTCTCGGTGTGCCGCATGACCGAGACGCACATGAGGAACGCCATGCGCTGCAGGAGCGCCCGAGACTTAGGCCACGGCAACTTCAAGGGCCCGAGAGGGGGAGAGAGAGAGGCGCACCTCGTACAGGAGGCCCGATGCGACCGTGAAGACGTTGATCTCGGCGCCCTTGCCCGTCGAGACGAGGTCCTTGCCGCTCGAGCCGCCGAAGAAGGGGAGCCTGTCGGAGAAAATGTCAGAGAGGGCTCGTGTAGGGCGAGGAACGAGGGGAAAGAGGGCGCACATCGACTTGATCCGCTCGACGACACCGCCCGACTCGCGCTTGCCCGCCGTGCCCGACGCCGCCGACTCGTCGAGGAGCTCCGTCAACTCTTGGCCCGGCTTGCGGTAGAAGCGCGGGTAGAGCGTGAGGCCCTCGAGCGTCGACACGACGAACGAGTCGCCCGTCGTCGCGACGTTGCCGCTCTTCCACCCGTCGGCGCCCGTGCTCTCGAGCTCGTAGACGTCGGCGCCCTTGCCGGGCCGGATGCCGAGTCGCCAAACGCCGGGAGCGGCCTTCCACTGGGCGTAGCCGAGGTTGGCCATGACGGTCGTGCTGCGCAAGGAGGGAGAGCAAGGTGAGCCTGGGTACGGCGGGCGGGAAGGAGGGGAAGAGAGGGACGCACTCGACTCGTTGCTCGTGCGGGCTCGACTCGACGCCGCTCTTGAGCTCGAGTTGAAGCCCTCGCGGCGGCCTGCTCGACGGCAGCTCTCGCGCGTGCGCCTCGACGACGAGCGCCTCGAGCTCGAGGACCGCTTCGACGCCCTCGGCCTTGCTCCACTCAGGCAGGTCGGCGAGGCGGATGTTGTCGAGGTCGTGCACGCTCGTCTTGGGGAAGGCGAACCACGACTTTTGCGCGTCGACGCCGAACGTGACGAGGACGTCCTCGGGGACGTTGTCGAAGCGGATGCTCGGCTCGATCTCGTTGCCGCTCGTCGAGTCGAACCGGGGCTCGGGCTCGAACACGTATTCGTAGAAGCGCTTGATCGGGACCTCGGTGACGTGGAGCGACGGGTTGAGGTAGAGCCGGACGTGGGTCGTGTTGAGCCCGGCGAGCGTCTTGATGACGGGCGCCCACCGTTGAGCGAGCTCGGTCGCAGGGTCGACGACGACCGCGACCTCGAACAGGGCGCCACGCGACAGGTTGCCGATGACCGAGCTGTGTCGGGAGGCGACAAGGTCAGGCTCGATCGGTCGACGGCGAGGAGGAGAAAGTCAAGCCGACGCACCTGTGGTCGCTGAGCAGGGCGTTGTAGCTCCTCGTGCGCTCGACAGGACCGCCGCCAAACATGCCCTGCGCAGGGTCGGGCAGGTGCGCAAAGCCGATGATCGAGGTCGCGAGGTTGTAGGCTTGCGAGATGGTCGACCTGCGCGACGGCGAAAGTCAGGGCTGTGCCTGAGAGGGCACGAGACGAGAAGGGGGGACGCACCGACTGGCGTGCATGAGGTCAAAGACGGTCGAGTTGAAGGCGGCGACAACCGGCTCGATGCGCTTCTCTAGCTCGTGCGCGAGGAGGGTGCGCAGGTCGGGAAGGCCAAAGATGCCGTCCGGGAACGGGCCAACGACCTGCGTCGGCGACACGAGGAGGGTCAGTGACGGTCCTCAGGGCTCGACAAGGAGGGGAAGAGAAGGAGATAGGGCGACTCACGCGACCGTTGAGGATGACGCCGTTCTCGCCCGGTCCGAAACCGAGTTTCGCGACGAGCCACTGCAGCTCCTCCCACCACAGGAGCGCGTCGAACGCCCGCTCCTTGTCGACGCCCTTGGTCTTGAGGAGCTCCTTGAGCGGGTTCTCGGGCTGCCACGACAGGCCGGCACCGCCCTCGGGCCCCTCGGACGAGATCGACAGGTCGATCCAGCTGATGAGCTCGCCGGGCAGGATCTCGTCGAGCTTCTTGTTCTTGTGCAGCGCCCACAGCGTGTTGGACAGGGCGTAGGCGTGCGGCACGTCGTCGAAGCTCGGCGGGTTGTGCAGGAACGAGACGCGGATCTTGGTCGACTGGTCGGCGAGCTGGAGGGCGGCCTTGGCAAGCTGAGCGCCCGTCGGCGTGTCGAGGTCGGTGACGACGAGCATGGTGGCGACGGCAGGTGGACCCTCGATGTCGTAGCCGGTCGTCTCGTTGAGGTCACCCGACGCTGCAGATGGGGCGAGAGAAAGTCAGGTCCGGTACCTGCGCGAGACGGCCCACGTCGGCTCGAGCTCACCTCCCTCGATGTAGGAGCCGTGCGTGAACGTCCTGTCGACGCCGTCGAACGCCTTGGCGAGGTTGACGACCTTGAGCGGGTTGCTGTCGGACGGGAAGACGAACGGGTTGCGGCGCTTGTGCGTCGTCGGCAGGTTGGCGAAGAACGACTTGGCGTCGGTGCTGTCCGTGAGCGACTGGAGGTAGATCTCCTGCTGGAGGAACTGGGTGTGGAGCGCGAGGGTGCGCTGCAGGTTCTGGCCAAAGTCCTGTGGGCGGCCGAGGAGGTCAGAGCGGCTCGACGAGTGGCTCTCTGGCACGGACGGCGGGACGCACGTCGTCGAGAGGGAAGTAGGCGCCGTTCATGAAGAAGGAGCCGGGCTGGGCGAGCTCGTCGTCGTCCTCCTCCTCGAGGCTGTTGGGCAGGGCGACGCCGAGGCGACGAAGGTATTGCCGCGCCTTGTTGAGCCGCGAGTGCGACGCCGACGCCTTGTACCGCCCGACGCCCTTCTGGACCTCGTCGTACGACGCGAGCTCGCCGCCGTCGATCGGCGGAAGGCGACCGGCGACCTGCTCGTACTTGCGACGTGCGAGCTCGACCGTGACGCGCCGGCCGTTGGCGGCCTTCTGCAGGCTCGCGAGGAACGACATGGCGGGACCGCGACCGACGACGTCGGTCAGGTACCACAGGAGCTGGGCGAGGTGCGTCTCGATGGCGTCCTCGGCGCCGAGCGGCGACACGAGCGGCACGACGCCGAACCGGATCGGGATCCCGCGCGACACAAACTGCTTGACGTTCTCGGTGATGAGGGCGAGCGAGACGAGCTGCGACAGGTCGACGAGGAAGACGACGTTGTTGAGGTTCTTGGCGACCTGGCTCATCGAGCCGGGGTAGCTCGGGCGCAGCAGCTGTTGACCGGGTCCGAGGACGTCAGGTCGGGCGAGAAGGGTCGAGAGAGAGAGAGAGAGAAGGTGTGGGACGCACATCGCGAACCGAGGTCGGCCACGACTGGTAGCGGCGGTCCTTCTCGAGGTCGTTCCACCACAGGATGACCTGCGAGCCCTCGTCGCGGTCGGTCGCGTCGTACAGCTCGCCGAGCACGTCGGCGTCGATGCGGTCGCGCATGCCGCCGGACGCCTTGGCCTTGGGCCCGCCATTGATGAGGAGGTCGCGCACGTCGCTGCCCGACAGGTGCGGGCTCAGGGCCGCGAGGTCGGCGAGGATCTTGCGCTCCTTGCGCATGAGGCGCAGGAGCGCGAACGGGTCGGCGTCGGCGTCCGACAGGGCGATGCCGTTCAGGAAGAAGTGCGGGCGCATGGCGAGGCGCGACGACATCTGGTTGGTCGAGACCTCGGACATGAGGTGCGGCGACGGGTCGGGAACGAGCGCAGGGAGGTGCGACGCGAGGCGAGGGAACGCCGAGGTGAGGTCGACAAAGGCGCTGAACGGGTCGTCCGACCCGAGGATGAACTGGGCGGTGCGGACGCTGAGCTCTGAGGGTGGGGAGCGAGGGTGAGGGACGGCTCGTCTCGACAAAGAGGGCTCGAGCGAGGGACAACGCACCTGCGACGTCGGCCTTCTTGACCGCTTCCATCTTTGCCGCCGCGCCGCCGTCGATGCCGAGCACCTCGTGCGCCGGCTTGGCGCCGCTCGACGAGCTCGCGCCCGTGAGGCGGTCGTCGATGACGAGGTAGTCGCTCTTCTTGATGTCGAGCGCGGCGCCGTACCCGCCGAGGACGAGCTTTTTCTGCTCGAGCTGCGCCTTGGTGCTCGGCTTCCATCGCAGGACGAGCTGCAGCCTCGGCGAGTACGACCGGGCTGGCGGCGCGACCGTCGGCGAGGGGGCGCCCGTGAGGGCAGACGGCGGCTGCGCCTTTGGGTTCGACTGAAGCGGCGACTTGGGGTTCGACAGGGAGAAGAGGAAGGTGAAAAGTCGAGGGAAGGAAGGCGAGGTGGGCGAGCCATACAGGACGAAGCGCGGGAGGGCGGCAACGCGCGGCGTGACGTGGTCGAACGGGTACAGGCGCGGTCGAGGGTGCGAGTCGAGGCTGTAGGATAGGACGTCAGGGCGGTCGTACTCGAGAGAAGGGACCGCGAGGGACGCACTGGTCGGGAAGCTGGATCGGCGTCGACTTGTCCTTCTGCTCGGGCCCGACGAGGTCCCAGAACTCGTCCTCGCTGCACGCCCTCTCACCCCTGACGTCGATCCAGCTCTCGCACGACGGCGCCGCCTCGTCGTCGTCGTCGTCGCGCACTCGCTCCGCCCTCGCCGGCGCGCCCTCGTCGGCTGCGAGCGCCGCGCCGACCTCGCTCTCGCGCTCCTCCCAGACGCGCCGCATGCCCTCGAGGAGGACGGTCGTCTCGCGGTTGGCGAGCGCGAGACGGATGCCGTCGCGGACGCCCTTGTCGCGCACGAGTACCGAGCGCGTCGTGCTGGCCTCGAGGAGGGCGAACGTGTCGGCGGGCGTGAGGGTGCCCTCGGGGGCAAAGACCGGGTTGGTGCCGGCATTGGCGAAGCGCTGGGCGCGGTGCTGGGACAAGGGCGGGAGCGGGTCGCGCAGGAACTTGGTCGAGTGGGGGTGCGACGCGAGGAAGGCGATGAGGGGAAACAGCGCTCCGGGCGCTTCGAGCTCGACCGTCTCGCTGTGGGCAGAGCCTGGGTCAGTTCGAGTCGCCAGGCAGGAGGCTCGGGGACGCACAGGTACTGGGTGACGAGATCTGGAGCTGGCCAGGCCGTCTCGATGCGGGCTGTGACGGGCGGCGACGCAGAGCTGCAGGCGCTGCTCGCGGCCAGCAGCAGGCCGACGAGCCCACCGAGGAGCATGACGCGGGCGACTCGCGCGGCGGGACGAGGTGTGGGACGAGGAGGAGCGCACGCCGACTCGCGCCCCGCCGTCGCTCCTCTCGCACGAGAAGCCGTCTCTCGCTCTCGCTCGCCCTCCTGCACGCTCGCCTTGCACGTTTTAGAATGCACGAGAAAGAGGAGGAAGGGGGAACTGCAAAAGAGACGATGAGAGGCACAGCTGGTGGTGGTGGTCGAGGTGGTCGACGAGGAGAGAGAGATGGAGAGGGAGGGTATCCGTGTGTGCGAGCTGCTCGTGCGGCCCGCTCTACGCCGCCGAGCTCCTGAGCCCGCTCGCGCTCTTGCCGACCTCGGTGACGCCGCTGACGCGGCAGACCTGGCCGGCAAACTGCGGGTGGTACCGCGCGCCCGTGAACGGGTCCTCGACGGCCTGCGCCTGGCCGTACAGCGGCGTCAAGCTCGCCGGGCACACGTCGAACGCCTGGTGGACGTCGTAGTCGATGTCGACGGCGTCGCGCGGGTACCGGTTGGCCGTCTGGAGGACCGTGTTGGCCTGCTGCGCCACGTTGGCCGCCGGGTTGAGGTCGAGGAGCTTTTGCGCAAACGACGCCGCCGTCGGGTAGTTCTTGGCTTTGGAGAAGGTCGTCATGGCGAGGCGGAGCGCGAGCTGGAGGTGGGCGGGTTGGAGGCGGCAGTGCGTAAAGTAGGCGGCGAGCTCGAGCTGGCGCTTGAGCTGCGTCGGGTCGGCCGCGATCCTCCGTCGCTCAATCTCGAGCGACAGGCCGATGAGGTACTCGCGGCACACGATGACGAGCTCCTGCAGCTCGGCCGCCTCGGCCGCCGTCGACGTGACGACGAGGAGGAGGGACTGGAGGATGGCGCGGACAGGTCGGCCGCCTCGACGAACTTGGCGCGCTGGAACGCCGCGTACGCCTCGCGCAGCTTGCCCGACGTGATGCCGTGCAGCGACAGGGTCGCGACGGGGAGGACGCTCCTCGGCTCGGCGCGCTCGGCGTTCCGCCGCAGCGGGATCTCGAGCGGCGGGAGCGACGGCGCGGCGGGCAGGTACAGGCGCGACGACCGGTACACGCCGAGGAACAAGGGCTTGAGCGGCGCAAAGTCGACGACGCCGACCTGGCGGTTGAGGAGGCCCATGGCCGTCTCGAACGAACCTGCCGCGACGTGGTCGGCCGCGAGCGGCGAGTTGCGCACCCACAGCTCGCCCTCGGGGATGCCGGGCTGCACCGCGCCCGCGAGCTCGTCGTCGGCTCCGGCGCCGCCGAACTCTGCCGCCCCCTCGCCGCCCGCCTCGCCGCTGCCGCCGCCGTTGAGGAACGCGTCGTCGGCGCCTCCTGCCGCCGCGCCGTCGCCGCCCTCGTCGGCGAGATCCCACGCGTCCTCGGCCTCCTGCGCCGCCTGCCGGTCGAGCGTGTTGCCGTCCTCGGCGGCCCACGCGAGGCCGCCCTCCTCGCCGGCGACCGCCTGCTCGAGAAGGTCGTCGCCGTCGTACGCGTCGAGCCCGGTCGGCTCGCCGCTCGCGGCCGCAGCGAGCGCACGGTCGAAGAAGCTCTCGGTGACGCCGACCGAGGGCCAGTTGTGCTCGAACGTGTGGGTGACGATGGGCGGCGGGCGCAGGGTCGAGCGCTGCGGGAGCGAGGCGGGCAGGACGCCGGCGACGTCGTCCTCGGTGAGGCCGGCCTCGTCGAGGACCTGCTGCGCGAGGTCGTCGAGGCCGTTCGTCTTGGCCGTCATGTAGGCGAGCGGGTGCAGGCCGGCCTCGAGGAGGACGGTGACGCGCGCCTCGACGTTGCCCGTGTAGAGCGCGTTGTGGAAGCGCGACATGGGGTCGCCGCGCATCTCGGCAATCTTGCTCATCTTGGCGAGCTTGTCCTGGTTGCCCGTCGTGAGGTACAGGAACGAGAGGCGGTCAAAGTTCTTGGTGCGCTGGTAGGCGACCTCGACGATCTTGTGGTTGCCCTGCTTGAGCGCCTGCTGGCCGAGGCGCGCCCACGTGTCCTCGCGGTCGAGCGCCTTGGCCATCTCGAGCGCGACGTCGAGGTTGCCGCACTCGATGGCGAGGTCGAACCGGGTCGTCTTGTCCTGGACAAAGTGGAGCGCGATCTGCGAGGCGCACGACGGCGACGAGGCATCGGGTCAGTTCTGCTACAAGTGCACCAAGACGCACGAGGGCTCGCCAACAGGGCGAGACCGCGAGCGAGGGCGCAGTAGAGAGGCAGAGAGGGCGAGAGGGGGACGCACCTCGGGGAAGCCCTTCTTCTGGAGGTAGGCGATGATGCTCTGGCCGACGAGGTTGCTCGTCTTGATGATGTGGAGGACCTCGTCATAGTTCTTGCGCACGAGGGCGAGCTTGAACCGGTACTCGGTCGGGTCGATGACGAGCGTCTCGGGGCGGGCGTCGCGCGTGAGGACGTGCACGCTCTTGCCGCGGACCCGGGTCAGGTACACGGGCTGCTCGAGCGTCTTGATGATGCCGTTGTCGCCGTTCGGGAGCGCGTACTTGACGTGGTTCAGCGTCGTGTACAGGAGGACGCCGGCATCGTCCCACGCGCCGCTCTTGATCCGGATCGTCTCGTGGATGAGGTTGGCCTGGCCGAGCGTCTTGTTGGCGAGCATGATCGTGTGCTTGGACAGGAGGGCGACCATCGTGTTGTCGTGGTTCCACACGACGTACTTGACGAGCGGCGTCGCGAGCTCGGCGACCGTCTTCTGCTGCTGGATGTCGTACAGGACGACCGACGTCGCCGTCGACAGGAGCAGGCTCGCCGTGCCGCCAAAGAAGATGTCCTGGGTCTGGACGGGGCACTTGATCGTCTTGGTGATGGCGTTGTCGAGGTCGCGGATCTCGATCGTCTGCGCCGCGCGGTCGAGGACGGCGAGGCGGTTGCGCGCGACGAACAGGGCCGACGAGCCCGTGCCGCGCTTGCCGTCGCTCGCGCTGTCGCGCACCTCGCCCGACGCCATGTCGCGCGGCAGGCGCACGAGCTCGTACAGGCCGTTGTCGCTCGTCGACGTGACGATGACGGCCTTCTCGGCCGGGTTGTACGACAGGGTGCGCGGCTGCTGGTACTGGGTGCCGAGGCGGCGCACCGACACGACGCTCGTGTCCTGGCCCGTCGCAAAGTCATGCGCGCGCACGTGCTTGTCGCGCACGTAGAAGAGCGTGTTGCCGTGCGTCGCGAACGCCGGGCGCTCGCGGTCGAGCTTGAACACGATCAGGCCCGAGTCGTGCCCGGCGGCGAACAGGTTGAGGCGCGGGTGGGCTGTCAGGACCCAGAACCGGTCGTTCTCGCGGCGGAACGTCTGGACCGCCGTGCGCTTCGACATGTCCCACACCCGGATCGTCTTGTCCTCCGAGTCCGAGATGATGAGCTCGTGCTTGGGGTGGAACAGGGCGCTCGACACGTTGTTGTAGTGGCCGCGGCACGTGTCGACCTCCCACGCCTTGGTCTCGGACATGCGCCACAGCTTGATCTGGCGGTCGTCGCCGCACGACACGATGAGGGGCAGGGTCGGGTGGAACGTCGCCCAGTTCACGCCGCGGTCGTGGCCCTCGAGGACGTACTTGACGACGGCGTCCGTGTTGCCAAACAGGTCGGCCTGGCCGGCGTTGGCCCGCTGGATCTGCTCCTCGAACGAGAGCGGGGCCGCCGTCGTCGACTTCTTGCGCAGGCCTGTAGGTGGGACAAAGAGCGTCAGTCGGCGTTGCGCAGGAAGGAGGAGAGCGGGCGAGGACGAGGAAGGGCGGGCGAGGGACGCACCCGAGATGTCCCACACGCGCACCGTCTGGTCCATCGACGCCGACACGACATAGTCCTCCTTCGGGTGGAACTGGGCGCACCTGCGAGGGCGAGGAGAGAGGCGAGCGGTCAGTCCTCGTGCTCGAGACGCAGGGACGTCGACGGGACCGTCGAGCTGCGGCCGCACACGCTCGGCCACCGGCGACGAGAGGGGAAAGGGACAGTGGGACGCACATGATGTAGTGATTGTGGCCGGTGAGGATGGCGATGCACGTGCGGCTCTGCCAGTTCCAGATGCGGATCGTCTGGTCGTCGGACGCCGAGATGATCCAGGGCTGCTCCGGGTGGAAGTAGACCGAGCGGACGTAGTCGAGGTGGCCGTGGAGCGTAAACAGGCACCGGCGCGTCTTGTAGTTCCACACCTTGATCTTGTAGTCGTCGCCGCCCGAGACGAACAAGGGCTGGGTCGGGTGAAAGTCGATGCCGCGCACGGGGCCGTCGTGCTCCTCGAAGCGGTCGACGAGGACGCCCATCTGGAAGTTCCACAGCTGGATCGAGCCCGAGTGGAGCGACGCGGCGAGGAGCGTCAGGCGCGGGTGGAACGCGATGCCCTTGACCCGGTTCGACTTGCTCTCGAACTGCAGGGCGAGTTGCCGCGGACCGAGGAGAGGGAGGAGAATGCGAGAAAGAGTCAGTGACAGTCGCACACACGTGCAGGCGCGAGGCAGAGAGAGAGAGGGACGCGACACGAGGTGGAGGGGGGGAAGGGAGGAGGGGGAGCGGGGGGAGAGCGAGGGAGACGAGCTCTCCGGCGGCGAGGGGACGGCAGGGGGAGCGGGCGCACCTTTGTGAGCATCTGCATGGTGGGCGGATGAGGCTGCGGGCCGAGGTCGAGGTGGTGGGCGAGCGGGATCCGGGGTGACGAGACGAGACGAGAGGGGGAGCTACGGCTTGGCCTGGCTCGACGAGGTGGAGCGCGCGGCACGTGGGGGTGTGTGTCGAGGTGCCCTGGTGGCGGTAGAGCTCGAGTGGAGGCCGTCGCCGAGGGAGGCGGGCTGGGGTGGTGCTTGGAGCGAGCGACCAGCGGAATCGCGTCGAGGCGAGGCGCGTTCAGAACTGGCAGATTAGCCTGGCCAATACAACCCGGGTGGTATTGGCCCGAGTAAGGCCACAGCTCATCGCATCCCTCGTCTCTGGCTCACCTCGCTCCCAACGCCTCAGCACACTCTCGTCGAGCACCCACGCCTAGCCTCGGCAACCCTTCAAGCTCCAGCCACCCTCGCCTCGCCCTCGACCCAGGTCCTCGTCGCCCTCGACCACCTTTCACCGCCTCGCCCCTCCGTCCTCACTCTCTCCCACCTCGACCTCGCCATGATCATCCCCGTCCGGTGAGTTGTCCTGTCCTCTCCCTGTGCTGGCCGGGCACGCCTTGGCGCGAGAGGCGGCTCGCCCTGCGTGGACGACCGCCTCGAGCTCTTGCCGCTGCACTCGGCACCTCGGCGGCTTGCACAGGCACCCTGACTGACTCGCCTTGTTGCCACTGGACACAGCTGCTTCAGTTGCGGTGCGTCGAGCTCACTCCTCGGCCGAGTCGCGGTCGCTGACCTGTCTTTCCTCCATCTCCCCCCCCTCCTCATCTCTCGCGTTCTCGCCGCCCCCGCCCCCGTCTCTGCACACAGGCAAGGTCGTCGGCGACCGCTGGACCGCATACCTGCAGCTCCTCGAGGCCGGCCACAACGAGGGGTTCGTCCTCGCTCTCATCTTCCCTCCTCTCCTCCCGGCGCAACCCTGACCCTCGGTCCCCTGAATGCCCACAGTGAGGCGCTCGACGGTCTCGGGCTCAAGCGTTACTGCTGCCGCCGCATGGTCCTCACGCACGTCGACCTCATCGAGAAGCTCCTCCACTGTGCGTCCCTCCCTCTTTCCCTCTCTTTCATGCAGTTTGCTCACCTCCTGCCTCGCTCGCAGACAACCGTGAGCCTTTCTTGCGTCTCGACATCGTCCAGTCGCCCCGTACTGACCCTCTCGTCACGATCCTGCAGCTATGGAGCGTCGGCAAGCTGCGTGAGCGAGTGCGCTCGCGGCGGTCGAGCGGTTCGAGGGGCGGAACGGTGGATGGGTCACTTGCGCTCGGTGCGGTGCAGGCGGCGTGTAACGTGTACGACCACGGTCTTCTCGTCTGCGCGTTCTCGTCCTCAGACCCGCTGCTTCGCTGCTCAGGCGCGCGCGCTGTGCTCGGGCCCGTTGTCGACGTGCGTCCGGCCGCTCGCGCCGCTTGCCCGGCTTGTCCGTCTCCCGCGCTTGAGCCTCGAGCACGGCTCGGTGTCGAGCGGACTTTCCGGACCCCGCGGCGAGCTCGCCGGGTGGCGCCAATCTGGTCCGCATGGATGGCTCTCTTCCCTTCCGCGCTTTCTCTTCCGCTTGCCCCTCGCATCATGTCGACTGTCACCGACGAGCCTCTTCCTCGCGTGCCTGCGTACGTCCAACTCTCTCGATTCCCCCTTGCGCCAAGCGACTCGCTCACGTCGTTCCTCTTGCCGCAGCCCGTGGCTCTTTACGGGCTCGTCGTGGGTCATCCCGCTCCACACGCCGTTCAGCGAGACGCCGATCCCGCTCCCCGCCGGGTCGTACGCGCCGTTCGAGGCCGGCTCGACGGCCGACCTGTCGCGCCGGTACCACGGCGGCGTCGGCCTCGTCCTCGTCCTGCGCTACGACCACTCCGACGTCGGCCCGTACGACGAGCTCATCCTCATCCCGGGCCTGTTCTCGAACGAGCACGAGGGCGAGGGCGTCAAGTACGACTGGGCGATCACGCGCATCATCGTCTCGAGCGACAAGTCGACCGTCAACGTGCGTCCCTCTTTCCCTCCCTCTCGCTCAATCCCAGGACTGACTGTCTCTCTTCATGCGCACAGGGACGGCCCGAGTGGGGCATGCCCAAGTAAGCGAGGGTTCTCTGCCGTCCAGCGTCATCGAGAAGAAGCCCGCTCTGACCTCCTCGTCCCCTTTTCGCGACAGGCACCGCGGCGTCTTCTCGTTCACGCCCTCGCCCTCGTCGTCATCGTCGACCCTCATCACGGTCGCGCACCCGACGTCGCCCGACGAGCCCTACTTCCGCACCGTCGTGCGCGACTCGTGGGCGACGCCGTTCCCGCCCCCCGTCTCGACGCACTGGCTCGCCCTCGGGCCCATCAAGGCCCTCCTCGCGGGCTACAAGCCGAGCCCTTCCAGCTGCCGCTCCCCGCCGCCCTCGGCGACGCCGCCGTCGGCGAGGCCAAGCTCGCCCAGCTGCGCGAGACGGCCCAGCGCCTCGACGCCTTTGTTGCGTGCCCCGAACCGCTCCGCGTCGACTTTGCCGCGACGGGACGTTGCCGCATCTGCGTCGTCGAGCCGGCGCCGTACGGCGAGGGCGAGCGTCGCTCGGGCGGCGACAAGCTCGACGACGAGGACAAGGAGCGCGAGTGGGCTGAGCTGGGCGACGGCGTCGGGTTCCCGCGCGTCAAGCCTCTGTCGAGGGTCGCCAACTTTCACCTTACGAGGTTCAGCATGGAACTCGCCAAGGGCGTCGTCGTCAAGCTCAAGCTCTAGGGCCGTCGAGCTCATCGGCGGGCCCGTGCGAGGTGACGACGAGCTCTTTGTCGGCGACGAGGCGGGCCTTGCGTGCTCGAGAATCTGTGCAACGTGTCTATGTCTCTCTTTCGAGCCGTCGAGTGCGAGAGCACGAGAGCTGCACCGCGAGAGGGACTCGGAGAAGCGGCTCGAGCGAGAGCAAGTCGTCCTTGAGCAGCGCTCTCTCGCCGGCTCTGAGGACGCCAAGCCCTCTCCTCTCACGCAACAGGCCGTGCGAGTCGATGCGATGCGGTAACAGTACACCCGGGGACAACACCATCGCCCTCCCCCGCCCTCCTCCTCCTCCTTCTCGAGCGTCTCGAGACCCGTCTCGCGCTCATGCGGGAAGCACAGAGCCCTCGGCCGGGAGCGGGAGCTTGGGGTGCTTGGCCTCGAAGTGGTCTGCAGGGCCGAGAGGGTGAGCTGGATGCGTGAGAGCGAGAGACCGCGAGCTCGCCACCATCCACGACGTGCTGCCGATGGCGCGACCAGCACGGCGAGGACGGGAGGAGAGCATGCCGTGCTCACCCTTGAAGTTCTTGTAGTCGGACATCGGGGCCTTGCACGCCGGGCACGAGATCTGCGACGAGAGGGGGGGCCAGAGAGAGGTGAGCGAGGCGTCCCGCATCGCGACGACGGCGACATGCAGGCAGGAGAGAGGGGCAGGACGTACCTTGAGGCCAGCAGCACGGGTCGAGAGCTGCGACTTGCCGCCGGCGGCCTTTGCCATCTTCTCGCGCGACTTGGCCCTGGGGGAGGAGAGATGAGGAGGTGAGCTCGAGCTCACGGCGCCATCGCGACTCGGGGCAGGCAGGGAAGGGGCAGGACCGGTGGGACGCACTGTGCCTGTTCCTTCTGAAGACCGCGAGCCATGCTTGAGTCGTGTAGTGGGGAGGACGAGGGCGAGCTTCTTCCGAGCCGGCTCCCCTGTTCGTCCGCCCGCTCCCTCTCCACCTGCGCCAATGCTGTGCAGCCAGCTGGCACGCGCGATAGGCTGCGCTCGACCCCTCTCACGTGCGCGTCCGACCGGACGAGCCGCGGGCCTTCTCTCCTGCTCGCCGTCGCCGACCTCTCGAGCCGAGTCGGCGCTCTGCCCGGAGCTAGCGCTCGAGGCTGGTGCTGCAGCTCTGCTCCTCTGCCTCTCGCACCGCTGCGTCCATCTCGCTCGCTCGGCCCGACCCTGCGATGGCCACCAAGACTCGCGCCCCTCTCCCCGTCTCGCCTGGGTGCGTCCAACTTCCCCTGCGCCATCCTTCTGCGCGACCGCGAGCTCACTTTCGTCCCCTACAGGCCCTGGTCGCTCCAAGGCGAGGCGTGGATCTTCATCATCCGCGATCAGCCCTTCTCGGAGACGCCCGTCCCGCTCCCCGAGGGCAACTACGCGCCACTCGAGAAGGGCAGCGCTGGCGACCTCAGCCACCGCTTTCACGGCGGCACTGGCCTGTTTCTCGTCATTCGCTACAGCGCCACACCGGGTGCGTCCCTCCTCCTCTTCGACGCGTTTGAGCGAGTCCGGGAGCGTCGACTCACCCTGCTCTCCTTCCTCCCCTTCAGTCGGCCGGTACGACGAGATCATGATCGTGCCAGGCTTGTTCTCGTACAAGGTCAAGGGCCGCAAGGACAAGCTGTATCGCTGGGCCATCACGAGGCTGTACGTCTCGCGCGACGAGTCGACTTGCAACGGTGAGCTCCCGCTCTTTCCCTCCCGCTCTTTGCCCGCTCTTTGCCCTCGACGTACAGAGTCCCCTGACACTCTGCCTCTCCTGCAGGTCGCCCTAATTGGGGCATCCCCAAGTACGTCCCTCGCCCCTTCTCACTCTCCTCGAAAGTCACTGACTCGAGGTTCCCGCGCAGGCACACGGCCGACTTTACCTTCACCGACGTCGCCGACGGCTCGCAGCAGCTTACGGTCCAGCACCCGGTCCCAGGCGCTACCCCATTCTTCCGCTGCCGCCTCCAGCACTCGCGCCTCACGCCCTTCTCGTTCCCGGTCTCGACCACGTGGCTCGAGACGCGCCTCGCCAAGACGCTCCTCGTGCGCCACTACGAGATCGAGCTCATCCAGCCACCGTGCCCGGCCGCCGAGGGCGACGACGACCCGCGCATCGCGCCCGAGGGCCAGCGCGCCGAGGCGCTCAAGGAGGGGACGGGCTATCGTCGCGTTCTGCACCCGGCGTCGGGCTGGGGCAAGGCGTGCAAGCTCCTCCCGGCGCCACCTGCGGCCGGCGAGCCTGGGTACGGGCAGGACTGGAGCGAGTTTGGCGACGGCAAAAGCTTCCCCAAGTTCAAGGGCTCGTACCTCGAGCGCCTCAACGTCCACCTCCTCACGTTCGACATGCTCGTGCCGCTCGCCGAGCTCGTCGACGTCGAGGACGAATGAGGCGGGTCTTTCGGTGGCGGTCGCGGTCTGTGTAGCCGTCGTTGTGTTGCCCTCCTCACGCTCTCGAGCCTCTTCCTCGTCGTCCTCCTTGCCTGCAACTCTGTCGCGCGCTCTCTCTCTTGGCCTGCGTGAGTGCATGCGAGAGGCTGTGCATCGTCTGCCGATGTCGGCGAGCGCCTGAGAGACGAACGCTCGCTCTCCCCGCACTCGAACTCCGAGCGGGAGGAGGCGAGCCGGCTCTCCTCCCTCGCTCCTCGTGCGGCACTTCGACCGCCACCACGAGACTACCAGATGGCTGCTCCTGCGCCTCAGGCTATCCCTGTCTGCTCAGCGTGCGTCCCCGTTCTCTCCTTCCCCACCTCCGTCCTCATCTCCGAGAAGTGGGAGATGAAGCTTAGGCGGCGCGAGCACAGGCCGAGCGACTTTGCACTGACTCTCCTTTCGGTCCACAGGCCCTGGAGCTTGACCGGCGAAGGCTGGATCCTCCCCCTGTTCACGCCATTCTCCAAGGAACCGATCCCGCTGCCCTCGGGTGCGTACGCCCCGCTCGAGCGAGGGAGCAAGGCCGACCTGAGCGAGCGGTACCACGGCGGCTTCGGTGTGGTGCTCGTCGTGCGCTACGAGTCGAGCAACGGTGCGTCCGACCGTCGTCCCCTTTCCCTCCTCCCACCCGACCCCTCGAAGCTCGGCGACACCTGGACTCGGCACGGACTCTCTCCCTCGCTCGCAGTCGGCCCTTACGACGAGCTCATGATCATCCCGGGCCTGTTCAGCCACCCGGGCAAGGACGGCGGGGGCGGCGAGCCCAGCTACGCCCTCGCCATCACGCGCATTTACGTCTCGACGGTCGCGAGTGTCGCCAACGGGCGCAGGGAGTGGGGCATCCCCAAGTGCGTCCAGCTTTCCCTCGCTCTCACTCTTGAGTACGGTCTGATGAGGGGCGCCCGCAGGCATCGCGCCGTGTTCGACTTCCAGATCTCCTCGTCCGGCCGCACGACCCTATCGGTTTCGCACCCCTCCTCCCCCTCGACGCCCTTCTTCCGCATCGCCTTCCGCCCCTCTCGTCTCACGCCCCTCTCGATCCCCATCCGCACCTCGTGGCTCTCGACACGCCTCGCGCGAGTATGCATGGCCGGGTACGAGCCGGCGCTCGTACAGCCGCCGCTGCCCGCCGCCGAGGAGGGCGACGACCAGGGCACGGGACAGCGCGCCGACGCGCTCGTCGCGAGCGAGCAGCCGTACCGCGTCGAGCCGAGCGCGGCGGGCTGGGCCAGGGCGGTCGTCGTCGAGGCCTTTCCTGAGGAGGAGGAGGGCGAGGGCAAAGACGGCTCGAGCGGGCGCGACTGGAGCGGGTTTGGCGACGGCGAGGGTTTCCCGCACTTCGAGGTGTACGGCGCGAGGCTCAACCTGCACGTGCAAGGGCTCGAGATGGGCTTTCCCGTCCCGAGCGTCGTCGAGGGTTGAGCATGATGGACGGACGCGAGGTGGCGGCTGTAGCTGCGTGCCGGTGCGCCAAGAGAGCTCTTCTTCTTTGCATTGCGTCGTTGAGAGCGCGAGAGCGAGAGACAGAGTGCGAGAGCGCGAGCGGTACTTGGTCAAAGACTCTTGCCGGCTCGCTCTCTCAAGCTCTCGTGGGAAACGCAGGATGAGAGGAACGGCCCTGCGATTGACAAGTGTACACAACAAGCGTTCGACGGCGCACACACACGCACGACAACCTTGACGGAGGTCGAGCGAGAGAAAGAGAAAGCGCGCTCGACCCCCTCCTGCTCGCCCTGGCTCAGCCCGACGAGCCCTTCTGCCGCTTGACGGCGCCCGTCGCAGCGTCGACGTCGAGCTCGCCGAGCGGCGCACGAGGCGAGTCCGAGGCGCGAGGAGCGCTGCCGCCGGAGCGGACGGGTGGCGAGGGGTCGTACCTGCGCGTGGAGGAGGCCGTTAGTGAGTCGCTCAGGCCTCGCGTCGTCGAGAGAGAGAGAAAGAAAGAGAGGGACGCACCCATCGCCGACGCCCCTCTTGACGCCCCGCGCGCTGATGAACCCTCCCTGTGGCGGCACCTCGACCACCGCGCCGCCCGCCGCCCTGAGCCGCTCCGGGCTGATGCCGACAAGCCCGCTCACGCCGCCGAGGCTCGCGACGTTCACCTCGCGGGCCGCACCTCCTCCTCCGCTGCCCGATCCCGCAGCGCGCACGACGCCCGCACCGACCGCGAGCGCAGGGAGCAGGCCCGCCACCTTGGCCTGCGGCCGGCCCGCCGCCGCCGCCGCCGCTCCCGCCGCCCCGCCCACCGCCTCGCCCGAGCCCGAGCCCGCGCTCGTCGCCGAGTTGGACCTGCTCGGCGGAGCCTGCGGCGGGCGCAGAGCCGGCGGGCGCGCCGTGCCGAGCGCGGGCCCTTGGCCTTGCGGGTGCCCGAGCCTGAGCAGCTCGGCCGCGCTCGCGCTCGTCGTTCCTCCTCCTCCTCCGCCTCCCGCACCGTGACCGTCGCCTGCGACCGTCGCGCGCCGGTGCGGCGCCGTCGGCGCGGCCGCCGACGCGTGCGGCGAGTTGGTCTGCTCGCGCGCCGCGTCCGCGTTGCGCTTCCTGGCGAGGCGCTCCATGGCGGCGGCCTTGGCGGCCTGGAGGGCCGAGGACGAGGTCGAGCCGGGTGAGGGACGGCGCGGCGGCGGCGGCGCCTGGTGCGGAACGAGCGTCGGCATCGAGGGAGGCGCGGCAAACGGCGGCTTGGCCGAGAGAAAGCTGTGTGCGGCTCGCGAGAGAGAGTCAGTGGCGCACAGTGGAAGAGGAGAGAGAGAGGGAGAGGGCAGGAGGCGCACCTCGTCTCGCCGAGCCCGTCGACCTCGCCGAACCCGCTGTCGCCCTCGAAGCACCCCTGCGCCGTCCCGCCGTCCTCCTCCGTCATGGCGCTCTCGGCCATCACCTCGACGTCCACACTCTCGCCCTCGCCCTCGACGCCGAGTCGACCGCGGCAAACATGCTCTCGTCGTCGCTGTTGAGCGGGAACTCAGTCTGCGCGCCGGCGCGGTCGTACGGGTTCGGTGCGCTCGTGCCCAGGCCGACGCTCGTGCTCGTGTTCGTCGTCGCGGCGGCGACGGCGGCCGAGGTCGGCGCGGCAACGGTCGCTGCGCGGCGAGGCGTCGGCCCGGTCGAGGTGCGCGCGCCGGGTGCAGGTGCAGGTGCGGCGCCGGCGGCGGCACGCGGCGCGGCCGTTGATGCGCGGTGCGCCTGCGCGGCGAGGTGAGGCGGGAGCGGCGGCGGACCCTTGGCGGGCTCCTTCTTGGGCAGCGAGGCGGCGGCGGCGGCCGGGCGAGGAACGGGAGGAGGTGGAGGGGGCATGGTCGAGGTCGGTGTTGGCGGGACGGCCAACGCCGGGGCGGTCGGGCGCACGTTGTCGCGTTCAGGCTTGTAGATGCCCTCGAAGTCGAACTTGGGCTGCGAGCGGGTACGAGCGAGGTCAGTGCGGTCGCGGCAAACGGGTCGCGCCATGCGGGCGATCACGCCGACGGCGCTCTCGCCGACAGGCAGCAGGCACCGCGACGCACCTTGGACGCCTTCATCTTGGACAGGCCCTCGAGGTAGTTCTTGTCGTACAGGCAGTTGCCGAGGAGCTTGCCAAAGTGGCGCAGCGCGCGCTTGAGGGCGTCCGTGACCGCCTCCTTCTTGCACTGCGAGCGATACAGAGACTGTGAGTCGATGGACAGACGGCGACGCGAGAGAGGGGGGGCGGGCGCACCTTGTCGAGGGCGTCGGCCTTGGACTTGCTGTTCTCGAGCTTGCCGTACCCGACGTCCTCGTGGCTGGCGCCGTCTTGAAGGCGAACGCGGACGATGGCCGTGACGCCGATGCTCCACCGCTGCGACTCGGGGCTCCAGTCGATCTGCGTGCGTGTGGGACAGAGGTCAGGGAGGGTGCGAGGGGAGGGGGGGAGAGGAAGGAGGACGGACAAAGTCGGCCTCGAGGTACTTGATGTCGGTGTACCAGCCGTTGTAGCCAAAGATCTCGTTGGCGAGGTTGATGGCCCTCCAGCCCTCGAGGTAGCTCAGCTTTGTGCCGCCGCCGCCTGGACGGTTGGCGACCTGGTCGGGCCCGAGCGTCTTCTGGAGGAGCGACTGGAGCTTGGCGGTGCGGTCTTGCGTGTGCTGGCTCATGCCGGTGAAGCTGTTCGGGGTGCGGACCTGGCCGGCTGGCGGGAGGTAGTCGGCCGGGTTGAAGGAGGGAGGGGGAGGTGCGGCGTGGGACGGCTCGCGGTACATGGTGCGGGCGTGCGGGTCGAGCCAGCGTGTGGGTGGGTCTTCGCCGAGCCAGTTGGCCATGGCTGGCTCGCCTGTCGAGGTTGAGGTTCAAGAGGGAGAGGGAGCGAGCCACGACGATGATGAAGTCGAGCCAGCCTCGTCGCGGCTCCCTGTTCGAGCAGTGCGCGCCTGGAAGGCTGTACGAGTATCTAGTAGAGTGCTCAACGGCTGCAGACCGCCCCCTCGAGCCGTTGCGGGAGAGCTCTCTCGCTCGAACAACACGGACGCGTCGCTCCACCTCGCTCTCTTCTCTCCGCCACCCGTCGCACACTCGCTCACCGGCTGCGAGCATGCGCAGGTCAGTCCTCACCGCCCTCAAGCAGGCACCCCAGGACGGCGACCAGCCCATCCCGCACCACTCCGGAGGTGGCCACGGCGTCCCTCAGCTCAAGCGTCCGTCCACCCTCTCCCTGCCCTCGTCCCAACCCCCAAGTCCGCCGGACTGCCTCACTGACCCCTCCTGCAACAGCGTTCAAGGTCCCGAGCTCGACTACGAGCACCCGCTCGCGCATCCTCGGCCGTTCCCGCACCACCGCCACCTCGGACGACTCGTCGTCGACCAAGCGCTGCCGCGTCGTCTACACCGAGAACGACTTTTACGAGACGGCCCGCACCGCCAACAGCGACGACGACGACGGCGGCGCCCCGGCCAAGAAGAAGCAGAAAAAGGCCAAGAAGAAGGACGACTCGGACGACGACGACGACGCGGCGGGCAAGAAGGCCAAGTTCGGCTTTGTCGACAAGTACAAGCCGCCGCCACCGCCCAAGCAGTTCCCCGTGTACCGCCCCAAGGCGTCCGACTCGGTCATCAGCAAGGCGTTCGCCCTCCCCGGCCTCAAGAAGCGCGGCATCCTCCTCACGCCCAAGCTGTCGCAGCGCCCGCTCGGCACCCGCGTCTCGGGCGACTTCCTCCCGACCCCGCTCCACGACCCGCTGAGCGAGCACGCCATCGTCCTGTGGGACCCGACCGTCGACGACCGCGAGGCCGAGCGCGAGCGGGCGCGCCTCGCCGACGAGAAGGCGGCCCAGGACGAGCTCGACGACGACGACGAGAAGGCGCGCAAGCAGGTGCACCGCAGCCTCGCCGACATCCTCGGCATCACGGACCGCAAGAAGCTCGCCGGCGGCGTCCGCAAGGTGGCCGTCGTCATCGACCCGGTCCTCGGCCGCAAGCTGCGCCCGCACCAGGTCGAGGGCGTCAAGTTCCTGTACCGCTGCTCGACCGGCATGACGGACGAGAACGCGTACGGCTGCATCATGGCCGACGAAATGGGCCTCGGCAAGACGGTCCGTCCTCGTCTTTCTCCTCGTCCTTCCTGATCGCCGAGCAGGCTCTCACTGACCCTCTCGCCCAACAGCTCCAGTGCATCGCCCTCATGTGGACGCTTCTCCGCCAGTCGCCGCTGCCCAACAAGTCGAGCATCGACAAGGCCATCGTCGTGTGCCCCTCGTCGCTCGTCAAGAACTGGGCCAACGAGCTCACCAAGTGGCTCGGCGACGACGCGCCGACGCCGCTCGCGATCGACGGCAAGGTGACGGGCAACGAGCTCGTCAACAAGGTGCGCCAGTGGTGCGCGACCAAGGGCAAGCAGGTCATGACGCCCGGTCCGTCCCTCCTTTCCTCCCTCCTCCCCTCCTCCACCCGCCGTGACTGACCTCTCGCCCCTGTCCACAGTCATCATCGTGTCGTACGAGAAGCTGCGCACGCTCACGGACGAGCTTGGCCAGACCGAGATCGGCCTGCTGCTCGCCGACGAGGGCCACCGCCTCAAGAACTCGAGTACGTCCCCCTCGCCGCCTCTCTCCCTCTCTTCCCTCGTTTGCGTACCGACACTCTACCTCGCCCGCAGCCAACCAGACGTACACGGCCCTGACTAAGATCAACTGCAAGCGCCGCGTCATCCTCACGGGCACGCCGATCCAAGTGCGCCCGCCTCTCCTCTTCCGCTCGGACCTCCTCGTCCGGACCTTCCACTGACGAACGTCCTCGACACACACAGAACGACCTCAACGAGTACTTCTCGCTGCTCGACTTCTGCAACCCGGGCTACCTCGGCACCAAGCAGGAGTTCCACAAGCAGTTCGAGCTGCCCATCCTCAAGGGCCGCGACGGCGACGCGACCGACAAGCAGAAGGAGCGCGGCAACGAGGCCATGAAGATGCTCGCCGAGAAGGTCAACAAGCTCATCATCCGCAGGACCAACGATCTCCTGAGCAAGTACCGTGCGTCGAGCTCTCTCCCTCGTCCTCGTTCTCGACCAGCGTCACTCACTCTGCCCCACACGCCCCTCACAGTCCCCGTCAAGTACGAGCACGTCGTCTTCTGCGGCCTGTCCGAGTTCCAGCTCGCCCTGTACCGCTTCTTCATGGCGTCGCCCGTCATGAAGGCGCTCCTGCGCGGCAAGGACTCGCAGCCGCTCAAGGCCATCACGATCCTGCGCAAGCTGTGCAACCACCCGGACCTGCTCGACTTTGACGAGGACCTGCCCGGCGCCGAGGACGCCTTCCCCGAGGGCTACGACCCGCGCAACCGCAGGAGGACGCTCGACCCGGTCCTCGGCGGCAAGATGGCCGTCCTCGACCGGTGCGCCCCTCTTTCTCTCTCTCTGTCTTTCGCGACGTCGACGACGCGTCACGAACGGTCACTGACACTCGACGACGCCGTGCAGGTTCCTCACCAAGATGCGCGCCGAGACCAACGACAAGATCGTCCTGATCTCCAACTTTACGTCGACGCTCGACCTCTTCCAGAAGCTGTGCGACAGCAAGCGGTGCGTCGTCGCTCTCTCTTGTCCTCATCACCCACTCAACGTCGAGCTCACGCCCTCGTCGTCGCCCGCAGCTTCGGCTGGCTCCGCCTCGATGGCACCATGACGGTCAACAAGCGCCAGAAGCTCGTCGACCAGTTCAACGACCCGGACGGCGACAAGACCGTGTTCCTCCTGTCCAGCAAGGCCGGCGGCTGCGGCATCAACCTCATTGGCGCCAACCGCCTCGTCCTCTTCGACCCCGGTGCGTCCCGACGCTCCCCCTCTCCCTCGCTCGCGCCTCGATGGACGAAAGTGCGACGGCGACGTCTGACTCGACTTGTCACCGCAGACTGGAATCCGGCGAGCGACATGCAGGCGCTCGCGCGCGTGTGGCGCGACGGGCAGAAGAAGGACTGTGCGTCGCTCCTTTCTCTCTCTCTCTCCCTCGTACGCCTCTCTGACTCTGGCCATGCCGGTCGTCCCACAGGCTTCGTGTACCGCTTTGTCGCGACGGGCACCGTCGAGGAAAAGAGTGCGTCGAGCCCGTCCTCGCCTCGACCGGCCCTCTCTCCTTCGACGAGTCCTGACCGTCTAGGCCCTTGGTCGTGGCTCTCGCAGTCTTTCAGCGTCAGTCGCACAAGCAGAACCTGTCGAGCGTCATCGTCGACGCCAAGGAGGACATCGAGCGCCACTACACGGGCGACAACCTGCGCCAGCTGTTCCTCTACAACGAGTCGGCGTGCCAGGTGCGTCGCCTTTCTCTTTGCCCCCTCGCCGTCACTGCTCGAGCCGAGAACTGACCGGCGTGGTCACGTCGGCCCGGCCCACAGACGCACGACCTATTCAAGTGCAAGCGCTGCAAGGGCGGCAAGCAGGTCGCTCGCGCTCCGGCCATGCTCTACGGCGACACGTCGACGTGCGTCCGACTCTCTCTCTCTCTCGTCGTCCCGCATCTCTCTGACCTGGTCGAACGACACACGCAGGTGGAACCACTTGACGAACGATTGCCTGCGCAACATTCACGACTCGCTCTTGCGCAACGAGACGGGCCTCGGCGCCGTCACGGCGTGCTTTCAGTGTGCGTCGCCGCTCTCTCGCCTGTGCGACCGTTGTCGTCGTCGAGCGGCGCAGTCGCTGACACCATCGAGGGCACGCAGACATCTCGACCTGAGTCGCGCTCCTGCCTCCCCCTCGCTTCCCTCCCCTCTCCCCCGTCCACTCGTGCCTCTTTGTCGTTCTTTCCCTCCCCAGCAGTCGCAGCTTGTTGTCGCCTTCGCCACCCGCCGCTTACCCGTCTCTCGTCGTCGTTCCTGCAAGCACCATCGCTTCGTCCACTTCACGCGCGACCGAGAGGAGAGCGAGTCCGCGCCTCTCGCAGGCCCTCGGTGGGCGGGATCGACTGTGCTCAACCGAGGAAAGCTTGAGAGACGGCGAGCAAGGCAAAGCGAGAGGCTGCTGCGAGGAAGCCGAGCAAGCGAGTGACCCGCGAGCGACGACGCACGGCGACCTCGCTCAACGACACGACGCAGCAGAGAGCGGCAGCGAGTACCCGCACCAGCCCTGCAGCAGATGCTCGCCCAGGCGCACCCTGCCTCTGCCCTCGACCCGCACCCGCCTGCGGCCTCGTCGTTCGACACCGCCCCGAGGAGCAGCTCGCCCCCCTCTCCGGCCACACCACTCTCGGACGAGGACATGCGCCTCGGCCAGTCGGACGGTACATCCACCAGCTCAACCAGCCTCGACCACCCCGAACCGTCCAAGCCCCCACAGCTCGCGCCCGCCCTCTCCCCCTCTCCTCCTCGCCGAGCCTCCCACCTCGGCGGCTCCCTCCCCGCCAGCGCCAGCCCCGCCCTCGCACCGCCGTCCAGCACCCTGTCCGCGAGCCACGGTGCGCCGCGACCCGGCCCCGCCGCCACCATCAACCCGCTGTTTGCGCTCGGCGAGCAGGTCCGCTCGGGCGCGATCGACCCTTCCCTCGTCCGGTTCCAGAAGGGCGGCGTCGTCGTGCGCGAGGGTCCTCCGCCCCGGGTCACGCCTCGCTCGCAGACCCCGCAGGCCGAGGTCGACGGGCCCGGGTGGACCGAGTGGCTGCACGAGCGCGTGCACCCGAGGCGCGCCCAGCGGGCCAACGGCGGCATGACAGGCGTCGGCCGCGGCGCAGGGGCGCAGGACAGCGTCGGCGAGGGTTCGGGCTGCCACCACCAGCCGGGCAGGCCGCTCGAGCTCGACGGCGGCGGCGACGGCGACGACGGGCCCAAGCACGTCGACGACTTTCGCGACCAGCCCGACCAGCAGGACCACGCCGACGAGGCGCGCATCAAGCTCCGCGAGTGGAAGAGCGACTTCCAGGACCGCCTCGAGGACAGCGGGCTGCGCGCGCCGTCGCCATGGCGTCGAGGCGAGGACGGCTCGGGCCGCGGCGGCCGGGACGACCTCGAGCCGCGCCTTGCGGCCATGCTCGACCGCCCGCCTCAGCAGGAACAGCGACTCGGTGGCAGCCCCGACGGCGAGGGCGACGAGCGGGTCCTGCGGCCGGCGCCGTCGAGCACGCTCGGCGGCTCGAGCAGCTTCCACTCGGCCGTGAGCGACACGGACGGCGAGGCGTCCTTCGTGCCGGCACGCTCCGAGTCGCCCGTGTCGTACGCCTCGACAGCCGAGCCGCACCAGCCAGTCGCGTCGACCTCGACTGCCGCACCTCCTCCCCCTCCACCCGCGACCGCACCCGACGCCCTCGACCGCTCGCCGGTCGTGTACGCTCCCGGCTTCGTCGCCACCAACTCTCGCCTCGTCCCTCTTCCCGATCAGCCCCAGCACCGCACCGTGACGGGCCGAGCGTCGAACACGTCGCTGTCGTCGTCCCCACCCCGCCTGCACGCCATCCCGGCGCACGAGGTCGCAGCGCCCTCGGCCGACCTTCGTCCGCCGCACCTCCAGCCTCCCGCCTCACCCCGTGCGCGGCATCGACCGGCTCAAACCGGCGCGCCGCCGTCCCCTCGAGCGGCAGCGTCGTCCCAGCACCTCCACCCGCCCTCCCCGTCCACCTCGGCGCGCCGCTCGCCCTCGCCCACCTTCCGCCGCAGCCAGACGACCGACTCGCCTCCTCTCCTGTCTGGTCCTCTCGTCTCGGGCCCACCCGCACTCGGCGCCGTCGTCGGCTCGCGCCGGTTCTCGTCGGCCTCGACCGGCGCCCGCCTGTCGCCCTCGACCGCCCAGCGCTCGCAATCCTTCTCGACCGCGCCCGTCTACCCTCTCGCGTCCTCCGGCCTGACCTCGCCGAACGGCACCATCATCCTCGACGACGTCGACGCGTCGATCGCGGCGCAGGCCGAGGCGATCCGGCGGCAGCGCCAGGAGAAGCGCGCCGAGGCCGAGAAGGAGCAGGCCAAGCTCGCCGCCGCCGCAGCAGCAGCGCGCAGCAACGCCTCGCTCGCCCCGCCGCACGCGTCGTCGTCGTCGGGCCTCGCGGGCCTGTCGGCCGGCGCCGGGCCCGGCGGGCTCAAGCGCCGCACGACGCGCATGGGCAGCGGCGGCAGCGACACGCCCAGTCGCAGCGCGTCGGGGCCTGCGCCGCCGGGCGCTGCGGTCGTCGAGGGCGACGAGGGCGCATCGGCGGCGACGACGAGCGCGCACCCGGGCCCTGGCGCGAGGCAGCGCAGCCGAGGGCCGGGCATGGGCGTCGAGGTTGACGAGGGGCAGCGCGACGAGATGGGTGCAGGCGTCCTCGTCGGCAACCTCATCGGCCAGGACCACGCCAACTACGTCCTCATGTACAACATGCTCACGGGCATCCGCATCGGCGTGCGTCCCGCCTCTCTCTCTCTCTCTCTATCCTCTCTTCGCGAGACTCTCGTACTGACATCCACCTCGCGCACAGGTCTCTCGTTGCCAGGCCAAGGCGGCACGCCCTCTGACCGACGCCGACTATACCGCTCGCCACAAGTTCAGCTTCGACATGTGCGTCTCCCCCTCTCTCTCTCTCTCGAGGTCCATCGAGGTCGTGCACTGACCGCTCGACGTCCACCTTGCGCAGCGTCGGCAACGAGTTGACGCCGAGCGTGCGGTACGACTTCAAGTTCAAGGACTATGCGCCGTGGGTGTTTCGCGAGCTGCGCGAGTACTTCTACTTGGACCCGAGCGACTACTTGATGTCGCTCACGAGCAAGTACATCTTGAGCGAGCTCGGGTCGCCGGGCAAGAGCGGGTCGTTCTTCTACTTCTCGCGCGACTACCGGTTCATCATCAAGACGATTCGGCACTCGGAGCACAAGTTCCTGCGGTCCATCCTCAAGGAGTACCACGAGCACGTCAAGCGCAACCCGCACACGCTCCTGTCGCGGTTCTACGGCCTGCACCGCGTCAAGCTCCCGCACGGCCGCAAGATCCACTTCGTCATCATGAACAACCTCTTCCCGCCGCACCGCGACATTCACGAGACGTACGACCTCAAGGGCTCGGCGATCGGGCGCCTGTACCCCGAGGACAAGGCGGCCGCCAACCCGCACGCCGTCCTCAAGGACCTCAACTGGGTCGGCCGCAACCGCCAGTTCGCGCTCGGGCCCGAGAAGAAGGCGCTCTTCGAGGAGCAGCTCCGCCGCGACACCGAGCTCCTGCAGCGCCTCGGCATCATGGACTACTCGCTCTTGACCGGCATCCACAACGGCGTGCGCGGCAACAGCGAGGGCCTGCGCGAGGACAAGCTCAGCGTCTTTCAGGTCCGTCCTCCCTTCTTCTTCTCCTCCTTGTCCCCTCGACGGCTCAGACTAACGTCGACGCACGTCCTGCAGCCCGCCAAGGTCAAGGTGTCGCGCAAGCCGACCCAGGTCAAGCGCGACGCCGACGCGTCGGCGCTGCGCAAGGCCGTCCAGCAGTCGGACCCGCAGGCGCTCGGCGGCAAGCACGAGCTGCCCGAGCACGACAACTCGGAGCGGCGCATGTTCCTCTTCTACCAGGACGAGGGCGGCATGCGCGCCTCGGGCGACTCGAACGAGGACCTCGGCGCCATCTACTACCTCGTGCGTCCCTCGCCCTGCCCTTTTCCACTTCTCTCGATCCAGTTCGTAACCCTCTCTCGTACTCGCACGCAGGGCATCATCGACATCTTGACGCCGTATACCTGTGTCAAGCGGCTCGAGCACTTCTTCAAGGGGTTCCAGCACAACAAGGTGCGCCGCCGCCGTTCCTCTCGCCCTCTCTGCCTCAGTGCAGCTCGCTCACACGGTGTCCTCGCGCAGCACATGATCTCGGCGGTGCCGCCTCGCGAGTACGGCGACCGGTTCCTCGCCTTCATCAAGTCGTCGATCCGCGGCAACGACGTCTCGACCCGGCCGCAGATGTTCGAGCACGAGCCCAAGCACGACCAAGCGCACAAGGCCGAGGTCTCTGAGAAGGAGGCGTCGGCTTCGGGCCCCGTACCGCCAGCCCCGCCACCGCAGGAGGCGGTCATCGACCCCGAGAAGGCTCAGCGAGGGCGCGAGGAGATGCAGCAGCGCGCCGGCCCGTCTATCGTCACGTCGTCATAGCCCACTTCCTCGTCCACCTCCCACCCTCTCACAGACACTACTAACTCCCAGCACAGACCCTCCTTCCCCTCATACCCCCTGCTCGTCGTCGTTCTCGAGCCGTCCCCCTTCGTTGTCGTTCCGCCTCACCCTCAGTCACTCGCTCCTTCTCCTTTTTGTCAGTCGGTCCTCGTCGCACGTTCTCTGCAAGCCTCTGTAGCGCAGGTTCTTCTAGAGCTGGCCTGGTTCGAGAGAGCGAGCTCGTCGGCGCTCGGCCGCCTCGTCCGGATCCGACTTCGCCTCCTCTGGCGAATGCAGGCGTGCCGCCCTCTCCTCCTCCTTACCGACGTCGCTAGGCTCAAGCGCTTCGTACGCCGTCTCGCGAGACCTGGCGGGCCGCGAAACCTCTCGCAGCTGGGCGAGCGAGGCGCACGTTCGGCTCCGGCTTCATCAGCTCGCTCGCTTCCTCCCGCTTTTCTCACTCCGCTCCCCCCGCGATTGAGCGGCGGGTAATCGCTCGCCGCTCTTGCAGCGTGTCTGCGCGAGCTGGGCCAATCTCTGCAGTCTTTGCGGCCGTGATCGTCGCCCTGCGCGGCCGCACGTTCGACCCTCCTCCGCGCCGCTCTCTCGCCGTCGGCTAAACTTGGGCGGCGCTGGAAGGACCGCCGGCGCGCCGCAACGGGCGACACTCGGCCGATGCGCGACAATAACACCAGCTCGACGAGGCGCAGCTCGCTTCTCCCGCTCGCCCTCGTCGCTCCCGACCTCGTCGTCCTCGTCATGCTGCCGACCCTCGCCGTCACGGTCCTCCTCGCCCTCGCCTCGTTACACGGCACCCAAGCTGCTGCGGTCCCGGCCACCGTCTTCAACCCGCTCCCGAGCTACATCAGCCGGCACCTCGGCCCGTACACGCCGTGGTACGCCGTCGGCGAGTACCAGGCCCCGCCGGCGTCGTGCAAGCTCGAGCAGGTCAACATCCTCCAGCGTCACGGTGCACGATTCCCGACGGCGAACGCGGGCAAGAAGTACGCCGCATCGGTCGCCAAGCTGCAGCAGAACGCGACCTCGCTCGCGAGCAACCTCGAGTTTGTCAAGTCGTACACGTGCGTGCTCGCTCTCTCTTACTCTTCGCCAGCGTCATGCGTAACGAGAGAGCGTGCTCCTGATACGCGGCCCACCCTCGAGCACAGGTACTCGCTCGGCGCCGACACGCTCACGCCGCTCGGGGCGCAGCAGTCTCGCCAAGCTGGCGCGACGGCGTACCAGCGGTACAAGGGCCTTCTGACCCGCAGCAGGAGGCTTCCTCTCGTCCGGTCGGACAGCCAGCAGCGCGTCGTCGACTGTGCGTCTCGAGCGCCTTCTCAACTTTCCTCGTCGTCGACGGCTTCTGACGCTCGACGAGCACGCAGCGGCGCGCAACTGGACGGCGGGCTTCTTCCAGCAGTCGGGCATCACGCACCTGCCGACGACGCAGGTCATCAACAACGCGTTCGGGGTGCGTCGCTAGCGTGCACGGTCCTCCCTGTCCCTTCCCCGTTCTGACCCTGTCTCCCTCCCTCACCTGCAGAGCAACGACAGTGCGTCCTCTCGCTTGGCCTATCAAGCGACTTTAACTCACTCTCGACCGGTGCAGCCCTCGACGACAACAACTGCCCGTCCGCGCCCGACATGAGCAGCTACGAGAAGAGCTACCTCTCGACTTTCCTCGACGCGGCGACGGCCCGCTTCAACGCCAACGCCCCGGGCGCAAGTCTCACGACGACCGACGTGCTCAACTATATGCAAATCTGCGGCATGGAGAGCCAGTACACGCAGAAGCTCAGCCCTTGGTGCAAGCTGTTCTCGCGGCACGAGTTTATCGCCGGCGAGGTACGCTCGCTCTCCCTTTCCTTGCCACACGGCGCTCTCCTGACTCTTTAGTGCACGCAGTACTACTACGACCTCGACAAGTACTACGGTAACGGTGCAGGCAATGCGCTCGGCCCGATCCAAGGGTGCGTTCGAGCCTCTCCTCTCGTCCTCGCCCGTGTCGTCGGCGGACTATCCTGACGGCTCTCGGCCTCACTCTGCAGCGTCGGCTACGTCAACGAGCTCCTGTCGCGCCTGACGGGCAACCGCAGCTACGTCCTCGCCGACGAAACCCAGGTCAACCAGACGCTCGCGCGCTCTCAGTCGACCTTCCCGCTCGGCGCCAGCTCGCCGGGCATCTTTGCCGACTTCTCGCACGACAACGAGATCGCGAGCATCCTCGCCGCGATCGGCCTCAAGAAACCCGCCGCGCCGCTTGCCGCGAGCGGACCGTCCTTGGACCAGGTGTGGGTCACGAGCGAGATCGTCTCGTTCAGCGGCAGGCTCGTCACCGAGCGGCTCTCGTGCGGTGGCGACGACTTTGTGCGGTTCTTTATCGTGCGTCGCCTGGCTCTCTCGTCTCGACCTCGAGCCGTCACTCACCTCGTCGCTCGGTCCTCGTCCCTCTCCTTTTCCCGCCACTCGCAGAACGACCAGCTGCAGATCCCGACCTTCTGCGCCGGCGCCGACTCGCAGACGGGCCTCTGTGCGCTCGACGCTTTCGTCGAGTCGCAGAGCTACGCTCGCGCGAGCGGGCACGGCGACTACCTCAAGGTGAGCCGGCTCGCTCTCCTCCTCGTCACTCGCCCTCTCGACGGACGATGTACTGATGAAGTCGTCGACACCCTGTCGCAGTGCGGGTACAAGCCGCTGTCGGCGTGAGACGGAAGGTGGGACGGGCGCAGAGCCAGAGCGGCGTTCTCGGGCTCTCTTCTTTTCCCTCGAGGACTCGTAGCGCAACGAGGGCGGCGAACGAGGGGTGAAATTGCGATCGTGTACATTCTCCGTCGCACTACTGGCCCCACCGCACGTCGTCTGCGCCCCACTCTCGCTGCTCGCCCCGCTCCTGCCGCCGCTCCTGCTGCTGCCCGGCCCGGAGCTGCCGCAGCTCGCGCCTCTCGGCCGCGACGTCTCCTCCCCACGCCGGCGCCTTGCCCTCGCCTCGTGCCGTCACGCCCTGCTCGCCGCGTTGCTCACCCTCGCCCGCCCCCTCGCCGGCGCTCATCCTCGCCCTCGCCTCCTTGCGCCTCGCCTCGCGCTTGGCGCGCTCGTCGGCGGGGAGCTCAAAGTTGCTCTTGAGGATGCGGCGGATGCCCTCGGGCGACACCTTGAAGCGGTCGGCGAGGCGCGCGACCGTGTACTGGGCCGGGTCGGAGCGCGCGAGCGTGCGCACGAGGTCCATGGCCTCGCGCGAGAGGCGCTTGGGCGGCGACCAGCCGGCGGGGAACTTGGTGCGCATCGCGTTCTGGTGCTTGCGCCATGCGGGGACGTGGCGGTCGGGATCTGGGTCCTCGGACGACGCCGCCGGGCGCGCGGGCGGCAGGAGGGCGTCGGCGGCGCGCAGGTCGCGCTCGAGCTCTCGGGCCTCGCGCTCGTGGCGCTTGCGGCGCGCGATGCGCTCGAGGACGATGTCGTCCTTGCGGCGCTCGGCGTCGGTGCGGGGCACGCCGGCGTTGCGCGCCGCCTGGCGCTGCCACTCCCACGCGAGGTCGAGCTGGACGCGCTGCTCGTCCTTGCGGCGGATGGCGTCGAGGGCGTCGGTGACGGCGCGCTCGCGGGCCGTGTACTCGCGGCGGAGCCACGGGTACAGCTCGCGGTCGAGGTCGGCGGGCGAGGGCGGGCGGCCGAGGCGCTGGAGGAGCCACAGGCGGAACTGGTGCAGGTGGACCGGGTCGAGGGCCGAGACCGGGGTCGAGTTCGACAGGGGAGGGAGGGGTGGCTCTTGCGACGGCTCGGGGCGGTCCTTGGCCTTGCCCTTCTTGTCCCACGGGCGGGTGGACCGGTCGCGGCGGCGGGGGGACGAGGTGCGACTCGGCTCGGGGTCGCAGTCGCGGGTCGAGAGGGTGGCGGCGGGCTTGAACGAGTCGTCCGTGTCGAGCGAGTCCCACGAGGCCTGCTGTCGCCGGTTCGAGGTGGTCGACAAGGTGCGGAGCGAGGTCGAGGCGAGCGAGCGGGCGAGTGCACACGGGCACGGCGAGCGGCGGGGTGTTGCCGCTGCTGTTGCGAGGCGAAGGACGGGCACGATGGCCCTCGCAGCGGCCATGCTCGAGGCCGGTGCGGTCGACGAGGGGCGTCTCGAGGCAGCGAGGCGATGAAGCTCGACGGGGAGCGGAGAGGCGACTCGGCAGCTCTCTCTGGCTAGGGCTTGGGTGATATTAGACGCGTCTCAGGTAGTATTACACCTGTTGTACTTGTCAGTCCTCTCGAAAGCGGTGTCGAGCGCGACGCGTCGATGGTGGTCGTCGTCCGTCGTCGAGGTCTCTCTCCCCCTGCTCTCAGCTCTCGCTTGCCAGCTACCTAGACCATGTCCCTCGACAAGTACGAGCGCCTCGAGAAGGTCGGAGAAGGTGCGCCCCCGTCCCCTCGCCCTCTCTCGCCCCGCCGCCCCTCCTCCCCTCGCCTCGAGTTGGCTGACCTCGTCTCGCCCGTCTCCTCCTCGTCTACACCCCACCCTGGTCCACGCCCGACTCCTCCTGTGCAGGTACCTATGGCGTCGTCGTACGTCCACCCTGTCCTCCCACCCACCTGTCCCGCCGCCATCAAGCTGACCATCCTCCTCCTCCCAGTACCGCTCGCGCAACAAGGAGACGGGCGAGATTGTCGCCCTCAAGAAGATCCGCCTCGAGGCCGAGGACGAGGGCGTCCCCTCGACCGCCATCCGCGAGATCTCGCTCCTCAAGGAGATGAAGGACGACAATGTCGTCCGCCTGTTCGACATCTGCCACTCGGACACAAAGCTCTACCTCGTCTTCGAGTTCCTCGACATGGACCTCAAGCGCTACATGGACAAGGTCGGCGACGGCGACGGCATGGGCCCCGACATCGTCAAGGTGCGCCCCACCCCTCCCTCGTCCTCTTTCCTCCTCCCGGTCCTGCTCGCCTCTTCCCCCTCAGGGCCCTCGATCTGACCCTACGCTGTCATGCCCGCAGAAATTCGTGTGTCCCGAACCTCGTCATGCCTCGGCGGCGTGAGCCTCGGGCCGAAGCGGGATCTCTTGACTGACTCTCCTCGCACCCCTTCCTCGTCCACCTCTCCTCGATCCGCAGACGTACCAGCTCATCAAGGGCGTCTACTACCTTCACTCGCACCGCATCCTCCACCGCGACCTCAAGCCGCAGAACCTGCTCATCAACAAGGAGGGCAACCTCAAGCTCGCCGACTTTGGCCTCGCGCGCGCGTTCGGCATCCCCTTGCGCACCTACACGCACGAGGTGCGTCCCCTGTCTCCCTCTCTCGGACCCTCACACGTTCGAGACTGACTCGTTCCCCCTCGCCCACGCCCCGCAGATCGTCACGCTGTGGTACCGCGCGCCCGAGGTCCTCCTCGGAAGCCGGCACTACTCGACCGGCGTCGACATGTGGTCGGTCGGCTGCATCTTTGCCGAGATGATCATGCGCCAGCCTCTGTTCCCGGGCGACTCGGAGATTGACGAGATCTTCCGCATCTTCCGGTGCGTCGGCGCGCCGCCGAGCGAGCTTCCTCTCGTTCTCGCTCCTCTCGCAGGAAGGGGAACTGACTGGTAGTCGCCGATCACGCTCTCGCCACAGTCTTCTCGGCACGCCGGACGAGGACATCTGGCCTGGCGTGACGGGCCTGCCCGACTACAAGACGACGTTCCCCAACTGGCACGCCAAGGACCTGCAGGACCACATCACGGGCAGCACCGACGAGAGCGCCGAGCTCCTTGCCGTACGTCCCACCTTTCTCTCTCTCTCTTCGAAGTGGCGACGAGAGAGAGCACCCGGGACTGACTCGCCGTCGCTCGCGCAGGGCATGCTCGCGTACGACCCGGCCAAGCGCACGAGCGCCAAGGCGGCGCTCCAGAGCGACTACTTCCTCGGTGCCGCCGAGATGTCGTGAGCGGCGTCTCCACCGTCGCATCCTCGACCTCGTCGCCGCCGCCGATCAGAGCGAACCCTGTCCTTATCCCGTCCTCGCCCTCGCCCTCTCTTCTCCCTGGCTCCGTCCTCGTCGTCGTCTCGTCCTCGCCCTCGTCCACCGCACTCGCATCGTTCTCCCATCGTCCTGCCTTTCGTCTTTCCTCGCCACCGTCCCCCCGACTCGCCGACGCCCGTCCTCGGACCGCCTCGAGCGCTCTCTCCCTCCTCCTCTCTCCCCCTCGCCACCTTTGTCTTGTCACGTTCTTCCCATCCCCTGTCCTGCTCGACGAGCAGGTGTCATGCCACGCCTGTGTATACCGCGACCGAGCGAGCGTCGAGGAGGAGAGGTCACTGCGAGAGTTGAGCGGGTCCGAGAGCCGGCGAGCGAGAGCTTGTGACGGGGCGCGCTCGCGAGAAGACGGGACCTGCCGTCGGACTGCCTCTGCACGAGTGCAAGTCGCCCTCAGGCGAGGCGAGCGCGAGTTGACCTCTCTCGATCGTCGTCGACTTGCGCCGAGCGACTGCTCTCGTGCTCGCCCTCGAACCATGTCGCTCCTGCGCAGTGCCGCACGCCGACTCGGCTTTGGCAAGTACCGCTACTGGAAGGGCACCGACCTCGAAGGTGCGCCCGAGACTCGCCTCGAGAGCTCCCTCGTCGATGATGTCGCTCACTCGGTGGCTTCCCGGCCTCGCGCAGGCAACCAGTTCTTCGAGCGGCCGCACCCCGAGTACCCTCGTCCGTCCACTCGGCCCTCCCCCCTTGTCCTCAACGCGCGGCCTGACCCTCTCGTCGCCCCTCGCCCTCCTCATCTCTCCTCGCCTCGCTCCCCTCGCAACAGACGAGTGGCGCAAGAACAAGCGCTACATCGAGTATGCCGAGACCAGGCCCCTGAGCGACTACAACTACCAGACCATCCCCGGTGCGCCCACCTCTCTCTGCCCCCCTCTCTCGCTCTCTCTCTCTCCGCCGACGAGCTGACCCCTCCCCTCTCCTCACACAGTCCAATGGTCCTCCTGGCTCCGCCGCACACGCCGCGAGCCTCCAAGCTTCGAAGAGCTCGAGACGGACCTGCGCCGCCAGCTGCGCCTGCGCGACAACGTCGCCCGCCTCGAGGCCGCCTACGCCGACGAGAAGCTGCGCCTCGGGGCCGCGCAGGAGGGGGCGCGGCTCGCGGCGCCGCAGAGGCCAGTGAGGGGCGAGGGAGCGGCGGTGGCGTCGGCGGCGGCGAGGGACACGGCGACAGTCGCAGGGCACGAGGTGGACGGTCTCCCGCTCGAGGACGGCGGCGTCGATGCCCCGGCCGGGCGGCGCGCGTCGCGCATCGCGCGCCAGCTCGACGGCGTGCAGCACCCTGCGCCGACGCCGGCGTCAGCGGCGGCGCGAGCGGGCGGGGTGGCGAGCGCCGAGGGCCTCCCGCTGAGGGACGGCGGCGTCGATCTCGAGGCGGGCAAGCGCGCGCCCGTCGTCGCGAGGGAGCTGCGCGAGGGCGCCGAGCGTGTCGAGCCGAGTGCCGGTGCAGCCGTGGCGGGGCAGGAGGGACAGCTGAGCGCCGAGGAGCTGGCCAAGCGGAGGAGGGACGAGGACCATGCGGCGGCGCTCCGTCGGCGCGAGGAATTCGGTGCGTCCCGCTCTCTCTCTTCCTCTCTCTCTTTCTTCGTACACTGAATCGAGTCCCTCACGCAGCCAAGCAGAACCCGGCGCCGCTCAAGGGCAACCCGGGCGACTCGCGCGAGCCGCAAGGGTGGGCGCCGACTGCGCCGGCTCGTCGGCGGTAGTGCGCCATACGGTCGAGCTGCAACCTTCTCGTTCCCCCACTCAAGAGTACGCCTCGGCGAGCGAGTGAGAGAGAGCGCGATGAGGAGGAAAGCTCGCTCTCGACCCGCCCGCTCGGACCTCGAACAAGAAACAACTCTTCTCAGGTTGCACCCACTCTCGCCGTCGCTACGCCATCGGGATCCCCTTGTCGCCCTTCTGGCTCTGATACGTCCCGCTCAGCTCGCCGTACACCTTCCGCACCTCGCTCCACAGCGCCTCGAGCTCAGGCTTGTCGGGCGAGTCGTCCGGGACCTGGGCGAGCAGCTCGGCGCACGACGCCGACGTGAAGAAAGCGTTGGTGCGGTTGTACAGCGGGCGCGAGGCGAGGTCGGACGGCGACTCGTGCGCGCAGGTCGACGGGACGCGGAAACTGCGAGGGAGGGTCCGAGCGTGAGCGAGGAAGGCTTGGATGAATCTCTGAGAGAGGAGAGACGATGCGACGCACACCTCCTCGAGGATCTTGATGTCGTGCGGGATGTCGAACGCGTCGCGCGTGTCCTCGTACGAGAAGAGGTAGAAGAAGGTGTTCCAGCCGCCCCAGGTGATGCCGGACAAGCCTGCGGTCGCCGTCGCGTTCTGTCAGTCGCAGAAATTCCTTGACGACGTCGAGACGACGAGGCGGACGAGAGGGAGAGAATGACAGACGCACAGAGAGAACAGGGCTCGTGCGTGCAGAAGAAGACGGTGTCCTTGGCCTCGGGTCGCTCGGCTCGAGGGATCTTGTAGAACTGCTGGATCGTCTGGATCTCGCCGTGCTGCAGATTGGACGACCGTGGGCGAGCAGGATAGGCGAGCAAGGCGACAAGCAACAGGACGAGACGACGACCAAGTTGGGACGAGGAGGGGAGGAGAAGGGAAGGAGCGAGTCAGCGCACCGTCAAAGCCATTGCCGCATCGTCCGGCTGTCCGTGCCGGCTTCGTCTGCTGTTGCTGCCCCGCTCCAACACGCCGCAGTCGTTGACCGAGGCGCCTGCTCCGTCCCGACCCTCACTCGTCCTCCGCCCGTCGCGCCCGAGAGAGAGAAAGATGCGGACGCACCAGTAGCGGGCTCTCGGTCTCGGTGTTGGTCCCGACGGTGACGACCTCGAGCTGGGGAGACTTGTGGTGGACCGACGCTCCAAAGACCTTGCTGCCGCTCGCAACGTTGGCCCGCGTCTTGGGCACGATCTCGTCCAGCATGACGCGCAGGAAGGCGCGCAGGAGCACAGCGGGCTCAGGCAGAGTAGCGGCCATGCTTGCGCAGCGGTGCGAGCGAGCGAGGCAGTGGTGAGAGAGCGCGAGAGAGGAGCGCTATCGGCTCAAGAGAGCGGGCGAGGCGGGAATGCGGGGTCGACGGGTCTCGCCTTTTTGACTACGTCGACGGCGACAGAGCCCCCGAGCAGCACGGAAGCACTATGCACACGTGGACGATGCACTGTGGAGTCGAGAGATGCACTTCAGAAAGCTACAGCGCGCTGTACAGAGCCGCCCCACCTCCTCGACCTTCTCCTCCTCCTCCTCGCTCCTCGACGGCTCGTCCTCCTCCCGGCCCGCGTCCTCCTCGTCTCCCCTCCTCGCTCGCTCACTGTCGACCGACCTCGAGGAACTAGATCCGCTTGATGAGCCGCACGCAGTCTTCGTCCTCAAGGACGTGATCGAGACCGACCTTCTGGCCGCGCGAGTGCTTGACCGACGTCCCCCACACCTGCGTGACGACGGCGAGCAACATCGTAAGAGAATGAAGGGCAAGAGGAAGAAGTAGAGGACGAGGACGCACGACGGCGTACTTGATCTGCTGGGCGATCTCGCTGCGAGAGGAGGGTCGGGTAAGCCAGGCGACTAGGCGACCGAGGGAGGAGGGGGACGGACCGGTGGATCGAGTTACAGAAGTCGCGAACAGTGCAGTGGGACGAGCGCAGGACGACGGGCGCCGTATAGTCGGGCGACTTGGCGCCTCGAGGGAGGGTGTAGATGCGGCGCAGCGAGAGCTTGTCCCACATCGTCTCGATGAGCCTGTGCGCGGAAGAGAGGGAGTCAGGTGCGTAGAGGTACACGGCGAAAGGGACGAGCGGACGCACTCGTCGATGTTGAGCCAGTCCTTGGCCGAGATGGGGACGGCGCTCGGGATGCGGTACAGGAGGTCGAGTTCCTCGATGCTGATGGCGTCGATCTTGTTCAGGCAATACAGTGCCGCTGTGGCCGTGACGTAGAAGTTCGAGCGTGGGGCGAGGAGGGAGTAGAAGGAGGGCGATGTGGGAAGAGAAGGATAAATTTGGGAAGGTCAGTCCCGGCCGCCGACGTCGAGGGCAAGCGAGAGGGACGCACGGATGTAGCAGCGGCCGCCCTCGATGACGTCGATGAACTCGTCGAGCGTCGGGTCGCAGCGGATGTGGATGTCGGCGTTGGCCATGCGGTACTCGCTCATGACGGCCTTGATCTCGTCGTGCGTGAGCTTGGTCAACGGCTGCGTGTTGGTGATGGCGATGCCGCCCTTCTCCTTCTTCTTGTACGTGATGTTGGGCGGCTGCTTGTTGAGGCGGATGCCGAAGCCCTCGAGCTCATTCTCGATGACGGCCTTGTCGGCGAGCGGCTTGAGGACGTCGAGGACGATGCAGATGAGGTTGCACGTTCGTGCCACTGCGATAGGGACATCAGTACGCCTGCACGAGTGACTCGCCGAGAGGAGAGAGGCGCAGGACGCACCGGCAATGACCTGACGACCACGTCCCTTGCCGTCCTTGGCGCCCTCGATAATACCGGGCAAGTCGAGGATCTGGATCGGGGCGCCGTGGATCTGGAGCGTTCCGGGAACGGTGGTGAGGGTCGCTGCGGGCGGAAGGAGTTAGGGCGAGGTCCTCTCGAGGCAGGGAGAGCGAGGAAAAGGGGGGCGAGGACGCACTGAACTCGTACGCCGCCGCGATCGACTCGGTGCCGGTCAAGCCGCTCATCAGACTCGATTTGCCGACGGAAGGGAAACCGCTGCACGAGGAACCGCCGAGTCAGCTCGGCCAAAGTAGACCGAGAAGAGGAAACGCGAGGGACGCACATGAACCCGATTGACGCGATACCCGTCCTCGCCACGTCGAAGCCGACACCCGCACCTCCACCACCACCAGAAGACGGCGTGAGAAGCTCACGCTTGAGCTTGGCGAGCTTGGCCTTGAGCTGTCCCACTGTCGCCGGACGAGAGGGTCAGTGAGGGTTCTCGAGCGGCCGACCTGGTCGTCGCCGTCTCTGCCCGAACATCGGTCGCCCCAACGCCACCCAGGAACGACGTGGAACGTGTCGACGAGGTTGACGTGCGTCAGGAAGGGGAAGGAGGAGCTCACACTGTGAGGGGGGGAGGAGGCGAGGTCAGTAACGAGTGGACAAAGTGGCCGAGAAATCGCGGGACGTACGTGGTACGAGGTCGCCTTGTTCTTCTGCGTCTTGGCCTGCACGAGGGGGAGTGTTTGAAAGAGTCAGCTCGCCTTCTCAAGAGGACGTCGTGCAGGTCGAGGTGCGCTCGGGTCCCACGCGCCTCGCACGGTCGCGCTCGGCTGCTCATCCGCTAGCTGCATCCGAGCTGAGCGTTTTGCGCCGACGCAGGCCCTTCATCGCGGCCGAGGGGAAGAGGAGGGAGGTCGAGAAAGGGCTCGAAACGCACCATCCTGCGGCGAGGGAGGCAGAGGTCAGTGTGGACTCTGACGACGGTGCAGAGAGCTGTGGACGCACTCGTCCTCGATGGCCTTGATCCTGTCGACGATCGTGCTCATGGCGGGCTGGTGATGAAGCGGGTCGAGGTTGGCGAGGCGGTGAGGTCGCTGGCGAGGGTGGCTGTGGCCGCTGGTCGAGGGGCTGCTGTCGTGGGCCGAGCTGAGCGAGCTATGTGTGCGTGTGCGTGCAGGCTAGAGAGCTGCAGCGGTTGGTGTGGGCGCAATCCGGCCGCCGTCGTCGTTTCTCTCCGAGTCGGCCTCGCTCGAGCAAAATGACGAGACACGCGTCGACAACGAGCACAGAGCTTTCACGGCCGCTACGAGCGTGAGCAGAATGTACCGCACAAGCTCGACCGGACCCGCAGCAGCTTGCGCAGAGAAGCCGGGCGAGGAATTCTCGACGGCGCTCTCGTGAGAAAGTGCAAGAGAGGAAGTACTGCGCATGTCGTTGCAGGCCCGCCCGACAGCTCCCGCACACTCACACGCCGCCCATGGCCGAATAGCCGACACGCTCGCGGATGAGGGCCTTGTCGTTCGGCCGGATCCACTCCTGCGCGCCTTCAAACATGGCCTCCCACACGCGCTGCGCCTCCTTGTTGCCCTCAAAGTGGCCCTCGACCGTGTCGCGCACCGACTGCCACAGCGCGGGCGACGCGACGCTCGACAGGAAGGCGGGCGACAGGCCGGCGTGCTCGGGGTGGGCAGGCGAGGTCGACGAGGTCGAGAGAGGGAGGGCGTCGAGGTCCTTGGCGAGCGAGACCTGCGGCGCGGTCGACGACGAGGAGGTCGACGGCTCGGAGAGAGTGAGGGCAGGGACGCCTGGGGAGGAGGGTGATGCGGCGGAGGCGGTCGACGAGGAGGGAGCGGCGGCGGCGGCGGGCGCCTTGGTGATCATGAGGTTGACGACGGCGCCGTCCTGGACGTCGAACTCGCGCAGGAGCTTGCCGTCGCCCATGGCCTTGCCCTTGAGGATCCACCGCTGCTGCTCGGGTGCGGGCGCGTCCTTCTCGGCGGCAGCGAGCTGCTTCTTGAGGTCGGCGACGGTGGCTGTTGGCCGCGCGGCGAGGGTGAAGGACAGGGCGGGCTTGAGCGACTTGACGGTGAGCTTGACCGTCGCGTCGGCGGCGGGCATGGGCTCGTCGTCGTCGTCGTCGTGGCCGGTTGTGGGGGGAGGGCAGACGGGGACCTGGCGCCGGGTGCTCGGGTCAGCTCTGAGTCGGTGTGACAGGAGGGAGAGCTCAGGGTACGCACATTGACCAGGGTAGGCCGCTTGTGGCGCTCCTCGACGGGCGGGATGTACGAGTTCGGGTACCGCTGCTTGAGGGTCGCGAGGAGCTCGGCGGTCGCCTTGAACGACTGGATCTCCTCGGGGAGGCGCGTGTCGGACAAGAGAGACTCCATCGTGTGCAGCTCAGGTCTGCTCGAGGGTGGTAGACGAGATGAGGAGGGGCGGACGAGGCGAACCGATGACGGCTCGCTCCTCTTGCCGTCGCCCAACCCGCTCTCTCGGCTCTACAGACGCACAGCTGCGTCAGACTCGACCTGCATCCCTCTACAAGCATCTAGGACCTGCGCGCGCAAGTCCCCACCACCTGCATCTTCGCTCCTCCTCGTCCAGTTCCTAGCTTCCAGCCTCCCGCATCTTCCAGGTCCGTCGCCGGCTCCTTTCCTCTCTCGTGCGCACTCGACCTGACGCACTGCTTTGTCTGCAGTCGACCATCATGCGAGCCTGGGTCTACCGCACCAAGGGCAAGCCCGCCGACGTCCTCCGCCTCGAGGACGACTACCCGAAACCCGAGCCCGCCCAAGGGCAGCTCCTCGTTTCCTTGCGCGCCGTCAGTACGAACCCGGTATTTTTTAAGACGATGGGCATGGCGCCCATGAGGTACATGCAGCGCGTGCCGTGCGTGCCCGAGGGCGACTTCTCGGGCGTCGTCGCCGGCGGCTCGCTCGACGGCACCGACCTCAAGCTCGGCGACGAGGTTTTCGGCATCGTTCCGGCGCAGATCACCATGAAGAACGGCAAGGGCGCGCTCGCCGAGTACCTGGTATGCGACAAGGACCTCGTCGTCAAGAAGCCGGCGAACGTCAGCTTCGAGGAGGCGTCGACGTTCCCGCTCACGACTTTCACGGCTTATTGGGCCTTGGTCCGGACCGGCAAGCTCGAGAAGGGCAAGGCGCAGCGCGTGTTCATCGTGCGTCCTCGCGCTCGTCTTTCTCGGCGCCCGACCTCGTCCCGCCCGACCTGACCTCCTCCTCTTCCTGCAGAACGGCGGTTCCGGCGGCGTCGGCGCTTACGCGGTCCAGGTCCGTCACCCTTTGACTTCTCGGCGACTGCGAGCTGTCGCAGAGCGGCCTCGACGTCGCCGCTCGCGCCGCCGGTCCGCCTCACTCAGAAGCCTCGGGGCTGACCACCTTCTACCCCTCCCACAGCTCGCCAAAGCCTACGGTGCCTTTGTCGCCACGACCTGCTCGCCTCCTTCTCGCGAGCTTGTCTCGAGCCTCGGCGCCGACGACGTCCACGACTACAAGGAGAGCGACCTCGCGACGCAGCTCTCGAGCAAGTACTCGGGCGAGCCGTTCGACATCTTTTTCGACACGGTCGGTCACGACACGTCGCTGTACTACAAGAGCCCGACCTACCTCAAGGTGCGCCCGACTCTCCCCTTCTCGCACTTGGTCCTGTCGCGCGGCGCCAGCATCGAAACGCGCCCACTGACGTACTTTTGCCCGTCCTCGCGCCCTCTTTCCCTCGCACGCAGCCCTCGGGCATCTACGTCGACGTCGCCGGCCCGCATATCGACGGCTCGATCGGCTCGCTCCTGCGCGCGTCGGTCGACTTTGCCAACCGCCTCCTGCGCCCCAAGATGCTCGGCGGCGTCCCGCGCAAGTACACGTTCGGCATGATGACGACCGACAGGAAGGAGCTCGAGGAGATGGCGGCCTTGATCGGCGAGGGCAAGTTGCGCCCGATCGTCGACAGCGTCTTTGCGTTCGAGGACGCGCTCAAGGCGTACGAGCGCCAGATGTCAAACCGGTGCGTCCCCTGGTCGAAGTCCTCTTTCTCTCTCATCGTCGCACGCCTGACACCTTTGACCGTCTGCAGCGCCAAGGGCAAGGTCGTCGTCAAGGTCTCGCAGTAGGCGCTCTCTCACTCTCGAGCCGAGCGTTCTTCGTCTCTCTCGTTCCCTCTCGGTCACATACGTCGCTGCAGCCATAGTCAAATCTCTGCGTCTCCTCTCTCTCTTGCATTCTGGAGCGCTGTTGCACCTCGTCGACTTGTGCGAGAGCAGAAACGAGAGGCTCGAACGCGCTTGCAGCTGCCGCACGAGAACCAGCTCGGCTGCTCTGCTCGAGCCGGCGATTACTACTGCGGCTTAGCCAGATCGCCTGACGACCATTACTGCACATGGCCCAAGCAGCGAGTGCGTCCTCAGCCAGAAAGAGCAAGTTTGGCCGGCGAGAGATCGACAGGTTCGAGCGATCCTCGACGACGGCAGACGCTCTCGCTCACCGCCAGGCGGCGCCAGATTGGACGGACCGCACGCTCCGTGTCCCGAGAGACCGGATTGAGCCGGCGCCCGCACCTGAGTAAGCGACCGGGCTTAGGGAAGTCGAGGGAACACGTCCAGAAGCGGGTCAAGGTCGAGAGCCCGAACCCCGTGTTCAGCGACAGAGTTGACCCTTCGCCTCGTCGCCTCGCTCTCCCTCTTCATCCTGCTCCATTCCTGCTGCAACGCACGCCACGACACCCACCGCTCGGACCTCCAGCTCACCCTCCTCAGCGACCTTCCCAAGTGCGTCGACGCCTCTCCCTCTCGCCGCACGTCCCGCACGACCGAGCCCTGACCTGCGACGTCCTCACACAGTGTCTACCATGCGCGCCTGGGCTTACAAGACCAAGGGCAAGACCTCGGACGTCCTGCGCCTCGAGCCGAGCTGGCCCAAGCCGACGCCGTCCTCCTCGCAAGTTCTCGTTAAGGTCGCGGCAGCGGGCGTCAACCCGTTCGACGGGAAGGCTATGGGCGTCGCGCCCGTCAAGTACATGGCCAAGGCGCCGGCCGTACCGGGACTCGACCTGTCCGGCTGGGTCGAGGGAGGCGACTTGAGCGGCACCGGTCTCGCCATCGGCGACGAGGTGTTCGGGTTCGTGTCGACGCAGGACATCTGCAAGACGGGCAAGGGCGCGTTGGCCGAGTACGTCGCCGTCGAGAAGGACACGCTCGCGAAGAAGCCAGCGAACGTCTCGCTCGAGGAGGCGACGACCTTTCCTCTCAGCGTGCTCACGGCGTACTGGGCCCTCGTCACGACCGCCAAGCTCCAGAAGGGCCAGAAGAAGCGTATCTTCATCATGCGTCCCTTGCCTCTTTCGCGAGTCGACGTTTCAAGGCCGACCTTTCGCTCACGGACCCCTCCTCCCGGTCGTCGCAGAACGGCGGTTCCGGAGGTGTGGGCTCGTACGCCGTCCAGTTCGCCAAAGCGTACGGCGCCTTTGTCGTCACGACGTGCTCGCCCGGCACCCTCGAGCTCGTCTCGACGCTCGGCGCCGACGACATCCTCGACTACCGCGCGAGCCCTCTTCCCGGCCAGCTCAAGGCCAAGTACGGCAACGAGCCGTTCGACATCGTCTTCGACACGGTCGGCTCTCCTGAAGTCTGGCGCAAGTGCCCCAAGTACCTCAAGGTGCGTCCTCCTCGGCGTTCTCGAGATTCGAGCCCGCTCGGACCCTCGCTTTCGTACGGCGCGACCGTCTCCTCGTCGGGACGGGTCCTGAAGCTTGCTCTCTCTCTCTCTCTCTCGCAGTCCGACGGCATCTACGTCGACGTTGCAGGCGCGCACATGGACGGCGGGATCGGGCCTCTTCTGAGCGGCATGCTCGACATGATGGGCCGCAACCTGCGCCCGGGCTTCCTCGGCGGCGTCCCGCGCAAGTACGTCTTTGGGCTCAGCACGGCCGACCGCAAGTCGTTCGCCGAGGTCGAGGAGCTCGTGCGCACGGGCAAGATCCGGCCGATCGTCGACAGCGTGTTCCCGTTCGACGAGGCCCTCAAGGCGTACGAGCGCCAGATGTCGGGCCGGTGCGTCGCCTTCCTCCTCTCTGAGCGTATGTGACCTCGGTGCTGACCTTTTTGAGCGACCGCAGCGCTCAGGGCAAAATCGTCGTGCGCGTCCACCTCTGAGCAGCCGCTCGCAGCGAGCCCGTGTACCACTCCTCCCTTGTGCCATCATCTTTGGCTGCCCTCGCCGCCGTAATCCTCGTCGACCTCGTCATTCCCGAGAAGGATTGAGAGCGCGAAAGCCCGGGAGACGAGCGGACGTCGAGAAAGGCGAGCTGAGCAAGCGGACGAGGAGAGAGCCACAGAGGAAAGGACGCGGCGGGCCTGCCAGCTCGGCTCAGCCGCCAGCGTGGTGCCAGGACTGCGCTGTGGGCGGCAGCGAGAAGTCTGCTGCACCAGGGAACCCAGAAGAGCAAATCGCTGATGAAGAAGATGCGGCGAGACGGCGAGCAGCGAGCGCAGCTCGGGCGGATTCGAGAGGGCTGCCGCCGCCGCCTGGGAGCAGGTAGGGTGCGGTCGAGCACAAGACCGGCGCATTCTGTGTGAGTCGCAGCGCGGACCGCGTGGTGGTCAGAGGGAGAGGAAGAGGGAGCACGCGGTCGTCTCCTTGAACTCTGACGCGTGCCTGCTCCGCTCAGTGCATGCTCAAGAGTCTCTGGTCCACTGCCAGCCGCGCAGTACCTCGATCCCTCGCCTACCGCACCGCCTCGTCGCCTCCCCCACTCGTCGGCTCCTCGTCGCGCACCATGGCCACCGCGAGCAACGCCAACATGGACCGCTACCTCGCCGACAAGGCGCCGCCCGTCTGTTCCCTCACCATCGCCGACTCGTTCAAGGCCCTCACTCGTCAAGAGAGTGCGTCCCCGCCTCTCTCACCTCGAGACCCGTCTCTCTCTGCCTACGCCGAGAGGCTGACCTACCGCGCACATCCACAGAGCTCTACTCGCACTACCTGAGCGAGGCGAGCTGGGCAGGCGCCCGCATCGTCATGCGCCAGACGACCGCCCACTCGGAGAAGCTCTTCGACCTCCTCGTCGCGACGTTCAGCTCGGCGGCCGACCCGACCAAGCTCGCCGACCTCCAGCAGCTCAAGAAGAAGAGCGGCGTCAGCGACAACGACTGGGACGCCGTCCTCGCGTATGCTGCCCAGGTGCGTCCTCGCTCGCCTCGTTCCCTCGCCTCCTTTCGACGGCGAGACGCTGACCGCGAACGTCCGACGCAGGTCTTCTCGAACCTGAGCAACTTCCGCAGCTTTGGAGCCACCAAGTTCATCGCGCGCGCGAGCGAGGAGGGTTTCGCCGCCATCGTCGCCGCCTCGGAGCGCTCGTCGGTCGCCCTCCCGCTGTGGAACGAGCTGTCGGGCGAGATCTACGCGCTCAAGCCCGAGGCGTCCCTGTCGATCGGCAAGCCTACCGACGGCCACACGTCGGCATACTACCCGTCGTCGCCGCCGCCCTCGGACGAGCAGGTCGACGAGGTCCAAGCCCTGTGCGACGCCGCCGGCATCTCGACGCTCAACACGCGCCTGTCGCGCACGTCCGACACCGAGCTCGTCCTCCTCATCGCGAGCGTCGGCAAGCTCCCGGCGTCCTTCCCCGAGTCGCTCAAGAGCGACAAGCTCGGGTCCACGGTCCGGCTCGAGGCGGGCGACTTCTCGGACGCCCTCGGGCGCGTCAACGCGGCGTTGCGCGAGGCGCGCAAGCACGCACGCGACGACAACCAGCGCCAGATGCTCGAGAAGTACGAGGAGAGCTTCGAGACGGGCGACATCGAGGCGCACAAGCAGGGCAGCCGGCACTGGGTCAAGGACGTCGGGCCGGTCGTCGAGTCGTACATCGGGTCCGTCTGCAGCCTTCTCCCCCTCTCTCTGTCTCGAGCCGTTCACTGACGCTCTACCACCGCTCGCAGGTTCATCGAGTCGTGCGTCCCTCTTTCGCCCTCCTGCTCCTCGCTCTCCCTCTTCCGCCGCCACCCTCTCTCATCGTCCACTTTGCCTCGTCACTTCCGGACAGAGCTCACGCTTCTCGTACGGGCGCAGGTACGTCGACCCGTCTGGCGCTCGCGCAGAGTGGGAGGGCTTCGTCGCCATCGTCAACAAGGAGCAGTCGGCCAAGTTCAACGTGCTCGTCGACGGCGCGCCACAGCTCATCGAGGACCTGCCTTGGGGCAAGGACTATGAAGGTGCGTCCACCCGTCTTCTTTCGAGATCGCCGTACCGAGTCCTGACCTTCGGGCCTCGCAGTTCCCGAGTTCAAGCGTCCCGACTTTACCGCGCTCGAGGTCGTCAGCTTCGCGACGGCCGGCATCCCCGCAGGCATTGTGCGTCACTGCCGGTCCTCTTGCCTCTCTTCCGATCATCCCTGACATTTTTCGAGCCCGCAGAACATCCCCAACTGTACGAGCAACGCTCTCTCTCCCTCGATCTCTCCCCTCGGATACCCTCCCTGACTTGCTCGTACTTGCAGATCATGACGTGCGCGAGAACGACGGCTTCAAAAACGTGTCTCTGAGCAACATCCTCTCGGCCAAAGCCGCCGGCGAGGAGCTCACGTTCATCGCGCCGGCCGAGGCCAAGCAGTACCGCGCGTGGGAGGACAAGGCGTTCGAGGTCCAGGTCGCGTCGCACGAGCTCCTCGGGCATGGCAGCGGCAAGCTCTTCCAGGAGCAGGCCGACGGCTCGCGCAACTTTGACGAGAAGACGATCAACCCGCTCACGGGCAAGCCGATCACGAGCTGGTACCGCCCCGGCGAGTCGTACGGCAGCCGCATTGGCCCTGTTTCGTCGTCAAGTGCGTCCCTTCTCTCCTATCGTCGTTGTTGTCGTCGTCGCCGGCGCGTTCTCGAACCTGACCCTCTTCGACATTCCCGCAGTGGAGGAGATGCGCGCCGAGTCGATCGCCCTGTACCTCGCGACCAACAAGCAGATCCTCGAGATCTTTGGCTTCAAGACGCAGCAGGAGCAAGACGACCTCGCGTACCACATGTACCTGATCATGGCCCGCGCCGGCGTCCTCGCCCTCACCTTCTTCGACCCGGCGACGGGCAAGCACGGCCAGGCGCACATGGAGGCGCGTCACGGCATCTTGCGGTGGCTCGTGCAGCACGGCATCGCGAGCGTCGACTTTGTTCGGGACGGCGAGGGCCGGCTCGTCGACGCTCACGCCAAGATCGACCGCGAGGCTTGCCTCGCCAAGGGCAAGGAGGTCATGGGCAAGCTGCTCCTCGAGATCCAAGTCCGGTCCGTCGAACTCTCTCTCTCTCTCTCCTGTCTTGTTGGCGATGCTGCATCGGCGACGAGACTGACCTGGTTTTTGACGAGCGGCGCAGGAAGAGCACGGGCGACGGACCCGGCGCGACCAAGTTCTACAAGGAGCTCACCAAGCCTGACCAGGTCTGGGTCGACGAGCTGCGGCCTCTTGTCCTCGGTGCGTCCCGCGTCTCTCCTCGTCCTCACGCCCACCGATAGACCTCGCCTGACCTTCTCTCGCCCTCTTTCCTCCCTCTTCGCCTCGTTCCATCTTCGCGCTCGCAGCCAAGAAGCTTCCTCGCAAGGTCTTCGTGCAGCCCAACACGCGCCTTACGTCGTCCGGCGATGTCGAGCTCGTCGAGTACCCGGTCACGGTCGAGGGCGTCATCCAGAGTTTCGTCGAGCGGGCGTTGTAGATTCTCTCCCTCTCGCTTAGCCGCAACGAGCAAGCATGCAAGCAGTTCTCTCGACTAGCTCGACACGAGAGGGACACAGACAGATGGGCACAAATGCGCAAAGCTCGAATAACACAACAGCTCGAGAGGGAGAGAGACGGAGAGAGAAAGACGAAGATGGGACCCGGCGACGACGCGCTCATCGCTCTGGCGAGCTCGGCGGCGTCTCGCTCTGCATCCTCGCGGCAGCCTTGCTCGCCGCCGCACGCCGTCCGCCCCTCCTCGCCGGCGCAGCTCCCGAGCCCGACGCCTTGGCGGCCCTCGCCGCCGCTGCGGCCGACGCCTTGGCTGCCGCCGCACCGCCTCGCGCACCGCCTCGAGCACGCGACTTCTGCACCTTGCGCTGCAGGTCCTGGTCCTCGGCGCCCTTGGCCCGGTGAGCCTCGAGCGCGTCCTCGAACTCCTTGAGGTCCGACTCGGTGCGGTTGAGCTTGTTCGTCGGCGCACGGATCTGCGTTTCGGATCGTCGAGTCAATGAGACGTTCTCGACGGCTAAAGAGAGGCGAGAGAGAGAGGCGGGAGAGAGGCGAGAGACGCACCTTGGTGAGGATCTCGCCAAAGCGCTTGTACACGGTCTCCTCGTGGAGCTTGTCCTGGTAGAACGGGACGCCCTCGACGAGCTTCTTGACGGCCGTGTCCGAGTTGAACGGGAGGAGCGACAGGCAGAAGGCGATGTCGCGCCACTGGCGAGGCTGGTTCGTCGTCTGGAACCGCTGGCACAGCTTCTCGACGATCGACTCGGCCTCCTTCTTCTGCGAACGCCGACGTAGACGAGCAAAGAGTCAGTCTCGGGTCGACGAGGTGTTTCAGGAGGAGGAAGAGGAAGTGAGGGAGGAAAAGGGGACGGACCTTGTCGACAAATTTGAAGATGAACTTCATCGACGTTTGGAACGTGTCCTCGTCGACAGGGTTGGCGCCAGTCGACAAGTGAGAGATGACGTCGGGCAGGTTGTTGTAGATGGCCTTGTCCTTGGTCGACAGCTCCTCGAAGAACAGGTGGGCGAGGTCCTTGATGCGCTTGTCGTCGTCCGACAGGCACTTGGCCATCTCGCCGAGCTGGCCCTTGGGCTTGATCTGGCCGTTGAGGATCAGGTGCGTGAGGACCATGAGGGTGTTCTTCTTGACGGTGAGGTCCTTGTCGTGCAGGCCGGCGTACAGGCGGTCCGAGTTCTCGTCCATGATCGTCGAGAAGCAGACGGCGATGTCGCCGAGCGCGATGACGATGTTGCTCCTGACGGCCGGCTCCTTGGACGTCTCGAGAACCTTGAAGAGGAGCATGAGGTGCTCGGCGCAGAACTCGGCGCTGACGCACATGAACTTGCTGAGGGCGAGGGTGGCGGCCGTCTGCAGCATCGGGTTCTGCGAGTGGGAGGCGACGACGACGCTCGACATCAGGCTCTGCTCGGGCTTGACGGGGAAGAGGAGGAGGAGAGGACGGGCGAGCGCACCTTGTAGATTTTGGGCTGCGCGACGACGGTCGAGGCCATGGGGCCAAAGACGGCGAGGAGGCTGTCGGGCCCGTACAGGAGCTCCTTCTCGCGCGACGCGGCGATCACGTCGCCGATGTCGTCCTCGACCGAGCCCGCAACTTGGTCGAGCTCGTCGTCGCCGGCCTTCTTGCCGCCCTTGGACTTGTCGTCGTCGGCCTTGCGGCGCTTGAGGTCGCGCTCGACGAGCTCGAGGTGCACGAGCTGCTTGATGGCGCAGTGGCCGGCGACAAAGAGGAGCTGCGACAGCTCGAACGCGTTGCCCGTCGACGGCGAGCCCTGCGGCGCCGGCTGCGGCTGGTTTGCCGCCTCGTCGCCGTCGACCATCTCGGCGTCGGCGTCGGCGTCGGCCGCTGGCGCAGGCTCGCCCTCGTTCTCGTCGACGTCCTCGTCCATCTTGGCCGGCTCGCCGTCGCCCTCGTGCGCCTCGACGTGCGCCGCCGGGGTCGCGCCGGCCTTGGGCCCAAAGACGCGCACCGTCATGCGGCGCAAGACCTCGGAGCACAGCTTGTCGGGCTGGTCGCCGAGCGTGTAGACCGTGTTGAGCGCCTGCTCGGCCATGCTGAACCACTCGCGCGACGATGACGGCGCCTGGATCGTGTCGGACAGGCGAGAAAAGACGGCGCTGTCCATCGGGAGCCGCACCTGGGCGTCGTTGAGCGAACCTGCGTGGACGTCGACCCGCATGGTCAGTCGTCTGTACGTCGAGGAACGCGCCGAGGACCTGAGAGGGAGGGAAAGAGAGCCGTGACGCACCCTTGACCTTCTTGACGCTGCCGCCGACCCTGCCGAGAGCGATACACGTGTACTTGGCGAGCACGAGGTCCTTGCGGCCGAGCGGGCCGAGGCCGATGCGGAGGAGTGTCTCGACGTGGTCGGCGACGACCTCGGGCTTGGTCTGGGCGAACATGCCGAGGACGATGATGGCGCCGCGACGCTGGAACTTGGGGATGTCCTTGGACGTGCCTGTGCGGGAGTGGGGCGTCAGGTCGGGCGAGAAGAAGTGGGAGAGGTACGAGGGAAGATGCGACGCACTGTAGACCTGCCAGAGCTTGGTGATGACCTCGTCGTCGACGACGCTCTTGGCCATCATGACGGCGAGGAGCTGCTCGAGCGACGTGAGCTCGGCGAGCGTGGCGTCTCGGGTGAGCCTGCGTGAGAGAAATAGGGGGAGAAAGGGGTGTTGGTCAGTGGCTGAGGTCCTTGCCGACGAGAAAGGAGGTCCGAGCGGGAAGAGGGAGGAGGGAGGGGGACGGGACGCACTCGATGACGTTGCGGGCGACGAACGCGACCTGGTCCTTGTCGCTCAGGTTCTCGGGCGGCTCAAAGTAGAGCTGCGAGTAGCACTCGATGAGCCGACTGCGGATCCCCTTGACCTCGCGCTCGCCGTCCTCGCCGCCGTCGCCCTGCGCGCCCGCGCCCGACGCCGCCGCCGCCGAAGCTGGCGCGTCGTCCTTGGTCCAGATGAGGTGGAGCATGCGGCGGACGCCCTGCTCGGCGGCCTCGAGGCGGTACTCCTTGGCGACGCGGCAGAACTCGATCGCCTCGAGGACCTCGCTCTTGACGCTCGACGCGAGGAGCTCGGTGACCGTGTCCATGGCGCCCTCGAGCGCCTCGATGAAGCTGATGGCGTCGACGTAGTAGGCCTTGGTGAGGCGCAGCCGCTGGAGCGTGTCGCCATCGACCTGGGCGAGCACGACCGACTGGTCGGCGGCTGCGAGATCGAGCTGCGACCGGCGAGGAGCGCGCTTGCGCCCCGCCTTGACGGCCGAAGAACGACGCTTCTTGGGCGTGCCGTCCTCGTCCGAGTCGGGGCCGTGGTCGTCGTCGTCGTCCTCGTCCTTCTCGGCCGCCGGGTTCTCCTCGTCGCCCTCCTTGTCCTCGCTCTCGTCGCCCTCGTCCTCGCCCTCGGGCACGCCGTCCATGAGGCGCCTCGCCTCGCGCTCGGCCTCGTCGGGCAGGTCGAGCACCTTGAGCTCGTCCTCGAGCTTGGCGAGGCGCGCGCGCCACTCGTCGAGCGCGAGTTCGCCGCCGTGCATGCGGCCGTACGGGTGCGTGAGGACGAGGCGCGTCAAGAGGGCGAGGCAGTTGCGCCGCACGCTCGCCGCCTTGTCGTGGAGGCTCCTCGCCGCGAGGCGCGCGAGCTCGAGTCGGAGCGAGGGGACGCGCGCCGGGAGCGAGCACGTGTCGCGCAGGACCGAGGCGGCCTTGGCGCGCACGTACGAGTTGAGGTCGAGGAGGCGCTCGGTGAGGAGTGCGTGGAACGACGTGAGGAGGCGCGTGTGCTGGGCCGGCTCGAGCGAGAGGGCGCCCGACTCGGTGAGGGACAGCTCGCGCAGGAGGAGGCCGAGGACCTCGAGGATGGCGTTGCGCATCGGGTACGACTGCGGAGGGGAGCAGACATGAGTATGGATCGCCGAGAGGGCGTGCGACGGCGGGAGAGAGGGGAAAGGGGGAGGAGGACGCACCTCGCTGTCGAGGTGCTTCTGCAAGAGGACGATCTGCTTGAGGACGATGCGTGGGCTCGTCTCGGCGAGCCGGATGAGGAACTTGGAGAACGACCTCGGGCCCTTGGTGTCCTGCGCGTTGAACTGGCGGTCGGCAATCTCGCTGCGGGCGATGAGACGGTGTGAGCACCGGGATCATCCGTGACCGCATGCGACCGTCGCTGTTGTCGAGAAGTACAGGCGGTCGCAGGTGAACGGGGAGAGCACACGACGCACCCGAGGACCTTCTCGCCGAGGACGTCCTGGTCGAACTCCTTGGCGTAGACGGTGACGAGCTCGGCCATGGGCTCGGCGAGGTGCTCGGTGTACTGGAGGTTCTGCATGATGGTCATCTGGACGTCTGCGAGTGCGAGAGGGAGGGCGAGAGAGGGGAGAGATGGGTAGTGAGGGAGGAAAAGGAAGGACAGGCAGGGTCAGAGCGCGGCCCGAGCGGGACGACGCGAGGCGAGGGCACGGTCGCGACGCACTGAAGGCTTGACCGTGACCCTTTGCGGCGAGGCACATGACGCGAAAGATGCCGGCCTTGATCTCGGGCACCTTGAGGTACGCCTCGGTCTCGGCGAGGAGGTTGACGGGGCGCAAGAAGCAGTTGCTGTGAGGCGGCGCAGCCAGAGTCAGTACATCGTCCTGAACCAAACGACTCGCTCCACATGTAGCCATGCGCCGCTATGCGGACAATGGCCGCACGACATAGACGGCGCTCGGGACGAGGACGAAAGGGAACGGCCGACGCACGAGATGACGCTGTCGCGCTCGGCCGTCGTCTGCCAGATGCGCTCGGTGCGCAGCGTGCGCAACGCCTTGACCATGACGCCGAGGACGTCCGGGACCTGGTCGACCCACGAGAACGCGTCGCGCGCGCCTTTGCCCTTGGCCTTGCTCTTGGCGGCGGGTTTCTGCGGGCGAGCGAGCGAGGTCAGGCAGTGCGTCCCTTGTAATCTGCTCGAGCCAAACGCCGCGTGCTGTAGCTCGACCTAGGAGCGGTACATGCGGCGAGGTGGTGGACGCAAGTCGCGAAGGGGAGGAGAGGGGGCGCACCTTGCGACCCTTGCCCGTGCCCGTCTCTCCATCGAGCGCCGCCTGGGCCGCCGCCGCCTTCTCGCCGACCTGGACGCTCCACATGGCGAACAGGGCATGGGCCTCGAGGGCGTGGCGGTGGGCGCGGTAGGCGGTGTGGTCGGTCGGGCTGGTGTCGGACTGGCGCACGAGATCGAGGAGGGCCGAGAAGCCTGTGGCGGGGAGAGAGAGTCAGTGCGAGTGTTTGAGGGGGCACAGGGTGCGCCGGCGAGGACGAGAGGGAAGCGAGAGCGCACTCGAGGTGAGGGCGTCGAAGAGCTTGGAGAGGGCGGGTCCAGGAAGGTGCTGTGCGCCTCTGCGGGTGGTTGGAGGGGTCAGTGTCGGTTCTTAGGAGCACGGAGGGAGCGCTCAGGACGCACTGGAGGAAGGATGCGACCTGGTCGAAGCAGTGTTGTTCGGTGACGGCGGCCGGGTCGGACGTGAGGTCGTCGACGAGCTCTGCGGGAGCGAGGGGTCGGTCAGGGGGTTGCGTCGGCTCGCAGGACTGTGGTCCAGAAGGCCCAGGGGACGCACGGTTGAGCTGGAGGTGGAGTTCGTGTTGATCGAGTTGGTCGAGGTCGAGAGGGTTGGCGAGGTCGAGCGGGAGCTGGTCCTGGATGTGGGCGAGGTGTTCGTCGAGGGACCAGTCCATGGTGGGCGTCTCTGATTCGCAGCTGGTGCTTGCCACGGAGAACAGGGTGAGGCGACTCAAGAGGCTCGCGTCCACACGCGCTCCTCCTCCTCCTCCGCCTCCTCTGTCCTCGCTCCTCTCACCGCACTGCTGAGCCAGTGCAACACTCGACCGCACGCCCACCATGTCCCTCAACATGCGCGACAACCACGCAAAGGCTCCTCGTCCGTCCCCTTCCCTCTCCTCCTCCTCCCTCCCCTCCCTCGTCTCATCGCTCACCTCGCCACACTCCTCCCTCGCTCACAGCCGAGGCTCGCCGCGTCGTCGACTTCCTTCGCAACAAGGCTCAGCTCAAGACCCGCACCGGCGCACTTAATGGCAAGCGCGTCGACTACTTCAAGGGTCCGCTCTCTCCCCTCTCCTCGTCGCTCGTACCGGCATCCCCGAACCACTCACACTCTGTCCCACCAACAGGCAAGTCGGCCATCAAGGCGCTCCGCTCGCCCGCCTACGCCAAGCTCGGCGCCAAGGTGCCCCAGGTCGACTCGGACGACGCCGCGACCCAGCTCCTCCACTCGCTCATCCCGCACACCTTCTTCCTCCGCATCCAGCGCGGGCCCTCGATCTCGTCCGGCGTCAAGGCCGTCCAGATCGTGCCCCAGCAGCTCTTTGCCCCCGACGAGCACTATGTGTGGCTCGTCGACCCCAACCCGATCCGCCAGCTCGCGCTCGCCGTCGCCATGGTCGCCGTCGTCCTCGCCGGCGTCATGTTCCCCTTGTGGCCCGTCAAGATGCGCATCGGCGTCTGGTACCTCTCGGTCGGCGTCCTCGGCCTCATCGCCGCCTTCTTTGGCCTCGCCATCGTCCGCCTCGTCCTGTGGCTCGTCACCAAAGTCGTCGCCCGCCCGGGCATCTGGCTCTTCCCCAACCTCTTTGCCGACGTCGGCTTTGTGCGTCAAAATCTCTCCCTTCCTCTCTCTCGACCGTCATTGACGCCCTCGCTCGCCCGCAGGTCGACTCGTTCATCCCGACGTGGGGTTGGGACGTGCCGCCCCCGAAAAAGGCCAAGAAGGCGGCCAAGGACGGCACGGGCACGCCGTCCAAGAAGAGCTCGAAGCGCAAGGACGCGGCGGCGGCCGCCGCCCAGGCGCAGCAGCACGGCGGGCACTCGCACTCGCACGGCGACGGCGCCCACTCGCACTCGCACGGCGGCGACGACGGCCCGCGCATCGTCGAGCTTGCCGACGACGACGACGACGAGTAGCTGTCGAGGGTTGTAGATGGGCAGGCAGGAGTGCAGCGCAGGCAGCTTGACGCGGTGGATCCGTTCGCGAGGACCGTTCGAGAGAAGCTGTCCGTCTCGCCTCCTTTCGTCGCCGTCTTCTGCATTGGACCGTGCCCGAGAGAACGTGCGAGCAAGCTGCGAGCAGTCCTGTGCGACCGGGAGCGAGATCCGCTGTCGCCGCCCCCACTCCGTCCGCGCGCTCGTGTTCCCTCCTCGCCCGCTCGCTCTCCTCAGCTCGAGCCCAGCGCACCATGTCGTCCCGCACGCGCTACTTCCTCTCGTCGCGCGTCTACTCGGCCTCGGCACCAGACGGCGCCCCAGGCACGGTCGTCGTCGAGCTCCCCGCGGGCACCATCTCCGCCGTGCACCCGCGCCTCCTCGAGCGGCCAGCGGGCACCCAGGACGACGACTGGGTCGACGTTGGCGACAAGTGGCTCCTTCCTGGTGTGCGTCCCTCGTCCCCCGTCTCTCCCTTGCCCCTCTGCGCCGTACAGCCGGACTGATCGAACCTCTCGTCCCCCCCTTCCTCGTCGTGCAGCTGGTCGACGCGCATGTCCACCTCAATGAGCCGGGCAGGACAGAGTGGGAGGGCTTCGAGACGGGCACGGCCGTGCGTCGACTGTTCCTCTTCCTCGAGCATGCATGGCGACTCGTCGTGCGGAGCCTCCTCGACCTCGTGTCGAGGTGGGATCTGCTGTGCGAGGAGCTTCCACGCACACAGTCGTGGGGCAGACAGTAGCTGACTCGAGGCGCACCCGCAGGCGGCAGCATCCGGCGGCGTGACGACCGTCATCGACATGCCGTTGAACGCCATCCCGCCGACGACGACCGTCGCCAACCTGCACACCAAGCTCGCCGCGTCCGAGGGCAAGCGCCACATCGACGTCGGCTTCTGGGGCGGCGTCATTCCGGACAACGCGGCCGACCTGCAGCCGCTCGCCCACGAGGGCGTCAAGGGCTTCAAGGCGTTCCTGTGCGAGAGCGGCGTCGACGAGTTCCCGGGCATCAACGAGCAGCAGATCCTCGCCGCCATGAAGGAGCTCAACGTGCGTCCCCCCCTTTTCCTCGTCGTCGGCGCGATCGCGCGAGAGCCGCACTGACCTCTCTCTCTCGTTCCGCCCGCAGGAGGCCAAGTCGCTCTTCCTGTTCCACGCCGAGCTCGACAACCCGGCGTCGCAGCAGCACGGTCACGGTCACGCCGACCCGGCCGCCTACTCGACCTTCCTCGACTCGCGCCCGCCGTCGCTCGAGGAGTCGGCCATCGACCTCATCATCCGCTGCGCCGCCCAGTTCCCCTCGCTGCGCACCCACATCGTCCACCTGTCGGCGGCGTCGGCCCTCCCCGCGCTCCGTCGCGCGCGCAACGACCTCAAGCTCCCCATGACGGTCGAGACGTGCTTCCACTACCTCACCCTGTCGGCCGAGGAGATCGCCCAAGGCCAGACCCTGTTCAAGTGCTGCCCGCCGATCCGCGCCGCGTCGAACCGCGACGCCCTGTGGGACGCGCTCCTTGCGGGCGACATCGACTTTGTTGTGAGCGACCACAGCCCGTGCGTCACCGAGCTCAAGAAGCTCGACGAGGGCGACTTTATGGGCGCGTGGGGCGGCATTGGCGGGCTCGGGCTCGGCCTGTCGCTCCTGTTCACCGAGGCGCACAAGCGCGGCGTCGAGATGCGGCGCGTCCTCGAGTGGGTCGCGAGCACGCCCGCGAAGCAGGTCGGCCTCGAGGGCCGCAAGGGCGCCATTGTCGAGGGCGCCGACGCCGACTTTGTCGTGTTTGACCCGCAAGAGTCGTTCACGGTGCGTCCCTCTCTTTTTCTCTCTCCCCACTTTCGAGCGCGTTGAAGCGAACCTGGCTCGTCCTTTTTCCTCGCTCGCAGATTCGCAAGTCCGAGCTGCACTTCAAGAACCGCGCCTCGCCGTACGGTGCGTCCTCGCTCTCTCTCTCTCGGTGTCCTCGGTTGTTCCTCGACGCTCACTGACTCGCCCCTGTGCCGCCCGACGCAGAGGGCCTCACGCTCACCGGCGCCGTCCGGTCGACCTACCTCCGGGGCAAGCAGGTGTACAGCCGCGACACTGGGTTCAAGGGCGTCGAGAGCGAGAGCGACGGCAAGACGTTGCTGTAAACGGTCGAGGGCACGAGGTAGAGCGGCTGCATAGACGACTTGCTCAGCTGCGTTGGCCACCGAGAGCAGGAGAGCGACCGGCGCGTTCTCGAGCGACTTGGGCCAGTAGACAGCCCTCGACGGGCTCGCCGCCCTCGAGGGCCCCAGAGCGAGTAAGGGTGCGCAGGCGAAGCTGCTCTCGAGCACACTCAGGCCGTATCGAGCCGCCGTCAGTTTGAGAAGGCTCGAGCGCGGTCTCTTGCGCTCGTCCTCGCTGTCTCTGCGCCGATCTAGGGAATCGTCGAGAGCGCTAGCCAGAGTCGCGAGAGCGACAGAGAGACGGCGAGAGAGCCGCTGCAGAGTGCGAGAAACCGGTCCAAGCGAGATGCGACGAACGCTCGTGCGACGAGAGGCCGGTGCGGCAAGGGACGTCGAACGTTGAGGAGGGCGACCTCGTTCGCCTCGAGCCGTCTGGGTCGCACGCTCGAGCAGAAGAGGAAGCGGGCTCGCAGGCAGAGCGGGCCAAAGAGGGAGAAGGAGGCTCCTCGTCCTCGAATTCTCGCGGCTCTCGCACTTTCACTCAGAGCGTGACGGCGACGGACGCTCTCGTGCTCGCAGAGACGGACGAGGAGACAGAAGAAGAAAAAGAGGGGGTGGGTCATACACGGAGCCAGTTGCAGTGGATCACCCTGCCGCTAGACTCCCCTCTTCCCCCCGGGAAACCGACCGACCAGAACCGCTCGCCGCAACGACACACTTATGCGACGATCGAGACGGCACCGCCGTTGGCCTTGATCTTCTCCTCGGCGCGGCGCGAGACGTAGCGCGCCTTGACGATGATCGGGTAGGCCGGGAGGCGGCCCTTGGCCAGGACCTTGCCGTAGCCCTGCGAGATGGGGGAACGAAGATGCAGGTCAGGCTCCAGGACTCGACTTTGCAAGCAGCACTCGCCTCGTGCCGAGCGAGGGGAGAGCGCGCCAAGAGGAGAGGGAGAGGGGACGCACGGCAGCGAGGGTGTCGATGACGGGGACGACGGTCGACGAGGCCGTGAGGCCGTCGCGCTGCTCAGCCGGGATGAGGGTCTGCGGGTAGGAGAGGTGTGTCAGGATACGTGATGCTCGGCTCGAGGTGCGCCGCGAGAGAGAGAGAGAGCGAGGACGCACGGCGAGCTTGTCGACGTTGACGACCGGGCGCCAGAGGGCGGCCTTGTTCTGGTGGTAGTGGCGCATGCCGACCTTTCCGAAGTAACCAGGGTGGTACTTGTCAAAGTTGGTGCGGTGGTGGTGCTGACCACCGGCAAGACCACGACCTCCCGGGTGCTTGCGGTGCTTGCCGACACGTCCGTGACCGGCGGAGACGTGCCCCCTGTGCTTGCGCGTGTTCGAGAAGCGGGTCGGCATGATTCTCCTGTGACGGGGAACGGGAGAGGGGGCGAGGAGGAGAGGAGAGAGGGTCAGTGAGGCTGCTCGAGGATGCGAGGCAAGGTGGTGCTGCTGGACGTTCGGCGAGCCCGCCCAAGCTCCTCGACCGGTGCAGCTCTGCCCCACGTCGAACCTCCTGCCGCACCGTCGCCCGTCCGCTGCCCCGCCGTGCACCGCTCGCGGTCGAGCACCGCCGCACGCCGCCGAGCTCGCGACGAGCACGACCCGGTCGCGCGCACGGCGTCGACGCGCTCCCGCAATCGCTGTGCCCGTCCGAGCCTGCCCGCCGTGCCCTGCTCGAGACGCTGTGCGACCCTGGTCAAGCCGCTGTGGGCCGTCGCCGTGGAGCCGAGGTACGACAAGGAGGGCGGGGGACGAGGTTTGCGGCACGAGGGCGGCTCGAGTCGGGGGTGGGCGGGCTCGACTGGGGGGTCGATGCGGGTGTGGTGGCGGCAGGTAGGCGGGCGAGGCGGGCAGAGGGCGAGGACGGACGGGGTGGGTCGAGCGACGACCTTTTTCGGCGACGAGGCGAGGACGAGGAGAGGTCGGGCGAGGGTGGTTTGGGGACGGGAGGGTGGACGGGGGCGACGAGTGTGGACAGGTCGAGGTAGTAGGGGGCGTGGCTAACCTTGGGAAGCAGCGAGCAAGTCCAAAGAGAAGAGAGGGGAGCGTCGGCAGGCGGCGCAGCGCAGCGGGCCCGGCTCAAGTTCGACTTGGGGGCGAGCTACTCTTCCGCCCTTCCCTCTCTCTCCCTCACTCTCACTTGCTACTTCTCCCGAGAGCCGTTCATTCGGCTGCCTCGCTCTTCACCTGCTCCCGCACCACCTCGACTCGCCCTCGCCCTCGCCCTCGCCTCGCATCCTCGACTCGCCTTCGCCCACCTCGACCTCCCACACCTCGCTCGTCAACCCGCACAACAACCCCGCCAGGACTGCAGCAAGCCTGCGCACTACATCCCACGTGAGCACTCGAGTCCCCCTACTTCGACTCTGGACTGCGTCGGTCGCCTCGCCGCCAGTCGTCTTCGAGCACCCCCCTCCCCCCTCCCTCCCCTCCCTTCACATGATGAAAACAGCTGTATACTTTTAATCAATCTGTCAATCCCCCTAGCACGCGCACACCACCCTCTCGAGGGCGTGCAACATGCGGCGGTGACGAAAAAACATGTGCTATAATCTGATCCACCTCGTCGTCGTCCCTCGTCGTCCTCGTCGCGCGCTCGAGCAACCCAGTCCCGCACCTCACGAGCACGAGTCACTGACACGCACTCTTCTCCCCGTCGCACAGAACCCGTCCACCCCTTTGATCGAGTAGAACCAGGGCCCAGCCGCGTCGTCGAGATGAACGCGCCTTCGCGTTACGAGATGTTTGTGCTGGCGGACGGCGAGCCAAAGTGAGCACCTCGCGTTCGCCCTTTGCAATCCATTCGCGTCGAGCCGTCCAGGAGAACCCGCGAGCTGAACTCTCTCGTCGTCGCGCGCACCTCGTCCCCCTCCTCTCGTCCCCTCTGTCTCGCTCGTGTTCTCGCTCGTCATCAAGGGTCACCGTCGACGAGGACACCAAGATCCCGAACGCGGCGACGCTCACGATCAACAAGGAGGACCACACGCTCGCCAACATGTTGCGCTCGTGCGTCCCTCTCTCTCTCCCTCTCCCGCACGGGCCTTCACGAACCTGCGACTGACTCTCGCCCGTCGCCCACAGTCAGCTGCTGCTCCTGCCGTCGGTCATATTTGCGGGCTACAAGGTGCCGCACCCGCTCGAGTCGCGCGTCGTGCTCAAGGTCCAGACGGACGGGTCCAAGACGCCCGTGATTGCGGTCCAGGAGGCCCTCAGTGCCCTCGTCCTCCTCCTCGGCAAGATCAAGGGCCAGTTCAGCCAGGAGGTGCTCAAGCACCGTGCGCTCGACGGCGCCGAGGACCAGTTTGGCGGAGCGGGCGAGGGCTTCTACTGAGCCTGGCGGTTCTCTCTCTCTCTCTCTCTCTCTCGAGTCGTTTGTTCCCCCTTGTTGTAGCGATATAATCAAACGCAGTGGTGCACTCTGCCCGTCCCTGGTCGCCACGAGCAAGTCGAGCTAGGCGATTCCCGGCGGGAACGGGCGAGAGACGGCTCCGAGGGCTCGACCTGCTCTTGTCGACGCGATCGTATCCTCCTGCTCGACCCAGCGACGGCCGCAGCCGCCATGCAGTCGCCTGCCGGCACCGTGCCCGCCACGCCGAGCGCGCCTTTTGCCCCCGCGTCGTCCTCATCGGCCTTGTTGTCGTCCGACCCGCACCACGTCGCCCACGCCGCCCACGCGCAGCAAGCACGCCCGGGCACGAGCACACACGCGATGCAGCAGCACGAGCCGCCACCGCCGTCCGCGACCGCCTTCTTCTCGAGCAACTACGGCGCCGCCGCTCCTCCTCCCGACTCGTCGTCCCTCCCCCTCGCGACCTCGACCCCGCTCCTCGGCGCACCCGGACCTTCCTCCTCCTCGGCCAACTACTCGAACCCGTACGCCCTGTTCGGTACCGCCCAGGGCTCGGCTGGCCCGCCGCCAGGACTCGTCCACCACCACCTCGGAGCCGCACCCGGTCGGGCGCTCGACGTCGTCGGCGGCAGCGGCAGCAGCAGCAACGGCCACAGCACGCCCGTCGCGTACGGCTGCGGCGACAACGGCGACGACGCGTTCGCTGCCGCCGGTCCGGCCTCGGCGCCGCCAGCTCGCGCGGCCAAGGGCAAGGGCAAGGCGCGCGCTCCTCCCGCCGCGACCGCGACCGACACGAACGGCGCGCACGACGCGTCGCAGCAGGCGGGCGTGCGCAAGAGCGGGCGCAAGACGCAGCGCAGCGCGGCGGCGAGGGCTGCCGTCGGCTTGCTCGACGACGATGCCGAGGGCGACGACGTTGTGGGCGAGCAGGGCGACGAGGACGACGTCGACGAGACGATGGGCAGCGGTGGCGGCAGCGGTGGCGGCGGTCACGGAGCAGGGACCGGGTCGTACGCGTCGACGCCGGCGGGCGACTCGCCGCTCGACCCAGGCGCGGCGGCGGCGGCAGGGGCGGGCGCCGTCCTGCAGGAGGCGGCCGCCAACGACGAGGCCGAGCCGCTGTACGTCAACGCCAAGCAGTACCACCGCATCCTCAAGCGGCGCATGGCGCGCGCCCGCCTCGAGGAGATGGGCCGCCTCAGCAGGGAGCGCAAGGTGCGCCTCGCTTTCTCCTCTCTCTCTCTCTCTCCTTTCAGAACGCCGACTGACGCTCTCTGCCCTCTCGCTCGCAGCCCTACCTCCACGAGTCGCGCCACAAGCACGCCATGCGCCGCCCTCGCGGACCCGGTGGCAGGTTCCTCACGCTCGAGGAGCGCGCCATCCTCGAGGCCGGCGGGTCCGTGCCCGGCGTCGAGTGGCCCCCAAAGCCGCTTCCCGGCGACGAGCCGCCGGCGGCGGCGGCCCCGCAGGTGCACGAGTCGGCGCAGGACGAGGTGCAGGTCCAGGAGCAGTCGGCGGGCCCGGCGGCGGGTCTGCCGCTCGTTGTTTGAGGTCGAGCGGCGAGGTGGCAGGAGCAGCAGCCGGACAGGAGGACGCGCTTTGTCGCAGTGTGCGCTTGTTGTGCAGTCGATATACCACCCTGCCCGCTTATCTTTCGGCGCGGTCGTTGAGAGGCGAGCTCGCTCTCTTTCTTTCTCTCTCGCGATCAGGGGCAGGTCACGGTCGTCGAATTGCAGGATCGCGTTGCTAGAGGCGGTCGAGCGAGCTCTGACGAACGTCGCGTCCGCGAGTGGGCGAGTGCGCAGTGCTTCGAAGCGGTCGCTCGCTCGGACCGCCTCGGCGAGTCGGCGCCGTCAAGGCGACGGAGCCGGGTCGATGTCGTGGGGCCGCACAGCTGGTTGATAGTTAAGGAAGTCGAGCGCCGTTCAGCGCACCGAGAAAGCCTGCGAGCGAGGGAACGAGAGCGTGAGTTCCGGAGCGACAGGGACGAGGACGCGAAGCTGGAGCGCACCTGCACGCTCGGGTGGCCATGCTTTGCGTTCAGGCTCATGATCTCGGCAAAGACGTCCTGGGCCGATGGCGGGCTCGGACGAGCGGGCTGAGTCGGCGACGAGGAGCGGTTCGTGCGGGGCGACGACTTGACCGAGTGAGCCTGCATCGCGCGACACAATCAGCTCTGTGCTCGTCGTTCGACGGACGCAAAGAGAGAGAGCTGGCGTGCCTGGACAGAAGGGTGACCGTGACGAGCGTTGAGCGCCGTCACCTCGCGAAAGATGGCCTCGGACGAAGGAGGAGGCGTCGGCGGCGAGGTCGAGCGGCGCGAACTCGAGCGCTTGAACAGCTTGGCCATGAAGGTCGACGTCTGCTTCTCGAGAGAGAGTCCGTCAGTGCGAGGTACAAACAGCGAGTCGAGAGAGGGAGGAGACGGACCTTGGGCGAGGAAGAGCCGCCGACGAGCGCGGTCGACGAGTTGACGGTGTGAAGGGACGCGGCGTCGTTCAGCATGTTGGTATGTGAGGTGGGCGAGTCGAGAGTCGTCGAGAGGGGCAAAGCGAGAGTAGAGGAGCTGTGTAGCTGGCGAGGAGGAAGGAAGGGAGAGAGAGAGCCGGCGTCGTTACGACTACGTCGAGCCGTCTCTCCTCGCGTCGAATCGAGTCGGGTTCTGCTGCAAACGACGAGCGAGTCAGTCGCGAGCGGCTATACTCGTCGCTCGTCGAGTCCTCTGGAGCAACGAGAGGGCGATCGAGCCCGGTTTTGTCGAGTCAGCCCTCGTGTCGAACGTAGTTCGGCATCCCGGCCGAGGCGAGGCGGGCGGGGCGAGGGTCAAAGCGTCGTCGTCGCAGAGCGTTCCCGCTCTCTGGGCGTCTGTAGCTCGTCTCTCTCGGCTGTCTGCGACTGTGTGCGGCACGAGCGAGAGCGGGCAGCGGGCAGCAAGGGACACAGACATGGGCGCACGGAGGACCGTCTCGTGGGGCGACCTTCCTGCGAGCAGCTACCTCGCAACGCTATCGGGCAGGCCATCTTTGCCGTCGAAGCTGCGGCAGGCGGGCGAGCAAGCCCGCGTCGCCAAAGATCGAGAGACTCGGGCAGGACTCGTGCGAAAGTTGCTCTCGTTGCGCCCTCGCAGGCTCTACGGCCAGTACACGCTCCCGCCGAACAGTACCGGGTCGGTCCACCGCCAGAAGCCATAGATGAAGGTGCCGATGCCACCGAGGTAGGTCGCCCAGAGCGCTGCAGAGGAAAAGGCCAACCGTGAGTACGAACCGTTCGCGAATGGCCGACTTGAGCCTGATCGGCTGCGACGACGGCGAGGCAGAGATGAAAGGGTGCGACGCACAGAGTCTCTTCTCAGGCCAGACCTTGAGGGCCCAGGCGAGCTGCGGGACGCCCATGGCGTTGCAGAAGACGTGGGCGAGGAAGGGCGGAACGACGGATCCTGCGAGCGCAAGGAGCAGATGCTGTCAGGACATGGTCTCGACGCTCGACGAGTCGGCCGGACTGAACGTGGGGCGGGAGAGAGAGAGAGAGAGAACTGACCGGTCCGCAGGAAGAGGAAGGTCGCGAACCAGCCAAACAGGGTCGTGTAGACGAACTGGAAGGCTGCGAGACGAGGTGTCCGGTCAATCACGGACCCACAGTAGAACACAGAGAGACGAGAAGCGAGAGCTGGGACGCACTCGACTGCAGCACGCCCTGGATGAGCGCCTTCCTCGTGCGACCGCCGGCGAGGTACGTCTCCCAGGCGTGGTGGACGTGGGCTGCGAGACAAGCGACGGTCAGGATGGCCGACAGACTGAAAGAGAGGTCGAGACGCACCGAGGCCGAACCACAAGGGCGTGACAAAGACGAGCTTGCGCCGGCTCCAGCCGCCGAGGAAAGACGCGGCGACGACGCAGCTCCTGAACGACAGCTCCTCGGTCAAGGGCGCCTGCATGGGGAGCAGAGTCAGATTCTGTTGACGGTGAGCGCAGGACCGAAAAGGGAGATCGAGAGCGCACCAGGATATAGTTGCGCACGCCCTTCCACCCGCCGAACTTGGCCGTCCAGCTGGCCCACGAGCGCCCTCGCGCCTGCCCTGGCAGGTCGCCGTCGAGCGCGAGGATGTACAAGCTGCCGGCAAACAGGCTCGCCGTGAGGCCGAGAGGACAGGCGACGAGGCGGGCGAGGTCGGCCCAGCGAGTCGAGGAGGAGGTGGAGAAGGAGGAGGGGAGGGAGAGGCCGAGGAGCCGGACCGCGGCAGGGATCGCGGCTCGGTAGGACGGGTAGGTGGCAGGTGCCGCGTGCTGGAGGACGGCGGGCAAGGCGGCGCAGGACGCTGCCGACGCGAGCGAGACGGCGACGAGGCGAGCCTTGATGACGGACGGGTGGTTGCGGTCCCGGCGGTCGGGCGCTGCTGCCGAGACGCTGGTGGCGACATCTTGCGGGTCGGCTGGCGCAGGCTGCTGGGCGAGGCTGACCCGGGTCGAGGGGAGGAGGTAGATCGAGCCGAGGTAGGCGGTCGTGAAGGCCGACGAGCACAGGAGCGTCGACGTCGGGCTCAACAGCGGCATGTTGGTCTGCTGGTGGCCGCAGGTGCACGCAAGCGAGAGAGAGAGTGCAGGACGAGAGCGAGGCGAGCGACGACGGAACAAAGGCGCGGGTGCCGGGCGAGCCGGCGACAGGAGAGCTTACGAGAACGGCGACTCGAGCGTCGATCGAGGGGAGTGCTTTACCCCGCGGCAAGAGCGAAGCGTGTGCCTGGCGGCCCTTGCCCGCCGAGGGAATCTCGACTTGGGTGTGCCGCAGCCGCCGTCGTCCTCCTCCTCCTCCTCCTCGTCTTCTCCTCACCTCGTCAACCCCGGCCGAGCAGCTACCGCGACACACCTGCTGTGCGCCACTGCCGAACCAGCACACGCAGCCCAACAGCCTACTGCCCGCCGAGCCCTCGAGCCCCTCCTCCCGCGCCTCCGCGTTCGGTTCGACCTCGACCACACGTCGCCGTCCGCCAGCCTCGCACACACCGCACCCGCGCTCCCACTAGTGCGTCCACCGTCCTCGAACCAGTCTGTCGAGCACCACACTGACCGTGTCGTCCTCCCTGTCCCTCCCGATCGCACCCCCCTTTGCTCCCCCCTCCTCGACCGTCCGCCCGCCCACGACCAAACACCTCGCGCCGATCTCGCCCTCGTCTCCGACCTTGCCCTCGCGTCGCCGCCCCTCGTCCAACGTTCGCCTCGACAGTGGCCTCGCGCGGCGTGTACGACCACCGCCCGCTCGGCGCCGTCGCCCTCAACCCGCCCTCGGTGCCGCCAGGCTCCGCGTCCGGGTCCAACCCGGGTGCCGCCAACTCGGCGGGAGCGCCGCCAGGCCACCCGGCGGCCGCCGCTGCTGCCGCTGCCGCTGCCGCCGCCGCAGCTCACCCGCTCAACGGCCTCATGCACGGCGGTCCGGGAGCGCCGTCGCAGGCCGCGGGCATCCCGTCGGGCCCAGTCGTCGGCGTCGTCGCTCCGCCGCATCCCAACGCGCAGCGGCTCAACGACCTCCTCGAGTTCGTCAAGGCCGAGTTTGAGCAGGTCGCCGGCGAGGGCAGCGTCTTGCGGGCGCAGCGCGAGGAGTACGAGGCCATGAGTGCGTCCTCTTCTCCTCCTTCCCTTCCTCCTCAGCCTCGGCGACAGCATCCTGACGGTCGAGCTGCCGCAACAGTCCACACGCACGCGAGCGAGCTCAACGCGATGCGCGCCATGGTGTACGACCTCGAGCGCAAGTACCACGACGACAAGCGCGTGTACGTCCCCTCAGTCCTCGATCGCACCCTGTCTCTCTCGCTCGGGCCCACACTGACAAGCTCTACCATCGTGCGCAGTCTGCAGGAGGAGAACTCGAGGCTGCAGGAGGAGAACTCGCGCCTGCGGCAACAGCTCGACTCGTCGCGCTCGTCCGTCTCGTCGGCGGGCAACCCGTCCCTGTCGGGCCCGAGCAGTCGCTCCGCCTTTCCGCCCATGATCTCGCCGGCACCCGGTGCGCGCCCCGGGAGCGCAGGCGTGTTTGCGGGGCGCGACGGCGAGCGCGACTTTGCGCAGCCGGGGCCGTACGGCTCGGGCGCCAACGGGAGGGGCGGCGAGCGCGAGGCCGAGCACCCGAACAAGCGCATGCGCACCGACGACGAGGACCGCAGGAAAGGTGCGCCGCAGCTGGTTCCCCTCGCCCTCTGCGTCGTCGTCGTCGCCCGAGGCGGGAGAGACTGACCCTCGTGACCCTGCAGGTGCAGCGTCCATTCCTCCGCCACGCCACGCCCCGGCCGCCATTCCTTATCCGTCCTCTCGCCCTCCTTCGACCGGGCCTCCCGGCGGTCCTCCCCTCCAGCACCCGTCGCCTCTCCCTCCCTCAGCGTCCGCCGTCCCCGCCATCGCCGCCGCCTCGAACGCTCATTCTCGAGCATCGACGCCCGCTCAGCAGCAGCCGCCGCAGTCGCTCAAGGACGACAAGCCTGTCGAGGTGACGAGCTTCGACCCGGACACGGCGCCCAAGGACCTCAAGAAGGAGGGGAGCGACTGGATGACGATGTTCAACCCCAACGTCAAGCGCGTCCTCGACGTCGGCCTCGTCCATACGCTCGTCCACGACTCGTGCGTCCCCCCTTTCTCATCCTTCCCCAAGTCGCCGTGTCGAGAGCTCACCGAGGATCCTCCTTCTCGCGCAGGGTCGTCTGCTGCGTCCGCTTCTCGCCCGACGGCAAGGTCCTCGCGACGGGCTGCAACCGCAACACGACGCTGTACGACACCAAGACGGGCGCCAAGATCGCGTGCGTCTCTCCGTTCCTCCTCCCCTTCCTGCGTCCTGGACCGGCAGAGCCTGACCTCGATTTTCGTCCTCCCGACAGCGTCCTGTTTGACGAGACGGCCGGCGCCAAGACCGACAACTACATCCGCTCGGCCTCGTTCAGCCCCGACGGCAAGTTCCTCGCGACCGGCTCGGAGGACCGCATCGTTCGGGTGCGTCCTGCTCCTCCCGTCACCGCCTCGACCGGTCACCTCGTTCGCCCAGACTAATCCTCCTCGCGTCCTCGCCGTCACAGATCTGGAACCTCGCCCACAAGCGCATCTCGCAGGTCTTCCAGGGCCACAAGAGCGAGATTTACTCGCTCGCGTTCTCGCCCGACGGTCGCCGCCTCGTGTCGGGCTCGGGCGACAAGACGGCCAAGATGTGGGACCTCGAGTCGGGCACCTGCCTGTACACGCTCGCCATCGACGACATTACGATCGCCGAGAACGGCCCTGTCGACGCTGGCGTCACGTCGGTCGTCTTCTCGCCCGACGGCAAGTTCCTCGCCGCCGGCTCGCTCGACACGATGGTGCGCATCTGGGACGCCGAGTCGGGCCAGCTCCTCGACAAGCTCAAGGGCCACCGCGACTCGGTCTACTCGGTCGCGTTCAGCCCCGACGGCAAGTTCCTCGTGTCGGGCTCGCTCGACAAGACGCTCAAGATGTTCGACATCGGCTCGCTCAAGGCGGCGCTCGCTGCGGGCGTCAAGGACGCGCCCGTCGGCGAGGGCGGCAAAACGACCTGCCTAACGACGCTCCAAGGCCACAAGGTGCGTCCTGTCGTCGTGGTCGACCACTTTCCCTTGTCGTCTCGCTCCCTCGAGACCGGTCCTGACTCTCTTTCCTTCCCTCGTCGCCTTCTTTCTCCCCGCCATCCCTTTCTCTCGTCGATACAGGACTACGTGCTCTCGGTCGACATCTCGCCCGACGGCGCCTGGATCGTGTCTGGGTCCAAGGACCGCGGCGTGCAGTTCTGGGACCCCAAGACGGCAAAGGCGCAGTTCATGCTGCAGGGGCACAAGAACTCGGGTGCGTCGACCGGTCTCTCTTTATGTCGAGGCGGCGAGACGGAGCATGCGCTCGCCGATGCGGCCCACACGTCCGAGAAGCTCGGCATCCTGACCTCGGCCTCGTCCCCCCCCCCCTTCCTCCCTCCTCCACTTCTGCGTCCTTGGCTCCCTCGCCGCTCCCCGAAATATCCTTCTCTCGGTCACGTCTTCGCAGTCATCTCCGTCGCCGTCTCGCCGGGACCGCACGGTCTCATCGCCACGGGCTCGGGCGACTGGAGCGCCGTACGTCCTCTCTCTTCTCTCTCGCCCGGCCCATTTTTCCGGCGACTTTTCCTGATGATCTCGATCGTGCAGCGTATCTGGTCGTACGAGCGGATACAGTGAGGGGGCGAGCGGTGCGCGAGGAGGGTCGGCCTTCTCGAGGAGGAGGACGGCGAGGCGAGAGTGGGTCGTTCTCGAGCAGGCCGGGATCCTGCAAGCTGGGCTTTCTGCGCATCGCCTGCTGCTCGGTAAGAGAGAGAGAGAGCCTGTCGATCGTGCACACGGGAGCAAAGACGAGCACGCTCTGATCTCGCCGAAGCGGGGCGAGCCACTCTGCGCTCCGCTCCGCCCTTTCTCGCCCGAGACCTGGCCGCTTCGGCACCGCGTCGACGTTTGGCGATGATGCGCTTGCCCTGCCCAGCGTCAGCCCGAAGCGCGGCAGCCCTCCTTCCGCGCCCGGCGGCCGACCTTCGCTCCCGTGTCACACGGGCTCCGACTCGCATGACGCAAACGATTCGGCTTCGAGCTTGTGGGCGCGCCCGAGGGCACCGTCGACGACGTATCCCCACGTTCTCGTGCTTCCTTGCTCCGCTGGACCTCCCTGCACTCCTCGTTTCTCCAACTCGCGCGCCGCGGAACCTCCTCCCCCGCCTTTTCCGCTTCGCCAGCGACCTCGCTCAACTCGCGCACACGATGCCCGTGACCTTCCACGTTCACGGCGCGCCCGTCGGCTTGACGGCCATCGTCCTAGCCGTCTTCTCGTCCATCGGCGGGTGCGTCCGGCCGACCCTCTCTCCTTGCTCGAACCGGCGAGGTCGGGAAGCTCACCTCTCGCTCGTTCCCTTCCCTCCTCTTCCTACAGATTCCTCTTCGGGTGCGTCCCTACGATCGCTCTACGAGCGTGCACAGCGTGCCAGACCTGACCAAACCCCTCGGCGCGCAGTTATGACACGGGTGCGCCAGCTGCGACGGCGTGAACGTTCGTGGGAGAGGGGAACGACGATTCGCTGACTTGCTCTCTTTGCGCGACACAGGTCAAATCGCCGACTTCCTCGAGATGGTGCGTCCCGCTCGCTCGTCTCGACGGAGCAAGAGTGACGAGCTCACCCGTCGTCATCCTCGCGCAGGACGACTTCAAGTTGCGCTTCGCCCAGTGCACCGAGGCCGGCAATCCCGCGTCGTGCGAGTTCAGCACCGTGCGCTCGGGCTTGATCGTCGCCATGCTGTCGATCGGAACGCTGTTCGGCTCGCTCATCGGCGCAACGTGCGTCGCCTCTCCCTCTCTGCTTCTCGGCCTTCTCAAGGCGAGGTACTCACTCTTGCGCATGCCCTGCAGGCTCGCCGACCGTCTCGGCCGCAAAAAGGCCATCGTCGTCGACAACATGGTCCTCTGCATCGGCATCGTGATCCAGTGCTCGTCCTTCACGGCCTGGGTGCGTCCTCGACCCCTCCCTCGTCTTTCCCCTCGGACCAAGCGCATCACAGCTGACAGCCTCTTCTCGCGCATCCACAGTACCAGTTCATGATCGTACGTCGTCATGGCAGGGTCACTTGGCGCTCGAGACGAGCGCGTGACTGACTCTCAGACTCTCTCGCGCAGGGTCGCATCGTCACCGGCCTGGGCGTCGGCGCTCTCTCGGCTGTCGTTCCTCTTTACCAGTCCGAGACGGCCCCCAAGGAGATTCGCGGCACGTGAGTCGAGCGTTCTCTCTCAAGGTCAGCGGGCGAGAACGACGTCTCGACCTTCCGACGTGAGCTGACTGCTTCTTCTCCCTCTCCCTGCCCTCTAGCCTCGTCGCGACCTACCAGCTCGCCATTACTGCCGGTATCCTCGTCGCCTACTGCATCTCGGTGAGAGGCATTTCTCGCCGTTTGTCGTTTCGAGCAGGGCACTGACCCCCTCTTTCGCGAACAGATCGGAACTCGCTACCTCGACCAAGGCGGCGCCTCATGGCGCATCGTCTGCGGCTTGACGGCACTGTGGTCCCTGATCCTCATGATCGGAATCCTCTTCGCGCCCGAGTCGCCGCGCTGGCTCTTTGGCGAAGGCCGGCCCGAGGAGGCCGAGCGCGCCCTTTGCCGCATCCGAGGCGTTCGCCCCGAGGACAACGACTATACCGTCCGCCAGACCTGCGACGAGATGCAGGCGGCCGTCGACCGCGAGTCGAGGATGGACAAGTTCCGGTGGATCGACTGCTTCAAGCCCAAGGACAAGCTTCTTTACCGCACGGTCCTCCTCATGGTCCTCCAGGCCGGCCAGCAGCTTACCGGCGCCAACTGTACGTTCCTTCTCTCTTCTTCGAGTATGCCTGTTGTCGGATGGGGGCGAGGCGGCGGCAGAGGTGTCGTCGTCCTCCCCGACCTGGTCGTCGACCTGCTCAAGGCCTCGATCCTGACGACGCCTTCCTCGCAGACTTCTTCTACTACGGCACGACGGTCTTCCAATCGGTCGGCAACGTCGACCCGTTCGTCGCCCAAATCATCCTCGGCGCCGTCAAGTGCGTGACCTTCTCAAACTCGTTCCGACGGGTTTCGAGCAGTCCGAGCAGTCCTGACGCCTTGCGCACCCTCACAGCTTTGGCTGCACGTTCATTGGGCTTTACGTCATGGAGCGGTTTGGTCGCCGCATCCCCCTCATCGTTGTGAGTCGCTTTCTTTCGCCGCAACTGTTCGCTCGCGCTCGGCGACAATCCCTGACCTCAGGCTCGACCGTTCGCAGGGTGGCCTGTGGCAGGGCGCATGGCTCATCGTCTACGCGTCGGCGGGTACTGCCAAGAACCCTGAAGGGAACGAGAGCATCGGTACTCGTACGCCCTCCTCTCCCGCTTCCCCAACTCTTGATGCGACGCCTGACTCGTCCTGCCTCCACCGCAACAGTTCTCATCGTCTCGTCGTGCCTCTTCATCCTCGGCTACGCCTCGACGTGCGTCCCGGCCCGACTAGCCCTCTTTCATCTCTATCGTCGCAACTGACCCTCCCACCCCGTCGTCGCAGTTGGGCGCCCGGTATCTGGACCCTCGTTGGCGAGACGCCTCGCAACGATGCACGTGCCAAGACCGGCGCACTCGCGACCGCCTCGAACTGGATCTGGAACTTGTGCGCACGGTCCCTCGCCGACTCTCTCTCTCTCTCTCCCAGACCGAGGCTCACATTCTTGCTCCGACTCGCCCACAGCCTTATCGGCTTCTTCACGCCCTTCATCACTCGCGACATTAACTACTCTTATGGGTGCGTCTCGCCCATTCTGAACCGATCCAAGGACCATCCTGACCTCGTCCGCCCGTCGCAGCTATGTCTTTGCTGGCTGCAACATCGCCGGCGCCATCATCGTCTACTTCTTCCTGTACGAGTCGTCGGGCCTGTCGCTCGAGAACGTCGACATCATGTACAACGACCCGAGCGTCAAGCCGTGGACGTCGCGCAGCTGGGTCCCTCCCGTGCGTGCTCTCTTCCTCGTCTCCTTTCCTCGGTATCTGGCGGCCCGCCTGACGCACTCGTCGTACATCAACAGGGCGCCGACTCGCGTCACGACTACCAGGACGGTCTCAAGGCCGAGCGCAAGACTGTGGCCGAGAAGCCGGCACACCGCGAGCTTGCCGACGAGACCGACGCGCGCTCAAGCGCCGATGGGACCGTCGTCGGCTCGGAGCACCCTGCACACGCCGGTAAGCATGGTCGCAAGGTCAAGGCGTGAACAGCGAGCGCTCGCTCGTCGCGGTAGAGCGTCTTCGGCCGGGACCTTCCCAAATCCGACGAGTTCTCCTTTTGTCGCCCACCTGCGCCCGTATATGATCCCCTCTTGCAATCGCATGTACATAGATCGATCTCGTTCATGGTCCGTTGAGCGAGCGCGAGAGCAAGGGAGAGTGGCAGATTCTCGTCGCACTGCTCGCGTCGAAGTCTTTCGGCAGAGCTCGAGCCCATGTCCTTTGCTGCTCGTTGCTTGCCCTCGCTCGTGGCGCACACAGTCGCAGACAGCCGAGAGAGACGAGCTACACGTGCGCCTGACAGAGCGGGAACGCTCTGCGACGACGACGCTTTGACCCTCGCCCTCTCCTCGGCCGGGATGCCGAACTACGTTCGACACGAGGGCTGACTCGACAAAACCGGGCTCGATCGCCCTCTCGTTGCTCCAGAGGACTCGACGAGCGACGAGTATAGCCGCTCGCGACTGACTCGCTCGTCGTTCGCAGCGGAACCCGACTCGATTCGACGCGAGGAGAGACGGCTCGACGTAGTCGTAACGACGCCGGCTCTCTCTCTCCCTTCCTTCCTCCTCGCCAGCTACACAGCTCCTCTACTCTCGCTTTGCCCCTCTCGACGACTCTCGACTCGCCCACCTCACATACCAACATGCTGAACGACGCCGCGTCCCTTCACACCGTCAACTCGTCGACCGCGCTCGTCGGCGGCTCTTCCTCGCCCAAGGTCCGTCTCCTCCCTCTCTCGACTCGCTACCTGTCCCTCGCACTGACGTACTCTCTCTCAAGAAGCAGACGTCGACCTTCATGGCCAAGCTGTTCAAGCGCTCGCGTTCGCGCCGCTCGACCTCGCCGCCGACGCCTCCTCCTTCGTCCGAGGCCATCTTTCGCGAGGTGATGGCGCTCAACGCTCGTCACGGTCACCCTTCTGTCCAGGCACGCCAGCTCTCTCTCTTTGCGTCCGTCGAACGACGAGCACAGAGCTGATTGTGTCGCGCGATGCAGGCTCACTCGGTCAAGTCGTCGCCCCGCACGAACCGCTCCTCGTCGCCGACTCAGCCCGCTCGTCCGAGCCCGCCATCGGCCCAGGACGTCTTTGCCAAGATCATGAGCCTGAACGCAAAGCATGGCCACCCGAGCGTGCAGGTGCGCTCCAGCTTCGCGTCCTCGTCCCTGTCGCTCCGGAACTCACGCTCTCGTTCCCTCGCTCGCAGGCTTTCTCGGTGCGCTGAACGGCGCTCGACTTCCTTAACTATCAACCAGCTGTGCGGCCCCACGACATCGACCCGGCTCCGTCGCCTTGACGGCGCCGACTCGCCAAGGCGGTCCGAGCGAGCGCTTCATCGACGGCTGCGAGCCGCATTCGCCGAGCGAGACGAGCCACGCGCCTCCGCGAGCCTGTAAAGGCCTTCAGTAGATGCCCTGCACGACGTTTCGAGCCACGAGCAAGCGATCCTGTCCATCGAGCCCGCCTCTTTTGCCCGTGAGAGCGCCGTTCTCGAGACCTCGCACGCGAGCGATTCTCGGCGGACAGCCCTCGTGGTACTCTCGAGTTCGCTCTCTCGCATGCAGAGCGAATCCAAAGCTAGAACGGCAGTGCATTGCGGAAGAATACAAGGACAGACGAATGAGGGGGGTACGACGCTATGTACAGCAGCAGAGAGACAGAGAGAGGAGGGAAAGGACGGAAAGGAGAGCTTGCGAACCCGCTAGTCGCCATCGCCGTCGTCGTCGTCGTCGCCGACGCCGTTGCGCCACTTGGCGAGCTCGACGACGACGTCCCGCAGCTCGTCCATCGTACGCTCGAACTCCTCGAGCGCTCGCCGCTCGAGCTCGCGCAGGTCGCGCAGCTTGGCGGCGCACTTGGTCAGGCGCTGCGTCGCGAGGCGGTGCGTGTCGACGGCGGCCGACGAGGCGTGGACGAGCGACTCGAACGCGTCGATCGACGAGGTGAGGCGCTTGCCGAGGAGGTCGTGCAGGTGGTGGAGGAGGGCGACGACAGGGTGGACGATGGGGCGAAGCAGACGGGCGATCGTGTCCTCGTCTGGGTCGAGCTCGTCGGCGTCGCCCTCGGGGTCGTCGGGCTCGCTCGAGTGGACCGACGCTGGCGGCGTTGGCGGCAGGCTCGCCGGGAGCGCGTCGAGCTCGGCGTCGGCCTCGGCGCCGTCGAGGGGCGGCATGCGGAACGTGCTCGTCAGGCGCGGGCTCGCCTTGTCGATCACGCGCCCGGCGAGGGTCGCGACGAGGTCGTCCTCGATCGTCTGCCACTCGTCGCCGAGCGGGTCGTCGGCCGCCTTGGTGCCCTCGACGACGTCGACCTGGTCAAAGTCGAGGTCGAGGGCGAGCTCCTCGACGAACCCGTAAGGATCGAGCGGGTCGTCGCCGCCCGTGTCGCCTCGCCGCCGGCCCGCCTCGCTGAGGGCGTCCTGGACGCGGCGCCCGCCGCGCACGAGGCGCAGGACCTTGCGGTCGATGGCCGAGACGGCGCGGTCGGCGCCTTGGCGGAAGACGGCGCTGAGCTTTTCGATCCGGCGCGCCTCGCCATGCGCAACCTGGGCGGCGCGGCTGGCGTGCAGGACGGCGAGCTTGGCGCGGGCGACGGTCGAGCGCTGGTCGTCGTGGGCGTGGCGTGCGCGGTCGAGGGCGGCGGCGAGGATGTGGCTCTGCTCGCCCGACTCGTGCAGGACGCGGGCCAACGTCACCAGGGCGCACACGAGGACGCGAGGGCGGAGCGGGCCCTGGCTGGAGGGGAGGGTGGTCCACGGGGCTGGACTGCCGGCTGTGTCGAACTTGAGGCCCTGGAAGCTCAGCGGGAGCTCGTCCATGGCGAGGTCGGACGAGGGCGAGCGAGATCAAGAGGGGGAGCGGCGGGCGGCCGACGTCGACGAGCGGCGCAAAGGTGGGGGCCCGCGTGGCCTCGTCCAACGGGTGTGGACGGCTCGAGGGCTCGAGTGCTTGCGCGTACGAGCGCTGCGACGGGCGAGTCAGGCGGTTGCAGCACACACGCCTCCTGTCAGGCGAGGAAGGGGCCGCCGCAGCAACATTCGCAATGACCCGTTCTCGCTCGCTCCGGTCGGGCCTCGGCAAATCCGCCCACTCGACTCGCTTGACGAGGCTTCATCGTGCGGTCATCTGATCTGCGCAGGCAGAACCCTGCCCGGCGAGAGCGAACGGCCGCAGCAAGACGAGAGAGAGCGCGAGAGCTTTCGCACTGTCTCTCGTGCGGCGACGCAACGCTCGCTGCTCGAATGCGTTGCAGCGCTCAGGGCTCAAGAGAGGAAGAGGGAGCACAGGGGGTATCGACAGACCATGATGGGCGGATTCGGGACCGAGAGAGAGAGGGTGAGGTCGGAAAGACAGGGCCGACAGAGGGAGGGGGAGAAAGCCCTTTTGCCGACACGGTCGCGCGCTCGTCTAGAAGGACTTGTCGTTGACCTGCAGGAAACGAAAGTCAGGACGAGATCCAGGCAGAGCGCGAAAAAGGGGAAGGAAGAGGGGACGTACCGAGTCCTTGAGCTTGCCGAGGAACTGCTGGTAGCTCGGCAGCGTCTCCATGCGGTCCTCGATCAGGCAGCTCAACGCCCACTGCCGCAGCGCCGGCTCGCCGTCCTCCTTGACGATGTACAGGTGCGGGTAGTACGGGCCGCGGCGCTGCTCGCGCACTTTGCCGATGATGGCGTTGACGCGCTGCGAGAACGGGTTGTCGAGGACCGGCAGCGTTCCCTGCGACGCGAGGCGGACGACGTGAGCGAGGGGACGGACACGGAGGAAAGGAGAGAAAGAGGAGCGAGACGCACCTTGCCGCTGCGCAAGTCGGCGTACGAGGGCAGGTCGAACACGTCGAGGATGAGCTGGTTGACGGCGTCGCGACCGACCCAGAGGAAGATGTTCTGGCCGTCCTCGATGAGGAAGAGGCCGTGTCGCTCGAGCCGCTCGGACGTGAGCGGCAGAGGATGCGGGAGGATGACGCCCGACTCGGAGATGGTGCCGCACTGCGAGGCGCGCACGACGAGGTCAGTGTCGGCTCATCACGACGACGAGGAATGGGAGAACGAGTGAGTGAGGGGCCGAGACGTACCTCCTTGGGCATGTTGTGGAGCGAGTAGAAGACGGGGTGCAGGTACGGGATGAGGAGCTGCGACGGCAAGGTCGTGATGAGGGCCTGGGCGTAGGCGCGCACGTCCGACGGGATCATGGTGCTGTGGCGGATACCGGTCTGCGCACGAGGAAGAGAGAAAGTCAGGGACTCGCGTCGTGGAAGGAGAGGAGGAGGAGGAGAGGAAGGGGCGGCGACGACGCACGTTCTTGAGGAGGCCGAGCATGAGGAGCGGGAGGAACTTCATGTTCTCTGCGACGACGAGCTGCGGGCTCGCGCCGCTGCCCGAGCTCGTCATCGTCGCCTTGTACGTGCCGAGGATGTCGACGAGCTTGTTGTGGACGGCGTCGCGCGCGTCCTCGAGCTTGGCCTGGTTGCTGCGCTCGACCGCCTTGTTGGCGAGGAGCGTCGCGAGCGCGACCTGGTCGACCGACGCGTACAACTCCGAGATCGAGCTCGTCGTCGGGAGCGCGAGCGTGACGACGCGGATGCGGCGCTCGCCGTACGCCGTCGTGTGCAGGACGGCCGTCTGGAACACGACGAACGGCGCGCTGATCGGGTCCTCGATCTGGATCTCGATGGCGTAGCTCTGGTCCATCGGGACCGCCGGGAGCGACAGGAGGTCGGTCGAGCGCACGAAGAAGTTGCCGTGGAACGCCGACATGCGGATTCCTGCGCGCGACAAAGAGGTTCGTCGGCGACGAGGTCAGTCGACGGCTCGCTCGTGCGGTCCGAGGGAAGGAGGACGACAGGGGCGCACCTCGAGAAGCCCGGACACGCATGACGGCCTCGAGGCAGATCGGGTCGGCGATGACGGTCCCAAACTCGTGCGCAAACTTGAGGGCGTCCTCGGACCTCGCGGCGTTGAAGCTCGGGTAGTAGTACGTCTGGCCGCCGGTGTAGCGCGGCAGGCCCGACAGGGTGGCGACATCGGTGTAGGCGCTCGAGAAGAGCCACATGTCGACCGAGACCTGCGACCTCGAGCACTCGATCGCGAACGACTTGTACCAGCCCGTCTGCGCCGCGAGCAGGGTTGACTCCTTGCTCGTGCCGAGGATCTTGCTGTCCTCGCGAGGCTTGAGCGCGCCGGGCCCGAGGTTGGGGAGCGACGCCGAGAGGGCGACGACCTTGCCGCCGACGTGCGAGATGAGCTTGAACGCGGCCTGGAGGCCGGCGCCGAGCGCGTTGCCCGTGTTGTGCGTCTCGACAAACATGTCGTTGAGGCGCGACAGGAGGTTCTCGATGCCGGCCTTGGCCTCGACGAGGTTGACGAGGATGTCGTTGGGCTTGGGCAGGAACACGTCGTCGAGGTCACCGACGACGAGCATCGACGGCTCGGCGGCACCCTCGGCGAGCGTAAAGAAGTGCAGGCACGAGTCGACGCCGATGATGGCGATCTTGGTCCGGCTGTCCTCGTTCGGGAGGCGGTCGAGCGACTCGAGGAGGGTGCGCGCCGCCGTCGCCACCATGCCCGACGTGACGGCCGAGTACGACACGTCGATGACGAATACGTAGATCGGCGGTTGCGGTGCGCGGACCATGTACTCGGTCGGCGCGACAAACTCGACGACCGACGAGTTGAGCTCGTGGCGGGCGTACCGGTCGGCCGGCTCGTTCTTCTCCTGGTCCCAGTCGAACAGCTGCGGGACCTCGTTCGACAGGTTGCACATGCAGCACTTCCACCGTTGGCCGCCCTCGATGAAGGTGACGTAGGGGTTGATGTAGGTGCGGCACCGCCGGCAGCGGGCGATGACCGTGTCGGACACGACGGGGACCTCGGGCTGTGGAGGACGCGAGTCAGTCACCGTCGCGACAAGGTGAAAGGAGGGAGGGAGGGAGAGAGAGGGGGCGGGACGCACGTCGCCGGGCTTGAGGCTGCGGTAAGGCGTGAGGACGAGCGCGAGCGGCACCTTGGACTTTTGCAGGAGCGAGTTGGTCGTCGGGACGGCGTTCATCGTCATGCGCTGGTACGACGGGTCGGCGTTGCGGGTCGGCGACTGCGAGAACGAGGCCTGCGAGGGAGAGGAGGGAGGGTTAGTCTTTGCTCGACGGCGGGAACGCGAGGGGCGAGGAGGGGAGGACGACGAAGACGCACGTTGGCCGGAAGGTTGATCTCGGGGGGCTCGACCGTCATGAGCTCGAGCGGGTTGACGGGCGCGTTGATGAGGTTGACGTTGGCGGCGTTGACCATCTTCTGGCCCGTCGCGGGACCGCCGAGGCCCATCTGGCCAAACTGGCTCGTCATGCCCGCCATGGCCGCCGGCTGCCCCTGCCCTTGCCCTTGGCCCGGCTGCTGCCCGTACCCGGCGCCCTGCATGCCCGGCGCGCCGCCCGGCTGCGCGCCGCCCGCCGAGTAAGGGTCCGCGCCGCCGGCTGGGCTGAAGAACTGGCCGTTGGCGCCCGCGCCCGGGTCCTGCGGGCCTACGGGAGCCGCCTGCCCGTACGCCGCTCCCACTGGCGCACCCGGGTGGCCACCCATGGTCGCGGCCGCGCTCGCCGGCGAGTAGAAGGCGCTCTGCGTGTGCGCGTGGCCGCCGGGTGCGGGCCCGCCGCCGCCGTTGGCGCCGAGGTCGCCGGCGAGGTAGGCGGCCGTGTCGCGGGCGTACTGGCGGCGGCCGGGCCTGCGGCTCGGGAGGGCGCCGACCTGGTCGGGCGTGGCGGAAGGCGGCGGCGGGGTCGCGACGGAGCCGGGAGGGGGCGTCGGCTGAGCCATCGGCGCCTGCTGCTGCTGCTGCGGCTGCTGTGCGGCGTAGGCATCTTGTGCTGCCGGACGCTGGGCGGGTGTGGCGCCGGCAAAGGGAGGGATGGGTGGTGGACCGCGGCCGCCGAGACCCGGTGCGCCAGGCGGGCCGTTGCGGTAGGGCGAGACGGGAGGGCCACGTGCGCCGTACGAGTTGGTCTTGACGGGCGAGGTCGAGATCGGGGCCGAGATCGAGGCGTGGACGCCGTGCCGTGCGCCGGGGAAGGGGCGCTGGCCGGGAGGAGGAAGGGGAGCTGAGGCGGGGAAGTTGTACTGCTGCCGACCGGTGGCGTTTTCTGCGAGGGTAGAGAGGGTCAGTACGAATGTCCTGGCCAAGCTCTGGGAGGCGTCGTGGTGCGTGTCGAGCGCGAGCGACAACAAGGAGGGCTGGTCGAGGGGGGTTCACCGGCGAGGGCGCCGCACACAGCCTGACGGCCCGCACGGCGCAGGAGATGCGAGCAGGCTGGCGGGTGCGCTCGAGCTGCACGACGGCGAGCTGCCGACGCGGCTGCGGCGGTTGCTGGCGTGGGGTCGGCGGCCGCCCGTGGAGGCCGAACGAGGGGACGGCGGGCGCGAGGGGCGAGGGAGAGAGGAGGGGAGAGCTCACCGACAAAGAGTGTGCGGCCGACTGCGCCATCCCTGCAGCACACCGGGGGGAGCGAGGGTCAGTGTGAGGGGACGTGGAGGGGGGAGGAGGGGGAGGAGGACGAGAGGGACAACGGGGCGCACCATTCTGCGCGCCAGCCGGGGGGCAAAGGCGGGTGCGGCATGGCCTGGGACGCCATCTTGAGCAGCTTGAGCGAGGACGAGAGGTGACGAGCCTGTCAGTCCGCTCGTCGTCGTCGTCGTCGTCGTCGTCGTCGTCCTCGTCGACTCGCTCTCGTGACGCTCACCTGGGCCGCACATGCTCGCTGCCAGGAGCTCGATCAAGCTGTGCACCCGCTCTCGTGCACCCTGCCCAAACCCGCACAAGCGCAGGTGCCTCTCGACCTCGCCAGCTCCTCCAACAACTCGCCGCCGCTTCCTCTTCTTTGGCGCAGACGCCTTCTCGTGCGACGTCTTCTCGAGCCTCCACTCGGCAAGGGCAGGTACGCACCCGTTCCCCTCGTCGTCACGCTCGTCGAGACCTGTCACTCACCCTCGCCGCCCCGACAGACCTTGTCGACTCGCTCACAGTCGTCGTCCCGCCCGATCAGCGCACGGGCAGGCGCCTCAAGGAGGTCCATCGTCGTCCGTCCCCGTACCTCCTCGACCTGGTGAGCGTTGCACGACCCGTCAGACTGACTTGCTCCTCGTCCGCAGCGCCGCTTCGACTGCTCGCCGAAGAGCTCGGCGTCAATACCATCGCCTTGCCGTCAAGCCTGCTCAAAGGGTGGCAGGCGCGTCCATGTCGACCCTCTCCTCGACCTCGTACCGTCTCGAACTCGCAATTGACGCACCTTTGTCCGCCGCGCTGCGCGCCTCTTCCCCTCAGCCGCCAGATCCTTTCCTCGTTGCCGAGAGCAACGGTCCACCACCCGCCGCCAACGTCCTCCTCACCGCCTCGTTCGGTCACCTCATCCCGACCTCGCTCCTGTCGCTATTCCTCCCCCTGAACGCCCTCAACGTCCACCCGTCCCTCCTCCCTCGCTGGCGCGGCGCCGCCCCGATCCAGCGCGGCATCATCGTCGGCGACGCCGACGGCGTGACGGGCGAGTCGATGGGCGTCACGGTGCAAGAGCTCAGCCGAGGCAAGTTTGACCGCGGCAGGATCCTCGCTCAGCAACCTGTGGTCAGTCCTGCAGCCTCTCGCCCTCTCGTTTGAGCCCTTTCTGGTCACCTCACTGACCTGTGTCCTCCTCATCACCGCAGAACGTTCCGCCACACGCCAACTTTCTCGCGCTCGAGCCCATTCTCGCCCGAGCGGGCGGCGAGCTCCTCGTCTCGGTCCTTCGCACGCTCGAGGCACACCAAGAGCGGGCTCAGCCTCAAGGCGAGGAGCGTGCGTGCCTCGCGCCAAAGCTAGACAAGGGCTGTGCGAGGGTGAACTGGTCGCAGACGAGCGCCGCCGAGGTGTGCCGGCTGCAGCGAGGCGTGGGCCATCAGGTGCGTCTCTCTCTCTCTCTTTCCCTCCCTCAGACCGAGCCCTTTCTTGACTGACACCTTGCCCTCACAGTACCCGCTCTGGACTGCTCTCGCCGACGCACAACTGCAGCTCCGCCTCTCGCATCGCCCGATCCCGCTCCCCGCCGTCCTCGCCGACTCGCCGCCGGGCACCGTCGCGCTCGAACCCACCTCGAAGCAGCTCGTCCTGCGCTGCAGCGACTCGGTCGAGGGCGTCGCGCTCACCGAGGTCAAGAAGGAGGGTGGAAAGTGGGTCGCCGCACGCGACTGGTGGAACGGCGCGAGCGCGGGACGCAAAGGGGCCCAGCTTCAGGTCGTGTAGCGGTGCAACGCTGTCATCCTTTGACGTGACGACTCTTGACGAGGCTGCACGAGAGCTCTCTAGCGTGCCCGACCGAGAGCTCGTCCACGTTGGTCGCCTGTCGGCGTCGTTGTCGAGCGCGAGCGACCGTGCACGAGTCGGCTCGTCCCGACTCGGCCACTGGTCGCTCACTGAAAGAGCGAATGGCAATCCGACTCGCCCCTCTCGCCGAGAAGCGGCTTTGGTAAGCGAGCAGCTTGCCGCGGCGTCGCCTGGTTCGGAGCGCTCTCGTCCGTCAGCTTCTCGCCTCGACAGGGCTCGCTCAGGCCCTCGAGCAGCCAGGCACGGATGCCTGCTGCATCCTCGCGGCCACTTTGGCCCCCTCTGCCACGCCTGGCGCTCCCGTACGACA